CTGAACATGTCGTGGCACTCGCTGTGGGAGTCCCACTTATCCTCCTCGCACAAGCAAGCTGAGCAGGGTAAACCGTCGTTATGCTATGTATCATAGATCCATCAGTCTTTGACGAAGGTGTACGCTTGATTTGCTTCAGGAACGTACCTTGACGTTCTGGCATTTGCTGTTATAAATCCCAGCAGCGGTAATGAATCGCGGCGCTCCATGCAGCTGTAGCAATTGCTTCTCGGTCATTCTTCAGAATCACGCGCGATTCTCTGGCACACCAGAGATGTCCGTTTGTATAGTATACAAGCAGACCTATCTCAAATGGGAAATGTTGCTCAAAATTTTCATAGTATTGGCGGGAATGAAGTACACAGCTCTCTTATGGCCGCTAACAGTCAAGCGCTCACAACCAGGCCTCTGCCAGTACAACAAGGTGAATGCTGGAAAAGATAACTGAAAGAGTTGGAAGCACGCGTTGAACTGTTGACTGAAAGCTATCTGACTCCGCGCAAGCCTCATCCTTCTCCAAGACATTGCGTGTATTGTACGTCAGCGGGCGACACATCTCAAGCACTGACATTGATACTCTCTGATCGCGCGGTGCTGGAGACCAGGCCGTAGACCAAGCCCCAGCAGACAGCGACGAGGCACGGTCATACACATTCTCACAATACGATCAATGCCATCACTCTTGACCTTACCAATTGAGCTTCTCGATCGAGCGCGCTCTGCACTTGCCCGGTCTGTCTGACTGGAAAAGATTTCGCTGCACTTCCCGCGAATGCGCAGAGCGCGTAACGTACCTTGTTTGATTTTCCGCAGGCTTGCCATCGACCTTGATCCTCAGGGATGTAATGGCCTATCAGCCATATCACGTTCACCCAAGCTGTGCGCATACGTTCAGACGATCCATCTGCGGCGTCGGAATGGCCTGAAATGCTTTGGTGATTTTAAAGCCTGGCACTCCGCGAATATTCACGAATACCAAGCAACTCTGGACACAGACCCGGCACTATCGTGTCCCCTTCGTGACCGAACCAGGCTGAATGGCAAGTTTTGAGCGAGCATCAGCTCCATCAACTCTATCGGGATTACAAATTCGAGGAGGAAGCACGAGACTCCTATACTGCACGGCTAGCAATTGCAGTATCTTTAAAAATCGTCGCTGACCTCGCCGAGCCCAGCCTGGTCACTGCATAGACATCAGATGCTCAGCATCTCCTTGACAATCTCGTCACAGGGATCAACGCGCTACAAAATGCTCGTAGCCTTACGTACAGCCCGCATTCGAAGATGAGGATCAGTGAGGTCATTGCTGGAGGAACCTTGAATTCCACCCGGAGGGACTTGTACATCTTGGAAGCTTTGGCGTTGACCCTAAGCATTGACGCCCTTCAGCTTTATGCTGTTCTCGATACTGTATTACAAGCGCAGAATAGCTTGCAATCCGTTCAATTGTTCTCTCGAGGGCATGCATTCTGGAGTCCGGCACATCTTCGATGGCTCCTCGAGTGGACGACAATACCTTCGCCTCACTTAACTCCATATGATGTCCGTATGAGTGCCGGCCTTGATCGCTGGGTACATGACATCGGTGGCCCCTCAAAGGCGTTACAATTTACCGAAGTGCTAACGCGTGATCTTGTCGGTGTCGAATCTGGCTTCTCTTGCCTTTCTCATCTAGAACTACGGGTGGATACGATCTCGTCTGAAGAACCTGGAGAGCTGGAGACGATTTAGAAAGCAATTTCACACATGATCCGGAAGGCGGTCGGCCCTCATCACCTAATTCTCGTTTTCCGAGATCATGCTGGGAGTGACGGCTGGGGCGAATGTTCGTTCTTCGATAATGCCCATAGTCCCTTGGATGTACGCCAAGCAAGTCTGCCTCAGATTCCCCTGGCATCTGGATTGCTGCTGGCTGCAGTTTCTTATTTTGAAGTCTCTACGTGGGCTCCACTTATCATTTGCTGTCAACGCAGCCCATTTGAGACGATTATTGCAGGGCTTATCACACCTTCAGCATCTCAAACTCAGCTATGTCACATTAGAGAAGTGTAGATCTCTGCGGAAGGCACGACCCACGGCATGACGTCTCGTTGGAGTCTCGTCTCGTTGAGCTCATGCACACTCTTGAGAACATCTTTCATTTTCGAAGCTGAATAGCAAGGAAACAAAGTAGGTCCTTGCTGTCCCTTCAACAGCCCCTGACACAACCTCTTGCTTTCTTTCTTTAGCAGCACTGAAAATTTCATGTATATTCCATTCTCTTCGAGCCACTTCCTTTTCTCAGAGGGATGCGCAGATGAGCCTTGATCCTGGTGTAGACGCACTATCTGGCTTCGACATCTCAAGTGCAGGCCACTCGCGGAATGTCGCCCAATATGCCACCGATTCACAAGGGGGTGGAGGTACGGATAATATTGCTATTTATGCGCAGCTCGCTGTCGTTTGCGACAGGGCCCCGTGTCTTCGGCGACTTCGGTCTCAGCGTTCCAAATCTGGGAGGTCTTGCGCTTTTGTGGTGCATACGATGAAGCTGGTAATGGAAGCTGGTGATGATATTGCAGTTGTTCTTGCTGCTTTGATTTTGACGCGTGCGCAAGTCGAGGACTTTTGCGCAAGCGATTGTGAGGAATGAAGCGCTGCTTCGCTATTTCAGACGGTCGTATTGCTATTAAAGCACGATACATGCCAGACAGTGATGTTTCATAAATGTGTAGACGTGAAGGAGTATTTGAGAATCGGCGCCGATGTTAGCTGCTGAGCTTGTCAAGCTTGCTCGTCACTCCACTTCTTCCGGCCAAGACCGGCGTTTCGGAACTGCGTGTCATCCTGGAACACGACTGCCGAGTGGGTCGCAGACGCCGGGGATCATGTCGCATTGACAGCTAGGCTATTTAAGGAGGGTCATGTTGAAACGTGACTGTTGGGGAGGTAGGTCAGGTCAGTGATGCATTGCTTCCACTCAGCATTCGATCGAACAACCGGGTCACGCCTCGGGATAAACTTACCGATGAGCAGCATCTGCTTTTCATCTGTATTCCTATATATGGCGCTCACATTCACAAATTGTGACTGATGTCTCATCATCAAGGCATATCCGAAGCATCGCCATGGCACACCAGTACAAGCCCGACCGTGACAATTGCCACTGCGGCTCTCAGTCATCAGCAAAGCGCTGTCTAAACTCCAACGCTGAAGCTTCGGTGGCGTGCTTCAAATTTTGGTCTATGTGCGCCACCAGCCATTGGGTTTCTCATACGCATCATCGACAGTCTTTGTAACCGCTTCTGTCTCACATGGCACTATGCCGATCACATACATAATATCGTTGGTACTTTTGCGCTTACGACACATTCGCACAGAAAGCTGGACCACCACAAACCATGCCGTCCCAACAATATTTGTTCTTCTACTTCGACTGTGAAAGTGGGGCGATCGACAGTGCTCAGCGTATAGCTGTGCGTGCGCATGCGACTGCGTATAGTCACCGCGTAGCTCCACGAACAGGATTGCGAGCAGCGAAGTACAAGCAGCGGAGGTATCCCCAGGAGGCGAACGACACGATTTTCCCGACTCCGTCAGACGATAGTGGGGCATCTGCAGCTTCTGTATCTCGGAAGACTATCCATCAGAGCAGCCCGAAACTTTTGGAGACTCAACTACCACGAAGACCTATGGTCGAGCAATTGGCAGCCATCAAAATACAGCAGCCTGCGTTAGTCCAGTCGTACAGTCATGCTAGTAAGCGCATCAGCCAAGATCTGACCATCACCAGAGTCTTGTGTCCAGCGTCAGCTATCAAAGAAGGAATTGTGTTTAGCCGACCGCAGCCACTGCAAGTATTGCAGATACAGAGATCTTCTGAAAACCGACTTGCTAGGCGTGCTAGAGTATCGAAGGAGGGAACCAAAGATCTAGAGCCCAAGACGTTTCGCTGTCTTAGCGAGGGTGGAGCGCACCAGCGAGGAAAGTCTGAGCTCCTGCGGGACATTTTCATCCTAGGTGCCACGTTGAAAGACCCGTTCGACACTTATCCGGTGCCGTATGAAGACTGGTACGGACCAGTACTTGACCGCTTCTACAAGCGCCTTACCCTCGGACCGCAATTGCTGAAGCTGTCGCCAGCACAAATCGATAGCTATATCGAGTGGGTCCGCGCACTTGAGATGTCACACGCCGCTGTTTTTTACACCTCGATACTGCTGGCAACAGGTACGCCTATTGCTACAGGCCGGATGCCACTAAGCCAAGGGTTTCCCGTGCGTGGTCTTGCGGTGCAGGCCATGAAGAATGCGCTGAACGATCCGGCCCAAGCTACGAGCGATGCGGTAATATCTGCGACCGGTAAGCTCGCATTACCTGAGCATCTGTATGGTGATAGGAACACAGCCAACACCGTGCACCGGGCTGCGCAGAAAAGGCGAGCATTGTATTCCCTAGAGCTGCGTACTTTCCTACTGACATTGACTAGGATGATCGACCTCCGCGGCGGCCGCCTGGAAAACCTGGGGTTCCCAGCATTCGTAGTGCAGCTTATGGTGTGGTACGACACGTTCATGGCCAACGAGTCAGGCACAGAGCATTATTTCGCAGAGATACCTCAGCGGACGGGCCTCAAGAAGTACAACGAGGAGGAGGCTTCTGAGGTTGTGTGGAGGTTGAATCCAAAGCGGCTGCTGCACCCAAAATTCTCGTGACATACAAAAATGTACAGAGTTCTTGGGACGGTAATTTCTTCAACACAAATCCAGTACGAGCAGCCGCTCAAGCCAGTCGTTGGGTAAGAGACATTCACGTGCTTCCGTCCGGTCTCCGCCATCTGCACGGGATCAACCTGGAGGATGAGCTGCAGTGCGCCTCTGAACTATTCCCATACCTTGATACCTCAAGAAGGTGATCGATTACTTCCTATCACACATCGTCTTCCCGAAAGAGGTCAAAGAATTTCCTACGAAGCTCTCCACTTCCGGATGGGATACGGCGAGCTTCCAATCGATTCCATTCGCTGTCTTTGGTCGAGTCACAAAGCATTTTCTACTCCATTCCAGGAATAATCGACCGACGAGAAAATTTCGGGTCGACGCCTGCTGTATCCGATTGGGAAATTTATAGTGCACTTTCGACTCGATTGGTGGATTAGCTCCAAGCGCGTGATTGTATGCCAGACCCCTTCATATGCAAGTGAAGCAAGTTGTTCGTTTGGGCTTGACTCGCTTGCCGGATTGAGACACCTTACTTAGCTTGCAAGCAAGCAGTTCGTCTGGACTTGGCTCGGCTTGGCTTGGCTTGGTTGCAAAGGGGGGGGGGGATCATTCAATATCTACCACTAATCGATCGTTATGACCACCTAAAGGGTGAATTGGCGGTGTGCTGAGGGTGTTGACGTTGCGGAGGTTGGTGTCATGAGTGCGCCAGTGGATGTCGCCGGCGCAAGTAGGTCCCTAGGGTCACTGTCAGTAAGTAGTACCCTTCGAGGGGTGGATATTGCTATACCGCGTAAATGTGATTATCCCCCTTTGAATCCAGCTCTTTAAGCACACCTCATATTGAATAGTCTCGCTGTTAAGAGCTCGTCGCCGTGTACCAACCGCTGCTCCGGCAGTACTGAGTAGTCGCTCTGGTTCGTCTGACACCACCGGCGTCCTAAATACATTAGGAGCCATAGTAGCGAGCTGAGGCCACCGAGAGCGCTGTTCGAGCCAGTAGCTAATATGTGAATATTTAATAGACACCGTCTTGCTCCGCGGCTTGCCGGCGTACTCAACAATCTGCTTCGCAATTGAGTGTGGCACGTCGTCGATGTCATCATCAGATATCACATCATCGTCGTCGCAGCGGCGTGTGTCGCGCTGCGATCGTGGCGACGGCTGGAGCGCCTTGTCGTCGAACTGAAGGCTGAGTTTAGTGAATGAGAGCCTAGCAGTTGCAACCAGTCGTCTTTGAATGTGTTGAAGTATGCCTCAGACAGTTCCTGGATCTGCTGCACGTTTAGCGTCGGGAACGCTACATTTGAAGCTCTGCAGGAATCGGATGGCGCAGCGGTTATAGTGAAGCATAGTAGACCAATGTCGGACGGTAACGGATCTGGATGCTTTGCTATCTCTCGCGTAATGAACCACGGCGTGCCTTCTTGCGGGACGTACTGCAGGTCTGATGCAGTGGCGATTCCGTAATGCACTAAGTGGACGTAGATATTTGGCCACAGCATGATCTTGTGAGGTATTGTGAGGTATTGTGAGGTGTTGATATGATTTTTGGATAGTGCCGCCAACAGTCAATCCTTCTGTATTCCGCTGTGCCGTTTCGGCTTGTGATGCTTCCCTTAGCGAGACAGACGAGGCACGGCTGACCGAAGCTCGAGTACCTAAAGAGCTGGTATCCGGACTATTTCCTTGTGTCATGGGCATATTGTCGAATCTATTCTCCAGGCGAGCGAGGGTGGCCAGAATATGGACCATGGTCTTGTCCTTCTTACGCAAATCTGTTAAAGGCGGTGTTATTACCACTGGCCAACGGAACCAATGGCACAGACGGATTATATCGAGCATCTGGGTGAGCTTGTTCCAATAACGATCCTATGGTCTACTTCGTCGTTGACTTTGTGGTGTAAGGGAAGGACTTACTTCGTCGGTAAAGATGCTGATCGTCTACTGCAGAAGTCACTCGCAGGGCCGTTGCCTGGCGGCGTCACTGCCGCCCCCTTCAAGACTAGAGATAACAGCACTTGTGTGTGGGAACAGATGAACGCGCAAACCAGTATTCGGGGTTTCGGCAGAGTAATAAGCTCGCGAAGGATATGGGTTAACGATGATGCAGTGGCAGCAAAATTAGAGAGGCAGAGCATAGCGTTTGATCATCAGCCTGTCGTCAGTGACAGTTGCGTGGTCGATCTGGTAATACTCGAATTGGCAGTCAAAGAGTGATGACTACCGGATGTGCGATCTCGCATCAACGATCCCAGCTCAATGTTAGCGCATGCGACCACAACAGTCCCTTTGGAGAAGCGAGATGATCCTCTCGTGCAGACGTCTAGGCGCCTTCAGACCACGGCAGAAGTATGGCAGAGTGTGTCGTTCTCAAATCAGAGCGGATGTCCCCCAGCTGGCTAGAAGTGCGTTGGTGTCCTGTCCAGGTCATTCGTCGTGACGCAATCGCGCCGAGAATGCGTCCGTCGGATCGCGAAACCATTCCGTTGCAGGGACAATTCGAGAAGAACCTATCCATCTTCCTCCAGGAAGTGAGCGCGGTCTGTTCTGCTTCTCGTGGATCAACACATCCACAAGTTCGACTCCGCTAGACGGCAGCGGTACCGAGTTTTAGCGTTCATTGATCGGAGTCGTAACCGTCACCCCGTAGGATCCTCCGGGTGGCAAGTCAATCGGCACCAGGATGGTCGTACAGGCTTATCAAGTTGAGATGTACGGGTAAATCTCGGCCAGAAAGGAAGGCACAACACTGTTACAGACCTATGTTTACTTGCGAGAATCACGCTTTGATATAGCGGAGTCTTCGTAGCTCCTTTTGGTTGGCGGTACTGGCAACTCCGCCCTCTCTGATCAGACGCCTCCGAAGCGCATCGTTATTTTGGCACTAAATCTCTGACTGCTGCGCTCCGGCATCGCTTCTGCTGACGGTCCGTGCAACGAAGCTCCTCAGAGTTCCATCCGCTTCTATCACTAGATTACCGCCGCTACCATTTGACTCCTACGCTTGCGGCTATGCGCCATCGAATGCTTTGCGCACCATCTACAAATCTTCTTTCACAGTCCAACTGAATTGTATCCAGCTTTGGAGCCACGGCCGATTCCAGGTCCAGTGTTCATGGAGGTGCTTCATGTGAGTCACGCGCCTAGCAATGGCCAGAAGTGGTCGCTTCATCGTACACACGATATCCGCAGAAGTCGAACTGTCGTTGATTGCGCAACTGGTTCTTACCGTTCAAAGGTCGTTTGACTCTCCACGCGCTATGGCTTCAACGTCCCACCTTCCCACTGCGGACTACATTTTTGGCGCCAGACGCAAGCCCGACCAATACACCACAACAGCGCCTCCCTACAAGTTGTCCTTGTTAAGCGTCTTGCTTGATCCCGATGTTCAGGAGCCTACAGTAGGATACCTGGCCTCCCCTGGATCCGAGAAAATCGAATCAACCACTTCCAAATGCTGCAATGCTTGCATAGCACCCGACTCCAGCATTGGCATGGCCGACAAGATGCTCATAGACGGGGAGCAAGGCCCGGCAGGCTCTTGGTGCGATGTACAAGACTGCATCATTGATGGTTTCGTTGGCGCACGCCTGACGGATCCTGCAAGTACATTGCGAGCGATTGCACAAGTATTTCGGCCTCTAGCTTGCCAGAGCCGGAGAGACTGGCACCGAGAGTCGTATCAGGAGCATCTCCGGACAACGGGTGATGAGCAACTGCCCCAGGGCTGTTCAGACTCCAGTGTATTTTCCAGAGGCAGTTCTCCCATAGAAGAGACGCGGCTCAGGGGGGAAAGCAGATCTGTCTTACGTGGAAGGGATGGGTACAGGCGCGTAAGAGATCGTGTGGCCACTCCGTGGCCGAAAGGCAGAAGATGCATGCCTGAGGACGGCTGAGGCGCAGCTTGGCTCGCCGAAAGGGCTCGAGGCGCAGAGGGCGATGTTTAACAAGCGTGCTTAGAATACAACTCCTTTCAAACATTACTACAGAGGTGATAACTATTCGTTCTCCACGGGGAACTTTATACGTGGACAGACAATGCGTATATATGTGATGTGGCTTGTAGCTTTAACGTGCCATCATCTTGAATAGAACTCCGACGGAATCTTGGATACCGGCGTGACCATAGGAGAATGTTGATAGAGCCGCTTCATTTGGTGGACAGTGAACAAACTGTGGTTCTCAATGACATCTCGGTGCATGAAGTGAGCCGTTGAACGATTGTCTCATCGCTTTAACGAATTTGGGTCTTTGAATCGACGGTTGGTTGCGACAAGTAGATTGAACTCAATTCAGAGACTTCTGTAGACCTGTCAGATCCAACTGTTACGTTGTGAGTATAACATCGCAATGAGTAGTTCCCGTTGTCTGATTTCGCATTGCTCCCACTATACGGCATCAAATGCGGAAATCGCAAGAGCGCGAGCGATATCACGTCGCTTGAAGCCCGGTATACGGCCTAGGCATACACCAGAGACGATCAATACTACAGTCACATTAGCTTCTACGTAGCCAACACATGCTATACGATCTGCGCACCTTCGACAAACTTCGCGACGTCGACAATGACGACCTTCAAACAAGGCTTAGAGATCGGTGGATGACGGTACGTGGGGACCTGGCGACCAACTTGTGTATCGATGCTGCTCAGCTGGTCTAGATACTCCCAGGTTCCCGAGCCTCCCCAAGGCATGACTTGCCTCGACACCGATCTAGGTTGTTAATGTTGCTTCCCTAGATGGGCAGATCCAACAAGGTCCGTCCAGGGACTCGTAGCCGCGTCGGGGTAGCTCACGCCAGAGAAAGTCATTTTAGAGAAGTCGTTCCATTGATTCGGGTCCGCCAGAGCGTGCTCCACCACTTTTAGTTGTTCAAGATTGAATGGTGCAATTCGATGTTCTGTAGAATACCGAACCTCACCTCTTGGCGTCTGCGACATAGGTCTGGGGGACGTTGACATGCTCTCTGGAGTAGGTGTGTGTTCCATGATCTCGACTGCGGCGAATGATAAAGTAGCATCGATCGAGATGGCCTTTTCCTCTAAATACCCTTCAACGTCGTATGGGTCAAAGCACTCGCCTTCGAATCCTGCTATTTCGACGGTCATGTCTGCACTGAGACTGTCGCGTCCCAGATTATCTAGCACCGCAAGGGTCTGTGGTCCGACGAAGCAGACGTTATAAGAATCTCTTCTAGCCTGCAGGTTGCCGAATTGGTCTCGGTATGGATAATGAGTACCTGCCCCTCCCACGTGAATCAGAGGAGCAGAAAGGGAGCTCAGTACCTCGTGTTTGCCTCGTTCCAGCGTCGCTTGGAAAGCAGCAATCAGTTGGGCCCGATCTTGACTAATCAGCGAAAGCCTGAAGACCCTGTCGTAGGTATGAGGCCGACGCATAGGGTCGAGCAGGAGCTGATAACCCGCTTCAAGGCAAGCTCTGTGCAAACGGCGCCCGAACGGAGTTTCATAAAAGCTATACGTCCTTGGTGGTGACAGTTGTGGTGGGATCTGAATTTCCTTGGGGAAATTGGCCTCGAAAACGTTGTAAGTGGTCGGCTGTTGGCCCATGCGCTCGCTTTGGTTGTAAGAAGCTGGAACAACAGCTTGAGCCTGTTGTCCGAAGCTGAAGTATTCTACTTGCTGCGGGACCTCTTTGGCTTCCTGGATATGCACAGCATAGCCCTGGTCGATTTCGACAGGGCCTGCTTCCTTCTGATGCAATGATTGCAAGGCTACAGTCTCCTCCAAACAAGAGGACCACTTTTCGTCCGCTAAGAGGATATGCATAAGTCTGGGCGAATGCTCCTCTTCGAGATTACATGCAAGTTTCATGAAAGCCGGGCCCTGCATAGATGTCTCCCGAATGTCTCGTAGTTGTTGATTTGACAGCAACAAGTTGCGACTCGATCATAGCATTCGAGGAACGCTTCGTTCATAAGGTCAACTGTGTCTGTGAGCGCTGACACTCGATTCCAGGCCTCGTCAACGCTGTCACTTATTCGTTTTCTGTAAGCACGCTCAGCCGCTCGGTTCTGCGTCCGACGCCGCTACAACAAGGTCAGCGCTCGAGTTTTCACCTTGCTACCACTCCCGCAGAGCACTTGCACTGTAGAGTAGATCCGAATCCAGTACGTTGAAGATGGCTAGTACCTGAGATGGGTAAGAATTTACCTACATCTGCTCCAGATTCATTTCTCCTCTCTATTAACACACGAGGTCTACCACGTTTCATCTTATCATCACTGCCCCTAGTTCTGCTTATCTTGGCACACTTCCTTTCGAGTTGATCAGTGTCCTCCATTGCTCCTGTTGAGCTTCGGTGCTTCTGAGGAGCAGTACGAGAACGTCCCTACAAACAACGCAAGATATTGCTGTGACGAGTCCTACGTCTGAAAACAATGCTTGTGGCCGATTTTGTTCCACCGTGATCTACCCAAAAATTCTTGGATCTTAGCAAATCCAGCATTGTCTCCGTAAGCCAAGTATTACTTCTGACTAGGCCTCGCGTGTATTGGTAGCAGGCAGATCCACATTGACCGTCTTCGGACTCTCGCTTTGTATTGGCACGCATATTGCAGCATCTCGGTGGCTGTAGATCGAGGTCTGGATTAGGATCACGAACCGGAGTGTTTCGACGTCGCAGCTTGATATACTTGGGAACCATGCTCTTATCGTCGCTGCACACTTCGGACGTCTCTCCAACCACTCGATGAGCGTGCTAGTGTTTACTCGCGATTGCACCGCTTAGACTCACCGAAACACAGCAGTCTGTTCGAGTGTATGCCACAAATCCTGTTCTCTGTCCAGATTCGCGTTCTTCTGAGTTCTTCTGCTCGTCTATCCATTCCAATTCTACGTCACTTATTGGTCATACTATCATCATCATCTGCTTGTATAGCTGCAGAAATCTTGTAGTAGGCACCACGTACAGGTGGACCTCGTCGCTGGCCTATCGAAGTTGCAGGTGTGCGCACTAAATCCCGGGCTGCAGCACCACTTCCCCAGGATTTACGACAGTAGTTCAGGATTTTGAATTCAGAACCTCTAACTACACTAAACGTTCGGGCTAACACAAATCCCGTGTTACGAATTTGCTGACTACTGGTGAGTGATCTTGGGCTAGCGTCCTGCAAAGGAGAAGTTCAAGATGCGGACAACCAACCGACTATCTGTCAGCATCATGCATGGCTGGGTCATTCGTTGGATCATTCGTGCCCGATAACGGAGTCCAGATGCGGACACACTAAAAGTAGCTTACTTCGCCGGAACCAGGATATCCTGTGGTTGATCACCTTTGTATACCTAAGTTAATCATGCAAGTATCTTTGATTATGCATCGTCATTATCTCTACCAACTGTACAGACAGCCTGCTAACTACACAGACAGCTGGAAATACACTGGTCTGCAGCTCGTGTAAGCGCCGTCAGCGTAGTAGTGATTGATCCGTCGGTGTGATTATTAGCCTCTCTTTGTACCTCTTACTTTCGACTGAGATCTATAGAAACGCTATAAGTAGTCGATCTCCAGGCAGTCTACCTTGTTAGCTCACCACAGTGCACATCGCATCAGTCTCAACATCGCCACTATAATTGCACCGTTTCCTTCAATGACCGCCACTTGGCACAACGATACCTACCCATCCATCGACCCTAGCCTTCCCGGCATGTCTGTAAGTGGGAAGAAGGTCCTAGTGACAGGCGGCAGCTCTGGTATCGGCCGTGAGACTGTTAAGACCTTTGCTGCTGCTGGCGCGGCCTCTATCGCAGTCATCGCCCGTCGGCAGGACTTACTCAACGAAACAAAGAAGATCGTCAATAACGAATTCAAGGATGTCGGAATCACGCTACACTCGGTGGACATAACCAATGTCGAGCAAGTTAGGACAGCAGCGCAGAAGATTGGGCCTTGGGATATCAGGGTCTTGAACGCCGGATATATGTCGACGCCTGCTCGGATCGAGGACGACGACCTTGAGGAGTGGTGGAGGGGCTTTGAGGTATCGTTACTACCACGTTCTTGAAAGGCTTACCCATGACGCTGGCTGATAATCCCTCAAAACAGATCAGTATTAACGGCCAGTTCATGATCGCGCAAGCATTTATGCCATCGCGCAATGAAGGGGCCAAGGTAATCGGGACGAGCACCAGCGCGATCTCGATGGACGCATCTTTGCAGACCTCCTACTCCTCGTATGTGACGTCGAAGTTTGGATTGGTGAAGTTCTATGAGGTCTTAGCCGCGAAATATCCAGACACTCACGTTGTCACGTTTCACCCTGGCATCGGTACGTACACACTCCTAGACCTAGAGCCGACACTCTTTAATGCTGATTGGCGGACAGTGGAGACAGACATGTTCGTCAAGTCTGAGATGACTGGTATGCCAATGGACAAAGGTTTGACTTCCTTTACCCGCTTACACATCTGGCCGTCGTTGGTGCTTACAATTTGCTAGCTACTCTGCCTTCGCACTTTGCCGTCTGGCTCGTAAGCCTTGAGGCCGCCTTCCCGCGCGGGAAATTTGTCTCGACGAACTGGGATGTCAATGAGTTGAAAGTAAGGGCCAAGGAGATACAAGACTCGTCTATACTGACGAGCAACATTCTTGGTTGGCCGTTTAAGCCCTAGAGCTGGTCTAAAGTAGAACACAGAGGAGGTTGTGCCTAGCACTGTAGTGACATGAAGGATTCGTGTCGTGCGGTGGTTTCGTGGCTGTTGAATGTGAGGGTGGCTTACGTGGCTGCGTGGGCTAACATAGTTGTAGCGGAGGAATTGTGAGAATGGAAAAAAAAGCATATTCTAGTGCTTCCCCGGCTCCCCGATTCTTATCATCCACAGAGGCAAGCAGGCGCCTACGATGTTGACCTCAGTCCTATTCTTGATCTCAGTCCTGATCCAATGCTCCGGTTCAACGCGTTCCCTTATCGGCTATACATACTTGTCGCTCTCCATGGGCGTGAGCTCGAAGCCCAGCGTGTAGCAGAATGTTCTGAGATCCGTGGTCATGAATGCACTCGTAAGTGACTGGCTGGCTGCACGTTCTCCAACAAATGTCGTGATCTAGGAGATCCCATAACGAACCGGACGATACGTTTCGAGTTCTTGGTGAGGTTAGCGAATGGTTCAAAAGAGGCTGGACTCTACAGGAGCTGCTGGCTCCACGTCTGGTCAATCTCGTGACAAGCTCATGGCAACTGATTGGGCATAAAGGAATATCTTAACTTAGTGGCTACGAGACTTTGGTCGGGCCTAGCCTGGAATGTGATAATTCTAAGACCACTGGTATTCCGCAAACCGCGCTGCACGGCTTCCGAACAGATGCTGAATACGGTGTGGAACAGAAATTGGCATGGATGGAAGGCAGAAGTACTACACCTGAGGAAGATGTATCGTACGCCTCGTACGGGATATGTGGGGCCACGCTCGGTGCGAATTATAGTGAAAGAGGTAAAGGAGCGAGACAGCCTCTGCACTCGTGCATCTTTATCCGCATCTACGCAGATGGTGTTGACGGTCGACTATCTCAACATGACTGCACAATTTGAGACGGGTCAACAACCACCGCTTGTAGTGCTGAAGGGAGAATTGTTGTGTTGGATAATCTGGCCAAGGATATACAGAATATATCCGCTCTTCTTGAGCATGCAATCAAGACAATAGAGCGCAATGCAAGGTCGAGCGAGTAATATCTTCTCGGGTATATCAGTTGGTGCCAGAGTGAACGACCGCTGGCCACTCTATTTAAAAGCAGTCGAGAGAAGCCGCGAAAACTTGTGCTTGACTATGTGGTATGTGGCCCCACCCAGCATCTGTGTCTCGGTGCTGTTGCGCCTGCCATAGTGACTCGAATTGATCTTTTCATCCTTCGAGGCATGCCCTTGTGCTGCAAGCCTGGAGAGAAGTAGATGCTCGCATTGGTGTGACTATAGTCTTCCCCCAGATGGCTTCAGCTCACCACATTTTGGCAACGGGAATCACCTGTTGCACTGGCATGAACGTGCCCTCTTACATCTCGACAGCACAAGACTGCGTTAATCCTCCTTCCGAACTTAGCGCATCTACATACTGCTCGGTTTCTATGCATTGCATTGGGTTGGCCTCAGCCGCCTTCACCGTCGGCTTGACACCGGAGTCTTCGACGTTCGAGGTCACGTTCCTAGACTTCCTTGCCTCTTTCTCGGCTTCCTTCACGGCTTTATCCATTCGTGCCTTTTGGAGATCTTCGTAACTCGTCACTCTAGCCTTTCCGACCTTCATTGAGTCCATGTCTCCGACCATGCTTAACATCCAGGCCGTGAAGGACAGCAGGAGGAGCGTTCCGGACTACGGGCAGGAGCTCGTCTATAGGGACGAGAAGGGCACGGTGGGGCTCACGCAGAACGCTTACGTCTCGTTGTTTGATGGAGGGAGGGCTAGATAGCTATGTAGCCCTCAGGGGCGGAAGGATAGCATCGAAGGTGCATTATAAGTGACATCGGTGACGGAGGTTCGAGAGATGATTGACAAGAAGTAGAGTGTGTGGCTTACAAGCAGGTTGAGGATGCATTCACCTTATGTGGACTAGCTCAGGTCGTGCGCTGATATATCTCTGCCCAGTTCTGATCGTATCTTGAAGACGCCGATGTCCAAGCACAAATGCCTCTTCGACCTTGCCTCCAACACGCGCTTTCCTACTTGGCGGCGTATTCATACTCTTGAAGGGCGGTGTCCGCGCTACCCTGGAGACAGTCGGCAGGCTCCCACGTGTCTTGCCAACTTACTCGATAGTACAGCTTCGATCCACGACGCCTGCTATTTGTAATACGGGCTACAGCCCATGTCGGTCCGGATGGACGACTCACGACTTCAGGTCTTGAGCTATGCCTATGACGCGACAGCAAATTTGCGCTGCTGCTAGCCGGGCACGAGCTCGTTTTCGTGCGAAGTCTCCGGTAAGGCTTCCGCGGAGCTTCGCTTTCGCTTTCGCTTTCGCTGTCATCAGTTGGAGCGGTAGCCAAGCATCTTGACTGGAAATGTGTGCTGGACGCCAAAGACTTCTGTAGGCGCCAGGCCGTGTCACTGCCGTCGGAACCGGCTGGCGGGATCGAAGTCGAGGGCGACAATCCATCAGAATGTCTACCGGGTTCAAGGAACGTCGGTGGACTCAGGCAGCTTATAAAGCGGGTAGAAGGCTGTTCGGTAGATAGTTCGCGAGCAGACACTCCGCTGGTAGACGACATTGCAGGACGGTCATCCGTGTCTTCGGTGCGAAACGGGACACCAGGTTCGGCGGATGTCGTAGTATCCCAGCAGAGCTTTTCCGCATGGCCCGGCAGCTCGGCGACGCTGCTCCGTGTAGGTGTGCGTTCGATCTGCAGCGGTGATGAACATGCTGCTACAACAGACTCCGCCAACGACACATGGTTATCGCCTAGTGATACCGCAGTCGACGCGGTACTGGCCGTCGAGAACGTGGCATCAGGGATCTGCATGGCCTCCCCAACAGGGGAATCGCCTGCAGCCCTAGATAGAAGCTGGGGCGGATGGAGCTCCCGGCCGTGTGACGGTGCGATTATCGATGCTATACGGAATTCGGTGTCCATGCCGGCGCCGGGACCTATTGTTCACTCGTCAACGTGCTGAATAAAGGCGGGTAGGCTCGAATCTTACCGATGGACGTACGATTCACTGGCGGCTGGTGGCAAGCGCTCGAGATGCTGAACACGGCTTCGCCGGGGCGACTTCTCGAGGCGGCGAAATGTTCGAACGACTTGCGGGCGGTCGACTGTGGAGGTGGGCCGGGGTAGAAGACCATCTTATCTAGCGACACTGCAGAGGCCATTGCCCTGGTTGAGGAGTTCGAGCTATCCGTCTACAGACTGTTCTGGGAGGTGGGGCCCTGTTGGGCACCGAAGAATCGTAGACAGAACGGGTCGGCAGACACAATACGCTATATAGCCGCATCACAGTGAGCGCAGACTTGCCTGCCGGTTTCAGACTTTCCTTTTCGAGGGAGGACCGAGTCGCAACATTTCCTAACCCCCTCATTGCCATTCCCGGTCGCAACCACAATCCGTTGAGGCGCTAGCAGCGTCGATGCAAAGTCACGCGCATGCGTGTATGAGAGCCTAGCGTCCAGGCAGCACTCAAGAGCAGACCACTCGACACGCGAGCCGACGAGCTTGCCAGGATGATGCATAAATGAGATGGCGAAAGTGGCAAGTCTGTGCCCGGGTTGGCGCTAGTGTGATAAGAGCGCGCTGCAGCGAGGCTGCAGATGGGAGGAGCGGGTGTGGTCGGCTTGCCACGGCGAGAGTTGGGCAGTGATGAACGCTGAGATCGACACCGCACACCCAGACGGCAAAGTTCCATCCCCGCGGGGCAATGGCACAGATCCATGGGCAGCCGGGGCGCGGCCTCAAAGAAGGCTCAGTCCGAGAATCGCGCGGGCGAGGTATTGCAGAGAGTCGGCGCAGCATGACCACCACGCAGGTTCGCTTGAACCATCGTGGAAGCTGCGTCTTCGCGGCGACGGCGATCTTCCATCGTTAGACTCCAGTGTTGCATCCTCGTACCGACGAGACGCGTCAGCTGTGGAGGCGCAGCGCTATCTGCGGTCAACGATCGCGATGCTGGCGAGCGGCAGGCTGGTGCAGTCGTATTACGAGCAAAAAGGGTCGTGGGAGTTGGGCGCGCACCGCAGGTGAAGTCGAGGTGGGCACGCTTGGCCGGACGCGGCCGGCGCTAGACCATCCCCGGACGACGCTGCGCCCGATCGGGGTGCGTCCCGATCGGGGCGCAGGTCCGCTGTCGCCGGCTTTATATAATAATATTAGGTTACCTAGATTTTCGATAATACTAAAGATTATAGTAACAAAGTAGGCGTCGCGCTACTAGAGAGTAGGCGAGAGTACTAGGAGATATAGTAGGAACCTAATAACTAATTCGTTTATACAATAGACAAAGAAGGCAGCGTATAGGTGTTACGGACACTGTCACAATGATTGGTGGGATAAGCGAGTGGACAGGAAGGCAGGAGCGGAGGCTTCCGCTCCCGCAACTGATACGACTGACACTCCTTCGATCAGTCGGATCAGACGCCACTGACTGAACTGACCGCACCGCGATCAGTCAGATCAGTCGAGGCACGAATCTCCTATGTATATAGAATGAACGTTTCTTATGTAGGTAGTTCGTGTTCAACCTAAGTTACCAACCCGCCGAAAGGTCAAACCTCAGAGCAGTCACTTACCCGACCCATCGCTTGAAACTCACTCGTCTAACGAGCTCTAACCCCCTTGTACCGCAGGTGCATAACAATAGGGCTAACTAATATATAGTACCTATATAAAGACGGTAGCTTGCTATTACTAGCGAGGCATTATAGTAGGGAACTATTACGCCTGTATATTGAGGTAGGCAATTATAAACGAGCCAGAGCATTATCTATTTGATTGATTGGCAGCTATCTTTGATTAGTCTTGTAGCTGCGGTATCCTGATAGGTGTGATGGATCGCGCAGATCAAAGAAGCTGTATGTAAGGGTGTAGCGAGGCCCATCCCGCTCTAATTGCGGAGTAACACGTCCGTGTGCCCCACATGTACAAAAGCGCTAGCGTCGCCATATGTTCACTCCGCCCCAAGAGGCGAAGAAAACATTTACACAATTCTCAGGATTTTCCGTGGGATATGTCGCCGCGGCTGCGCGCAGCACAATACATTCTGGTCGCTGTCATTTGTCCTTGAGGTGTAGATAGCAGTGAGGGCTTTGAGTTAGTGCTTGGTATCTGCGTCTCATGTGCCAACATCTTACCATGGCGGGAATTGACTACATCGATCCGGAAAGCATGTTCCGAGCCATTGATTCTGGTTCTACGCCAGACATGAGGCCTATACCTGAGATCCTCAACAAGAATGACGTACAGTGGCAAAGCCGACCACGTATAGCGAGCATCTTTCAAGACTGGAAGTTACTGAGAGCTATCATGGAGCGGCACGAAGCAACCATTCAGAAGCGGTGGCGCAAGAAGACTAAAGTACAGCGCCTCAAGATTCTCCTGACGGCATGGCCTGAAATGGCAGCGTCGCATCGGCCTGATTACTTTGCACTTAGGAAAGAGACTGCAGAGGAACGGCGGGCAGGTACAAAATATCGCGCATATTTTTTATGGCCGTATATCAACCAAGAGGACCTTACCGACGCTAAAAAATTGTTGCTGCTTTTTCAAGCACGAGGACGAAGCTCACCGGATGTCTTCGCCATAGCAGATGAACAAGCTGCACATCTCGGATTCACCTCTGGAGCGATCGTTCAGCCCTTCCTTAACAACTACACCATGTACTTCTCTGGCCGTAGTACGGCCGAAGTATATGGTGAGATTGTTGCGTGGGATGATGACGATGCTGCATTCCAGGATATGATGTACCAGAGAGCATTACAACCCGGTGCGGGTCTTACACTTCTGGAGATTCAAGAGCGCATCTATGACTTCTTGGTTGAGTGTTGCAAGAACATTTTGCATGATATATCCGGTATTGCGCTCACGAGCGATGCATATCCGATACAGTCGGAAGTTTCAATCGCAAAAGATACCGCCATCGGATTTGACTCGCTTGCGGTAATGGCCGCGGAAGCGCCGTATCGCGTGCCGGCAGAGTTCGACCTTGCAAGGCTTCAATCGCTCTTCGCAGCCAGGGTTTCGGCAGCAGAAGATCACATATGGTCAATGCGCGAGGATCCTAGTTACTATGCCGAGCACCTAACGGAAGCTAGTGAGCACCGGACTGAGAGACTGAGAGACTCAGCCGGGAAGGCGCACCCGTTCTTCAGCGTAGCTTCGAATGAGCCGTTTTGGGCATATGTGATTAGCGACGTGACTGGAAACGCCCACGTTCTACTTGAGGTGTTTCAAGAGCTCTATCTTCAAGTGATTGCGCTAGGCGAGCTGCATACGAAGTACGCGAAGGATCTCAGAGTCGATCAGGACCTCCCGCAAGAGTATCTGCATGCTCTGCTCAGGTTCCGTTACTACCTCGACCAAGCCGTTAAAGGCCCTCTGCGGCAGCTTCGTAACTATGCGCTTGCATCTCCGCCTATGCGTCCATACTTTGCTCGATCCCCTGCAGAAGGTCAACCTCTGAAGAACCAGATCGTGCAGAAGCCTGGTGTGAAATTCGACAAGTCGCAGCATGAGCTTCTGCAACTGCTGATGGTGCTGTGGGAAAATGATTATCGAGTGCACTTGATCGGCCAAACAACGGCAGTTGACGAGCTGGAGCGGCTCCTTCGAAGCGAGCCGAATGCCCGCGACATGATATCCAGCTATGTCGCCAGCATCATCTCTAACCTATCTGTTCTTACAGAAGTAACTCGACAGCTGAGTAGATTCCAGCCTTGGGCGCAAACGTTTGAAGACACCATGGTCAACCACAGGGAAGCGATTGAGGAGGACTACAACCAGCGCACCAAACACTGGAATGGCTTGCTTGAAGTCGCCAGAGGTTCTTCACAAAGTCAGCTCGTTCGTCTCGGCGATCCAACAGAGAGGCGTTTCTACTATCCAATCGATAAGCGGAGGAGTAAGGAGAATGTCGAGGCCGTGCGCTCTGCTGAGCAGGGTCTTGACGCCTTCTGGGCTGAATTCGATCGTGCCTTGCTGACGAAGATGGGCGAGAACCTGCCGGGCACAGCTTTGTGGAAGCTCTTGTCTTGGCCGAGGACGTTGCAAAGGATGCCGGAATGGACTGAACCGAAGAAGAAGCTGGGGACTGGGCAGCACGTGGACGCGGGCGGTGCACTCGCAAAACCGCTGTCGGAACTGTACCTCGATCTTCAGCAGCGTACAGAAAAAACCATTGATCGTTCACGCCCTGCTCAGATCGCTAGCATGAAGACCAAGACTAAAGGTACGGGAAATCCTCCTCGGACGCACGAAGACCCGCCATCTAGCGCACAACCCGATCCTCAGCCAGTCTTCGCTGTTGACGCTCGCGCACTCAAAGTGTTTCGCACCCTCCTCTTCTTCACGCCATCTGCCCATGCAACACCTGGCGAATTGGCGTGGACGGACTTTCTATATGCCATGGACTCCGTAGGCTTTCATATCGAGAAGCTGCATGGTAGCGCTTGGCAGTTCCAGCCAACCAAACTCGGCATTGAGCGGGGTGTACAGTTTCACGAGCCACATCCAAGTGGCAAGCTGACGTACAGAGTCGCTAGGCGAATCGGACGGAGACTGGAAAGGGCATATGGATGGTTCAGCGGATCGTTTGTGCCGGGGGACAAGGATGGTGGGAAGGCTCAGCAATAGACTATGGACCTGTCTCCTCGCCATGAGTCAGGTGTTGAGATTGTAGCTGCCTCTGGTATCTCCGGCTTGAATGGTCGGCGCTCGGTCCAATCTTCCTTTCTCTTCATTTTTAAGGGAACAGCTGTCATTGCTGGATGGCTAAGCGATTACCGTTCTTGGCCGTTCGACAGCATCGGGAGCCACGAGGGAATAGGAACGAAAACGCCGCAATAGTTCTTTAAGCTCTGAACCTTGAATTCGATGTTTGGTACATCGCAAATGGCGTCTCCACGCTGTTTCTTCCGGTTCTAAACAGTAACCACAAGTCCGACACAAAAGCGTGCGTACGGTGATCTCCTCTCGAGTCGTGCGGTACACAAAGCACAGCAAAGCCTTCCAGATGCTGACATCTTCGCCATGTGGCTTTCTGGAGGTGTATCATCAATGAACGATCAGCTGCATGCGGCCGATGAAGGAAGCTATTGATTCTGACCTGGTCGAAGACATTGACGCGGTCGCTACACACTGATTCGTGCGCAGCTTGTACGAGGCGCTCTAGGCTCTGGCACAACGCGACACAAAGAGGCTCAACTTCCTTGTCTGGTGGACAGAGAAGGCTGGCGGTAGAGGACAGGTGTTGACCAACAAGGTACTCCAGCCAGCGTGTCAATTGTAGCCATGGTGAAGGCTGTTTCCTAGTTGGCAGGTCACAAATCCATTCCTCACCATGCTGCGCCACTATCTCCCGAGCAGCGAGTTCTTCTAGCATCAGGGTCGCGAGCGGTAGGACTGTATGAGACCAGCTAGTCTTGGCCCTGGTGTAGATGGTAAGCTTGGCGCGTTCCTGATCTGGAAGTATTTACTCTGCCGTCCAGTATGAAACAGACGCTGAGCGTTGACATCGCGAAAGGCTGAGTTCGTGCGCACTCGAATTGCGTGCCGTCAGGATATACTGTGGGCTCCTCCACGGGTGCCAGCTGTCCAGTTATGGGCGTCGCGCCAGTGACTTCGCAAGGTCTCAAAGTTTGGAGATACGTACGCACAGTGATCAGGGTCGAGGCGGCATAGGTTGTATTCCAATGGACTTTGAGACCTGGTATCGGGTCGTCAAGGGTAGCTGGTAGAGTGAAGGTATCCTCGGATTGATGGATTGGCCACGCCTCCAGATCCCGGACGATCTGTATGCGCTGCTTAGAGGGTATCGACGGGTCCTTCGCACGAAGATGGGTAACAGCGTGAATCGGCCACACAGCATAGCGGCACTTGTAACAGACGGCGACCCCAGGGTCTGTTATACACCCGAAGTACTCATCGGCCATTGGCTCGTATCAACGAGTGTTTTTGGAAAAGCTTGTTTGTTCGTCATAATTCCTCTATAGTCGTGCCGACTCACACATCTCGGTCATAGCTGCTAAGCACGAGCCTGGCTGGAGTCAGTGCTATGGCATGGAAGAAGAATTGGGGGCGGAACACCAAAGCAGCACCATCGCTGACAGCTTCTGGTTCTCGGAGTCGTGTAGCTGTCAACTGGGCGACCATGAGCGTGATATGGCGTCCCTGACGAGACTTTTGACCATGATTGAAGGACGATCCCAACGCGGGGTCGATCCGTGTGCGGAATAGAAGTGAGAGAATAGAGAATAGTCGTGTCCGTCGTAGCAAAGAGAATAGACCTGTCCGCGGTCTTGAGGAAATGTGCCCCCCCACTCAAGCGCGAGTCCAGATGCACTCCCAACATTCGTACTACCGGGGACGGATCACCGTCAAAGCCAGGGATCCGCACTGTGGCCTGCATGACGAAATTCTTCAGCCGTGGTGTAAATTGGATCAGCTGGCACTTGTCGGGAGCGAAGGTGGCACCGTGAGTCTTGTCTTAGTCGGCGCAGATCTCGTGTGCTCGTTCCAACATGCGGCAGGTTGCTATCTACTGCAGATCTAGTACACCAAGAAACCCGCGTCTTCCTACAAGATGCTCATTCAGAAAAGGGACAGACTGCACGAAGGTGATCCACGTGCAACCGCTGTATCTCGCATTCCAACCGCTCCATGAGCCGTTTGTCACGCTCCATGCAGGAGATCTTCTCCTTGATAGCATTATTGTACAGTTCGAAACGCTCCCATTTATCGGCATCGTCAAACCGCTCCACTTCCTTGTTTCTTTCGTCATGCATAATCTTAAGAGTGTTGTCAATGCCCGCAACCGAAGCCTGCATCTCGGTGGACTCATGATTTCGTAGCTCAATTTCTGCAATGTACACCGACTTTGCAGTCACCTCTACCCGGTCGTCTGACATATGGGTCTCAAGTTCGACAATCGCCGCCTTATTGAGGTCTATTATGCTTTTCTGTTTCACCCTCTGCTCTTCTAGCTGTTCCTTTTTGGCTAACCAGATTGCGAATTCACCCATGGCAATCTCTGTCGCCATCCGCAACGGACTCCGTGCTCCTTAGTGTCGTAGAAGATTCGTCCAGTCCGTGCCGTATCGTAAGCGCAACTTTTTATCTCTCGTAAGAGCTCCGTCCTGTCTGCCGATCCGATCTCGTCAGCCTTTAATGTCTCGTGATGAAGTCGGCAGCTTATACAAGCGAGCTCTAACAGCCTCCAAGGATTGAGTTATGAAGCCTCTTGAGTAGTCGGGCCGGGCCGTGAAAGCCCGCTTTGGGCGGCAGTCTTGGAACGAGATGGAGCAATTCGAAAAGTTCTTAACTTCTTAAGTTCAGTTAGCAGTGCATATACACCACGAGACCCAATGTCATGGCTCCTCACTCGTAGCAGATGGTTAATCGTAGACTCATAAGACTTCGGGATAGCATATTGTGGGGATGACCATGACGTCGAAATGACGCCCAGAAAGGCCTTTGTCACGCAAGAAAGGTATTTGAGTACCTGCCGCGTCGCATTGAATGCAGCAGTGATCGAGCAGCATCTAGACAAAGACAACGAGGTGTACAGGCGAGGTGACAGCATGTTGATTTCACTTCACATCTGCAGTCAATCTGGTTTCAGTCGTGCTGTCAGGTATGCTCGGACGCAGAGATCAAAATTATCTTTCGATGGAACATTCACTGATTCCAATGTATGGATGCACACTGTCGATGGTCAGGACTTCGAATGAGAAGACATCGAGCTTCTGGGTCAAAATCAAAGCAAAAGAGTGCGAGTGTTGCGTAGTCGGAAGGTTTTCGGGATTTGGGTTACGGCTGATAAATGGTTCGCCATCGCCTCAATTCCACCTAGCATGGTTATCGAGCATTTTGAACTTGCTGAAGGGTCAATATTCGGACGGCCGTTCAAGCTGGTTCCATTACAACCTGCTTTCGTCCCTCCTAATTTGTGCTGCATCGAGGATCCAGTTCGTGCCATTGATGACGCGCGGGTTCGCCGGGCAGAAATGAGTGAGCAGGAGCAGGATGAGCAATGGCGTAGAGCCTGTGAAGAGGAAGAGAAACATCCCTGGCGGAATCATTCAGGGAGTGATGAGCGCATCTATAAAGACTTCAGGCGGGGAACGCGGAGCGCAATAGAAGTCTTAGCGTTCATACACTATCATGGTCAGAATGTCTTGCAATTGGGATATGAAGATCAGGCAGGCAGCGGGTAATATTCGCATGAGCATGGTGACATTGGCTTTCACTACTTCTACCTGCCCGTAGCGAGACTTCCTCGACTCCGTCGCACCTCGGCTGCTGCCTAAAGGCCTTGAATGAAGCTTGTAGACGAGACATGGATCTGAATCTGCCTTTGCCACTCCTTCATGGGTAGCGTAGGGGATTGCTTGTAGGTTCTGACTCAAGTCAGTCCACCTTGCGATGCTGGAAGAGGCGTTAAAGAGACCCGTGGGCTCTAGGTTGTCAAGATTTCATACCCGTTACAAGCTCTGATAGGAAGATTACGACATTCTTTCTGGCACACAAAATTTGCTTGATGGACATCCTAAATGAATCTTTGCCTTCGGAGATCCGCAGGCCGACCAGACTACTGAGGACATGCCATCGATTTGGCAATGCCGGCTAGGTAGTGGTCAGGTAAGCCTGCATAACTCAAAGCGTTGCATACTAGACTCTTATAGGCTCCTATCTCTTACGGCATATGCCAAAGAGCAACTACCACTGAAGCAAGTGAATATTTGCCCAACGTCGTTTGACCCATAACGGAAGCATTGCCGCAGAGACATTTTTTTTCTTCGGTATGGTGGGTGACGACAAGATTCGAGATGGTCCCCCACCTTACGATGACTTCCGCAAGCCCCTTCACTGATGAGCGTCGATCTCGTCAGCACAGCCTAGGAAGTCTGACCTTGTGCTTACTGACTGTGCTGGGATCGCCACGGTATCTTGCTCCTGCGATAAATGCCAATGACAACGCCGACCCTTCGTCCCAGTAGAAGAGCAGCGTATGCAGTTGCTGTCATTGTCTCGTTCCAGAAGAACGTCCCATGCTTGCCGCGGCCTGCTTTATCTGCCGAGTGATATTGTTGGTGCCGTTGTTGCTGGTCCGCGGAGCTTAAGAATCCGTGATTTTGCTGATTCGGCTTATGTTCGCACCATTCCCACGTCTTCGAAAGGCCGCATCACAGGAGGATTTCCAGCACGACAACGTCCATTCCACTGTTGATGTCACGTTACTAGGTTCCCTGTGGCTCATCGCCAGCACAACGTGGAGTTAGGTGCTTGGGCGATTCTTTTGCGTCTGAAGAGCACATCTGTTTATGTGTCGCACACGACGAAAGTCGTTCGTCCTTTCTTTCTTCATAGCTCGTCTTGTGTATCATCTTATCATACATGCCTGGACGTATGCCATTTCTGCTTGTTTCGTATTCGTGATAAGGCCCCATCCTCGGCAGTTGGCAGGCTCCTCCTTGGCCACTCCCACCTAGATTGATTCATCCTTCCGCTCGCACATGTTGTTTACACCGTGTGCATTCGTCAGTCTGATCATTCATGCCGTCGTGTCCTGTTGAGCCGGATCGATGACGTCGACGACCGCGTGGAGGTTGAAACGTGTTGTCATCTTCGTCTCGATCCTCCCATGATGCATCCCTTGCCTGCTTTGACTTTCCCATTGCAGACCAGTCCCTCCCCTCGTCCAGCTTATTGATGCCCCAATCTATAACCGGGCGCGAATCGCCCATGCTCGGAGCCCAATCCTCTCTTGCCTCTCCGGTAATGCCCGCTATGGCAGAATCAAAAGAGTCGGACGAGAGCCTCTGTCGTTTTCCCAATGCATGGTTAGTCTCCAGCTCATCAACAACCTCGTGAACATCATCATCAGTACCTACCACCGCATCCTCCCTCTTCCGTTTCGAAGGACTCTGCGAGGAGCGCTTGGTGGGACTTCGAGAACTGCGACCAGCGCCCTGGCCCTCCATGAACTGGACGCAGTCGCCAGCAGTGTATCTCTTTGTCTCTTGCAAGCCATTGACGATTGGCACGATGAGCCATCTCGCCTGTCCCGAACCCAGAAACGTGCGAAGTTGTGGCAGGATGCCATATGCGAATCGTACAAAGAGGAGCTCCCAAGCAATTCCGCGCAGCTCTTGGAGCTCCACGTTGTGATACAGCGCCAGTAATTCCGATGACCAGGCGGCTACATGTACCACCAGGCGCGCCTTACTGGCACCGTCAGATTTCTTGGGCACGAAGAACAGCCGAGAAGCATCCCAGGACCTGTGAACGTCTTGTCTTAAGGTAATGCCATTGACAGGCTTGTCGATGGTGTCTGGTCCTGCTGTGGGATTGCCGCGCCAATACGTCTGCATCGCGTTTTCTTCGAACCACTGACCCTCGGCTTTAGGAACGAGATGAGCCGCTTGAATTGATTCCCGGCTATCGGTCAAACGGCAGCGTTGTCCATCGCGCGAGAGGACACCCTCCGTCCCGTCTAAGAGTCCCCCGTCTCTTACGCCGATGTCTTGCCAGTGTGGTATATGCACAGCACGAGGAAACTTCCATGCGCGGAAGTTAGGAACGACGGGATATGGCGTCACGGCTTGAGAGTCGGCTCGGGCTTGGGCTTGGATGTGGTCGGATGGCGGTATATGGAAGTAGTACGTAGCAGCGGGCAGGACAGTCATGTGGTCGAGATCCTCGTGATCAGCGCCAGGGTCAGCAGACCTGGACAGGTAGCCATCGAACCGATTGTTGGCGATAATGGCGCAGGCAACATGAGTGGTGCCGTGGTCGACACCAGGTAAACCCGACTCGTCGTCGGTAGCAGGTAGAGAAAGGAGGATGGCGCCGGGATCACTGGGGTAGCCTGGATGCCGTACGTCGACTGAACCTCGACCCAGCAAGCTGGCCTCGTACTGCTGCCCAGCACGCGTCAATCGCTCGCGCAATTGCATGGTAGACCTGCGTCTGTCGTGGCCGCAAGATTTCGAAACGGCAGCTTGTACTTTGAAGCACCTCCAATTGACCGTGTAAACAAAGCTGAGAGCTTGTGCTCCAAAGGAGGTTAGCTTCAGCCCGTTGGTGCCTCCAGCAACGTCACGCCGATCCTCCCGATTGGGGTAACGCGCCTACAAACGCTCTTGCCGGAATGGCTAGCGAGCAACCATGTACTGTGACTTTCGTGGGTTCCGACGCGTTCAAGCAAGCACACTATGGCTAGAAATGTTACTACCGCGACAGCTCACAGCAGTCTAGTCGTATATGGCTTAGTGCCTCGATTCCTGAGCATCATCCAAGCACTAAGTCATTTTTGTCTAGCGCAAAGCTGAATACAAGATGCGTGTTCCACGCGTCGTCTCTCTTTAAAATGGTCGGTGGCACCCACGGTGTCTCATGGTTGAATGTTGACTATCGAGGTGGTATACAAATCGCGCTCTCTAAGACGCCTTTGTCTGGCATAGTAAAAAGTACCGCGAAGTGCATCGGTGGGATCTACAAGCATAGTCGGGGAGCAGCAGCGGAAGAGGCCATGGACTCCTCATCAGATCTCTTCAATCTCGATGTCAACGACTCGACGAATGATCATCCGCTCGGAGCCATCGCTCTTTACGCTATGGGTCTCTCCTACACGGTGTTCTTTGTCCTGAAAGTCGGGAGCAATATTGACAGTGTACGCGGAATCTTCAGGTCTTAGACGGACGCAAGATTCGCCATTCTCGTCGCGGCGCTGCGAAGTACGACGGTTGTGCACCGATTGTAATTGATATGTATCGGGGACTGCAGGGTGATCGGCTCCAGTGTCGTGGGCGAAGGAACTCAAGTTAGTCCTGTTCCCGCACAGTCAGCAAGCAATGTTTGATGCAAATTGCAGTCGTCACGTACAAGGTAACACCATTTGACCTGAACGAGCCTAGTAGACTGCGCAAGTATGGTATCGTGGCTGTCAAGAGCGACACGCAGAGGAGTGACTCCTACCATGCCACAGTTTTGGCAAGTCCAATGCTTGAGACACCAGTCCGGTTGAAGTTGATGTACGATACGGTGGTTCCAATGAAGAGAAGCATTTCTGCCAGCTGGAAAGAGAAAGAGAGCATCACAAGCACTTTATTCCAAGCACTCACGCGGTACTGGAATATCAGCCACAGCGGTAAACCAAGGATAAGAAGTTCCGTGGCCGCATCTGAAGCACATACGATGGTCCAGCGAGTCGACTAAACGGATCAGCTTGCGGCCTCGAAGCGTAGATAGGTAAGGCTTACATACGTTGAGGGAACAAGACCATATCCGATGCTGGACACCAATCGCTCCTTATGGAGATTTCTACTGAATATGCGCCTGATAAAAACCAGCAACGAAGCCTTGGAGAACGCCAGAGCGAGGAGCAGACAGATGCGTAAAGCGAAGTACTTCTATCAACCACCACGGAGGATCAGCTCCTTTCAAAAGCGAGCGAACTGCTCCAGCCCAGACACTCCAACTGACCTTTGCAGGAGTTTCGATGCTGGCTGGATTCAGAGTCGTACAGCGTACGATGTGCTCGATCGATCGTGAAGCGACAAAGGCATCGCACCTGATCCATCGTGATCGACACCCCATGGTATGTGAGCTGAGTCTTCTCGAGATCCCACGTCGCAGGGCGGCTGACCATGGTGATCGGGGGCAATACCGAATAGTCAACGTCGCCAGAGCAGCAGATACGCTAGCGGCTTGCTGATGGTATTCGTGAAATATGCTTGCATATGACGATCAAGCTCTTCATCTAGACCACTATCGAAGTCGTCGCTGTTGCCGTCTAGTAAAGCCCGTCTACAGCGTGGCATGCGAAGCGAAACACCCACGGTTGGGCACAATAAACCAGTGCGGACAGATGATGGTTGAACGATCCAGGCTGCTTCCAAAGCCCTGATTTCTCATCAACACACAGCATGGCTGCATAAGCGGCAATGGGCGACCGAAAAGGTGACGCAGCTAAGTAGTGCTGTATCAACATCTTCGAGATTGTCGTCACTGCCTGCCGTAATGTCGCATCTCTCGTTCTGTCAGATCGACTTGACCTGGCAGATGAAGCAAAAGCCTGTAGATGGCGCCTAATATAATTAAAACCCTGGGTTCCAAAGTTTCTACGCTAGAATTAAAGTTAGGGTTCGTCGTTCTACTCCGCGTTTCAACGCGCACCCAACGCGTCGCCCCTGTGAAGAGATATGTATGCCACGGCGAACTCGCGACCGGATCCCTCTGTCGGAGGTTGCGGACGAATGGTGAAGACTATAGTGTACCACAGATCTCCTAAGAAGAATTGCATCTCGCACCGTTGATTTCCATATCAGTTTGTCTTCGCGGACTATGAGGACAACGAGCTGCGTCGGATTCTAGTCCTCCAGATCGAGACACGCTTCCAAGGACAAATGGCATCCGAAATGGACTCGATGGTGTCTTTACGCGTGCGCCGTTTGTGGTGTAGGCTACCAACGGGATTTGGTGGTAAGCAGAAGGATTTGATGAACAACAGACTCCGAAACTGACACTCCTTAGTCATCGTGAAAGACCCTCCAGACTCCATGGGTGACGTGCTTGGTGCCTCCGAGAACACGATGTACGGAATACTGAGCTCGACTGCTGACAGATCCCTTGTCATAGACGAGCCTTACGGATTGTACACCTCCTCGACCGGTCAAGCGGCTGATCCGTGAAAAGCAGCATTGATCGACACTCTGGTTGCCAGGATACAGAGCGTACCCGGCGACGATAGATGCGTGCTTCATTTTGGATACCATAATAAGATGCGAGACCATGCTGCGCAACGCCAACCCCGGTCTGTCTCGCCATTTCCTGATATCCGAAGCATTCCACTTCCAAGACTTTATTGACGAGGAGCTGGCGGACATAGTCAGACTGAAGTTTACACAGTAAGCATATAAAGTCTTAGGCCATGCCATGCAATGTAACTCGGAAACCCTGCAACACGCCCGCAACAAGCTCCGCTTTGGCGATGCGGGCGAAGTGAATATACTTCTCAACATAGCAGAACAACGTCATCGATAGCGATGTCCAAAAGAAGGGCTATTCTCCAAAATTCTACTAGAGGCAGAAGATTTCGACGTCAACTTCGCCCAGACTGACATCTCGATTGCCGAGCTTTTCAAGGACCAATTTAGGCGTCATAGGCTTGTGTGACGGCTTGGGCAGGTCAAAAATGTTGTGATGAGCATGAGAGCCCGGGATCTTGATCCGCGCCAGCGTGTCCCTTACAATCTTGTCTTCTGTGAGCCACGTGACAGGCTGAGGGTCTTGGAGACTTTTCCTCATGACTGACTATTTATAGGCGCCGGTAAGACAACGAATACTTGGACAACACCTACCTCGATTGAACGATCTTGGCCACAGATGAGATCTTAGAAACATCAATAACTGAGCCAGTAGGTAATTTTGTCGGACATACTGGCAACAAGACTAGAAAGCTCCTAAAGAGCGCGCTCGCCAAAGTACTGTTGATAGACGAGGCATATTGCTTAGCAAAAGGCGAATTCGCGAAAGAAGCTGCAGACGAGTCGATGCAATTATTGGCAAAGCCATAATTCTCGAGTAAGCTCATCATTATCCTGGCCGGCTACAATTGCGATATCGAGCGTCTGATGGTAACAAACCCTGGCTTGACGAGTCGATTTCCGGAGGTATTCCCTTTTACAATCTGTCGCCAAAAAGTTACATCACGCTTTTGATCTCGCGGTTGGGAAGAGAGACTTACTTCCTTGTGTCTCTGTGCAGTCTCTTTCAACGTCGAGCAATGCGATCTTGGGGTTGCAGAGACTCTTTTGTGTCGAGAACTAGGCAAATGCTAGAGACGTCCGGAACTTGGCCAGCGACATCGGCAGCGAGGTGCTGCAAGAAGATGATGTCTCGAGTGCGAAGAGTCGAGAGATCATCATAGAAGAGAGTCGGAACTACAAGTACAAATCATCAGGGGCGAAGGTGCGAAGATCACTATGAAGCAGTATAGAGCGTTCGGACGCATAGGGTGTCATCTCTTCGTGAGAATCGGTTTCCTGTCGAAAAGCTGTCGTGGTTGTGTCCGCGAACAGAGTCTTATGTATCCGCAGGGAGGTTGTAGCCCGAGAGAGCTTGCCAAAAAGCTCCGGGCTAGCAGCAAGGATGTTGTGAGCGGGAACTTGATGTCGTCTAGACCATTTAAGTCGGCACAGATTTGTATGTGGACGAGCTTCGAGTGAATCTTTTTAATTGGATTTCAGAATCTCGACAACAAGCGGTGTTGCTCATGCTTCGCATAATATGAACGATAAGATCGACTCCGGTTGCCCCAAGCTTCTTCCCCTCCCAGCACTGAAGATATGCCTGCATCTCGAGAGTGGTCCATTTCTCCCATCAGACGCATTGGAGACAACGTCACGTCGAACTACCTGTCGGTGGGGTCACGTTCGGCTTATCTCGCTATCGTTTATCGAAACCAATTCATCGTTCGCGGCCAACTTCAGCAACGAAGACGGCTTGATTCCTGCCCAGCGCAAACCTCGACACAACCACCACCGCCAGATCAGGAGTGCTCGTTGTGACGCTATGCATGCACAGCATGAACGCTTTTTCCGGTTCTTTACCGCGCCAGGATCAAATGATTATTCATCCGCCAGCAGCTCCGTGATGAAACATGTCACATCTGCATTCTACAAATGCTACTGCAGACGGAGTATATAAATCCGACCTCTACTGAACGCCTTGTATGCCCAGCTCTTAGTCAGTTCTGCCAGACTCGATAAGCAGGCCGGTAGGTTTGCTTGTTCGTCGCACCGTGCTCGCGAGAAGTCTGACGTTCCGCGTCTTTGCACCCTGTAGTAACACCCTGTTTGCTGCTATATTATTTCTTTTTTCCGCTTTCTGGTATTGTAGAGAGGAGACTCGGGGAATCAGCAAGTGTAAACCAGGCGTGATATGTTGTTGTACCTACACTTGGCAAATCGCACAGGCTGTACTGTTACGTGGTAATCCACGTAAAGAAGCATCCCTATATTATTCACCCTGCTCGCCATCCCATCTGACAATCGCCGGTCTCTACTTGCTCGCGTATAGTCCCTGGCATTGCTCAATATCATGTAAAAGTTGATAGGTGGTTGCAGCAGCTATAATTCTCTTGCTGTCTGACCGCAATGCATCCGCACCAGACGCAAGGGTCGCGATTCATCCTTGTGGATGGCTGCGGCGAGCCGACCTGTTCTGGGTATGCCGCTGTTCAAATCACCAAACTCTGTACAACGCTTCATCTATTTTAACGAACGCGCTGTTGCTCGCAGTGATCTTGAGTTGAAGCATCGGCCGCGCAGCTTGTAGGAGTCTTGCTTGACCGAGGGGATAGACGATGTATCGGCGTTGTCCCCGCGGGACCTATGTCGTGGTCCACTTTGCACTTGCGAGTCGAGCAGATTCAACAAGGGCGGGAGAGGTTGTTGGAAGTGGCACTCTCACGTTTCGGCTTTGACACAGATGGTACCGTTGGATCCATGGACAGAGTCCAGTTCTACTGCGACGACTAAGATTAGTGCCGACGCTAGATACTTGGCGCGTTGGCGTCATGCGAAAGGTTAGCTGAGAGATAAATTCTTGCCTTTGTAAGTCGACATGTTGAGAACTACACGGCTGTTTCTGCTATGTCAAAATGAATCTCGACGAATATGAAAGATCGTTACAAAGCGCTGCGAAAAGCAGCCAAGAAAAAGATCTAAATCTCGACCACAATGCTGAAATCGTTCAACTCCTGAGTGACACGGATACTGGGCTTGCTGATAAGGCGATTCGAGAACATTCCGACAAAGCTCAGAGCATGACCAGATACGAAATGGTCTCTGGAGCAGGTGCCGAAGTTCCGGAGGTGATCACATAAGCGCGAAGGAAATTGAAGGAGGTGCGAGGATTTGTCCTCCAGCAATGACCAAAAGCTCACGGAATCCAAAGATGTTGCCAATGAAGAAGATCAATTGGGGACCGATTGGGATCGTCTCAGCGAAGCTAACTCCACCCAACGGGTGAGATTCCCGTCCACTGGCGGCATTTTGGATTCACTAGCCTGGAAACGGGTAAGGTAGTGTACTGGCCAGAAAGTTCTAAGGGTTTTGTAGAAGTTGGGCAAGGGCCGATAATGTGGCTCACAGCGAAGTGAATTGCAGCTTTAAGAAATATCCACAAATTGATCCCAGTCAACTCTCTCGAGGAAATTAGCCCAGTCAACCGTGCCAAGCTCATCCAGGAAAGGTGTCAATGGAACACTTTCTGGATCTCCTGCGAAGCGCGGTGCACCGTCAAGCACGGGTGCTCTGAGACCATCCACGCTATCTTCTGGGAGATTCAGCGGAAAAGGTGCTTGAACATCTCCGACCTCAGTCGCTCCTGCCCATGTAACATAGCATGGCGGGACTGAGGCGTCCCTCCTAGTTGTATGCTGTGTATGTGTACCTGCTTCGCCTGGTGCTTCGCTGTCATCGAGGAGTCTCCGTGTCACCACGCTTTCGATGTTCCCGGATCCTATGCCAAGAACGACTTCGCCGCCTCGTCCTGCATAGAGTAACGGTCGTGGAAGGCTCGAACGTCCGCTGTGTCGCTCACGACGCTCATTGCGCAGGTCTTCACCTTTCTCGTGTGTAGTCGTGTGCATGTTTTCTTCAGGGACATCTGTGCATTGTTAGTCAGGAACGAATCAGAGCTGGTTGAGCAGATGCTCGTACGTTTGGATACTGACTCGGTGACATCGGCATCGATTGGTAGCTTCGGCTTGTCGAAGGAAGCTCGCGGGGTTTGCAGGTCGTCACATGTCACGCTTGTGTTTTCTGACACTTTCAGACCCGTGGATAACAGGCTGCTTCTGGACGAGCTACTATCAGCATCTATGTCTCGACCAGGCTCTCTCGGTGACCTCGGGTGGAGGGCCGATGTGTCACCAAGGCACAGAGGCTGCGATGCCTGGATGCCGCGAAGCCCCGTGTTGCTTGAGACTTCTTGAGTCGGCGTAGCCGGATTCACAGCCGCTCCATTTGCTGCGTTCTCAGAAGCAGCAACTACGGTACCACGCTGTGTCGGGTCCTGCTCGACATATGGATGCCCAGGCGAAGAAGATATGATCCTATCGAGCGGAAAATTCACAGATGCAGCCCGCGTCGCATCTTCGATGTGCTGAGAAGTCTCCAGGAGTACTTCTCTGTAACCCTGTCGTTGTTCTGCAGTCCGACCGTCCTTTGAAGCCTGCCCTGCATTCACGTGCTGGGGAACGTTGCCGCTTGGACGTACGTGAGCCGATGTCGTTGCGTGGTCGTCTGCTTCATTAGATGCGTGTCGTACAGGAGCTAAGCAGAACTTACCAGAGCAAATGGAGTCTGTAGAACCATCATCCTCGCCGACGGATGGCAGTTTGGCAATCGTGGGAGACGTCCGTAGCAGCCGCAATATCTCCATTTTGAAGGCCAAAGGACACGTTAGACTGGCCGCGTCCAGGTCATTGCCACGGATCCAGTGTCGCAACACCCAAGTGACATAGACGCCACAGTTGACGTAGTCGTCCTTTGCCTGGAAAGGACCATCGAACTTCTCGAGACGCCACACGGACTGTCCACCATCACGATGCCTAGCCCACCTCTCAACATGCTATGAGGGATTAGCGCCGTCTGAAGGACGGTACATGTGGCCGTACCTTGAGCGTGAGTCGACTGCGAGCCGTGGCTCCCTGGTGCATTGGATCATAGTGCTGGATGAGGCGCTGGACCCAGTCAATCCTGACGGCCATCCAGTGACCACTTTCGTGTACCCCGAACGCCCATCGTTTGGCCTGCTTTGGGATCTTGGCCGCCCAGGTGTCTAAATCCTTGTACCTGGCTTCGCGAACGAGCTCCATGACAAATGTCGGTAACAGATATTCTTTCACATCCTCGTGTTCACCCAGTAAGGGGACTATGTTCACGAATTCATCATTCAGCCTGCCATCGGTGGCCAGTTTGCGAAGATCTTCTGCTTTACACATTCCCGGGCTCAGCATGATCAAGGGAGAATCCCCTGTCCATATCTCCTGGCCATTCTGCTCCAGAGTCTTTGCCTGCCACTCGTCAGTAGATTTGTGGTTGAAGAGCGTCTTCACATACCAGCGATTCTGCTTCTGTCCTAATGTGCTCCTCCGTGATGGCATTGTTACCCACACCTTCCGCTTTTACTTGTTCTACGTCTGCTTCCTTTTCCATATCGGCAATCGACGAGTGGTGACCGCTGCCACTTGTCTTACTCAAGCCTAGCTCGTTACCCGCGACTGAATGCTCATGCACAGATTCCGGCGCCGGGACACAATGATCTAGACTCAGTCAGCAACATAGTAGAGATGGTGCAGAAGATCGTGGTACCGTGCTGCGCATCGAGACGCGGTCTGTTGATCGCTCGATCCTCCGTTAAGGACGCTTCGCCTAAGGATCGCTTCCGCTTCTACCCATCAAATCAGCGCGGCAAAACTTGATGTAAGGCTACGGCGCGGACAACGTCCGAATCGTGGCTGCCGAGAGCGAACGACCTACCACACCATGAATTGTTGCGCTTGTCGATGGAGTTCCCACTACGGCAGACGTCAGAACACACTTTTCGCGGCTCGACTTGAGGATACACTTGCCGGTCACTCCCCAGTCACGCCTAGCAGGCGTAAAAATCGCTGCCCGTGCGTTGAGTAGCACATCCGTCATAGGCCGGAAGGGCTCTGGCTTTGCCGTTGGTAAGAACGCCCTGGCTTGCAGTGGAGGTTCTGCCGGTGCTGTTGATTCAGCACGGACACCTGACGATTGCAACGGAAATGCCCACGGGCTGACAGGCGAATTTGACGACTCCGTGTATGTAAAGTTATTCTCCTTGAACCAAAGTCAGCCAAGAGCAGTGCACGATCAATTTTGGAGGAAGGACTCACGGATGTCGATGCCATAGCGCCGTAGTACCTAAAGCGGCTGTAGTTCGTACCCTCAGAGTCAGCCGTAGGTAAGTCGTCGCTATCAGCCGGCTCGTGGATTTCGCTGAAGTCCTGCGCTAAGTCGTCCAAACGCCGCCGCTTGGTCGGACTGGTCGTCTTGTCGTATCCTGTGGCAGAGGACAATGGGCGTTTTCGAGCCAAAGATATGAGACCGGCGGCGGCGGCGTTGACAACACTGATCGGCAGGTCACTCGCTCGACTAGCAGCAGTCGATGGCGAAAGGGAAGCTGGGTCTGTGGTAAGCCATCTCATCGGCTAATATGTATTGTTACCCAAAGACGCTTACCGTGGGCCTTACGCTCCTGTGAGGAGCCTGACGGCCACGCAGGTTGGAGTGCTCGCTCATCGTATGTAGAATCGTACCCTAAAGCAGAGGCGACGAAAGATGGCCTATAACAAGTGAGGAAGTTATATGCGAGCACTGTGAATGGAGCTGACGTACTGGACGATGTGCTTGACCCGGTCCTGTAACATGCTCAGGGGCGTTGATCGAAGCAGAATGAGCGGCTCCGCCAGCGTTGCGTTTGCCACTAGCTGACGCATCCAAGGACAATGCTTCTCGCAGAGATCTGGATCATTTAGGCCTTTTACCAGTAAGAGCAGAGCGGCGGGTCTTCGCGCTCGTGCGAAGTAGATCTGCAATTGCTTGACACCTGCTCTCACTGGACGACCGTCAGCGTGTATACGTCGTGGATGGTGTGCCAGGTCAAGTCACTTACGCAAGAACACAAGAAGCAACAAATGAAGTCCTCGCCAACGTTCGTCCAGGCGCAGAAGAACATAGTTGAGGCAGATATAGATGTCCATGCACTCAATCTCATGTTTGGTCCATTCTGTCAGGGCTTCTCGATACTGGACGCGATTAGTAATTTTGACCACGACGTGACATTAAGTATCCTTACTTCTTTCTCATCGTGTTGCTTTGTGACCGTAATCATCAGGCTTTCCAGGCAGCGAAAAAGTCTCAACTCATCTCCTGCGACCTCGCTCCGACGGCGCAGTGCTTTCACGACATCGACCAACCGCGAAGTCTCCCCGTCGCGCAGGGGGGAAAGACAGAGCCTTCGAATGAGGTTGGCGTCCTTCTTGTCTGCCTTGTCGTTGCCGGCTGTCGGTAGACAAGCCAGGAGAGTAGATCTTGCGCTCTTCAACTTGGTCATTCGAGGTGTCGTCAGTTCTGCTTGGCCTTTCGCAGTGGAACTCATGTATAACTCCAGCGGGTTTTCGGAAGGACGTTCGTATGTGATAATGAGCCGGGACGGGTCCAGCCCGGCCGCTGCATAGCTCCTGCGAATGTAATCTTCTGGTCGAGATCTTGTTCGTCCAGAGCCTTTCGCGCTGGTGCTTTGAGGTTTTTGTCCACTCACGAGCGATTGATCCCGCTCTCCATTGGTCTTGCTGGCGGGAGTACTTTTCTTGATTTTCTTTTCTCGCCGAGCAGTCTTGCGCATCAGTGGGGACAAGAGTTCATCATCACCAGCAGAATCGCTGTCTCCTGCTATCGAGCTAGGCGCTTGCAGCGTAGCATCGGAAGATCCGACGTTGTCTACAGTCGTCACTTCGTCTTCTATCGCTCCCGTGCAGGATGTCTCTGGTCTCTTTCCCCACGCCACTTCGATCTGCGAGCCATCCGAGGCGGCTGATTGCGGTACTGGAGGTCGAGTCCCTTCCTCGAGTGCTGACGGCAATTGCCGCAGACTGGTTTGTGCGTCGACCGAGGTGTCGCCGATGCGCGTTGTTGGCGAGGGGACCTGGCCCCCATTGGCAAAAGACGAGAGTGGCGACGTGGTGCTTGGCGAGATATCCAATTGTGGAACTTCCACCTCTGCTGTATCGTTTGAGGCTGGCACGCCACAGCTGGTGCCGCCTTGCGCCACATGAATGGGCGAAGGTGATCGCGAAGCGGACGACTCGACCAAAGGCTCCGCATCCTGGTCGCGCTTCGACAGCTCTGTGGACATGTCTGTCAGTGACCAGTCCAGCGGCGGAGACATCAGTTCCGGGCTTGGCAGCACGCTTCGCGAGGAAGCGGGTATGGGTCGGCCTTTCTCCACGTCGACAATCATATTTCTTGCTGGCGTTTCTGCAAGCGAGGCGGGAGAGGTGACGGAAGCTGTTTGCGCGGGCTCAGCATGTGGTGTAAAGGGCATGGTAGGACCAGCCAAGGTGTCCGTGTCCCACACGTGTGTGTGCTCGGGCTTGGCGTCCGTGGTAGCTTCGCAATGTGTCTCGTCCATGGTGCTGCGAGGCACGTCGTGAGTAGCTTCACCTAAAACCTCCCGAGGAGGTTCGTCGACTGCGGGAACCGGGACGTTGACTGGTGAGTCGGGTGCTTGTGGAGGGACAACCTTGAGCGATCCTTCGACAGCGTCTCCCACCTCGAGTCTCATCTCGTCCTGGGCCCTAGCCACGTCCTCCAAGGCATTGTCGTCATCACAAGATCCAGCCTTCGAGGCCAGCACTGCTAGATCATTCAAAGGTGGTGCAGCTGGTGCAGATTGGGCGTCTTCGATGCTAATGGCCGACAGATCCTCCGCTTTATCTTTACAGAACTCACCTGTCGGGCTTCCCGCCACAGTCTTTCGTGTCGTAGAGGACGGTGGATCACGACTGCTGACCGACTCCGGGACTGCGGGGCTTGCAAGATGGCTGCGTCCAGCATGTTCGGCCATGAGAGCGTCATCCAGCGACGAATGCCGTTCAGAAAGCGAATACAGAGGGCGGCAGCCAATCTCGACAACCGCTCGTGGAAGATTTTCCGTGGCATGTGAGACCGTAGGTACCTCGAGTCCGTCTGGACTGCACTCTGCCATGGGCGGTATCGATGCTCGCGGTGTCATCTTTCCTGGTGTAAGAAAAGAGTTGACTTCCATGTCCTCTCCTTCGAGGTTTGAACCCGAGAGGGGGGAGCCGCATCTTGGCATGTGCATCTGCCAGGGGTCAGCGTACGTCAGAGCTCAGATGCTGTATGGTAGGTATGGCATGAGATATAAATGTACTGACCACTCGTCTCAGTGAATCGTTCTCAGCACGGAGTATGGCGAGTTCAGATCGCGTTGCATCTCTGATACTCATGTCAACTCTCGGATACGTCAGTCACAGCATGAGAAGCGATACCTCTCGTATATTGCAATTGCCTCTCGACCCTCCGAGTCTGCCAGTCGTTCTGCCATAGTCTCCAACTCTTTCCGAAGGGATGCATTCTCCCGCAGCAAGGTCTCTGCATCGCGCATTGCGGGGAAACCGCCCACTCTATGTTCTGGTGTAGCCATTGCTTTGGGTCACACACTGCATTTCCTAGCAGAGCAAAAGGACAACGGTTCTGGCAACGGAGTTGTGGCCAGTCATATAAGAAGGCAAGCACGTATGGGCACGGGTAACCGCAGCGCTTACACAATCCAGTGATTGGTAGTCGAGAGCCTACGAGCTTTGGCGGGCTATCTCCAGAACAGCTACAAATTTGACACAATTCCGGCAAAGGCGTACAGGGGACGGAAGCGAAAACGTTCGGGAAAGGAAGACGCGGAGGAGGGGAATTAAAGGACTGCAGTATCTATGAATAGATGTGACTCATGCGGTCCCGCCGCGCGCTAGACCCAAGCAGCCTAGCCGCTGGAACTTCGTAGAACATCAGAGCACTAAACTGTTCGGAGTCAGACCTCGATCAACAGCAGGCAAGGATTCATGTCGTGCATGCGCAGTCCGTTCTTTGGCGTTACGCTGATTGCTGCATTGTTTGGTCATTGAGCAGCGCTCTGTATAACTCTACAATCACGATGGAAGGGAGCAGAGAGTCTTCTGCACATCTCGGCGAAATCTAGAGATGTTAGAGCACAGAACTGACGGGATAGACAAGATGCTCCCATACGACCACTGTAGCGGTGAAGGAATGATCGGCGTTGAGGCAGCGAGTCATAGGCCTTTCGGTGAGGTCTCGGTATTCCACAGGGGCGAACGACCTTGCCAGCTCTCTTACCATAGCACAGGGCTGACCACAGTAAATTTATGCTATGTTGGGCATATTGCCTACGGTAATCTCGCCGTCAACAGGGATGACCCGTTGTCTGGGTAACAGATGTTTGTTTACTTCTGCAAGTAGGACACGAGCGACATATAGCGTGGTAATGGTCGCCAAAATACTGGCTTCATCATAGCTGTCGAAACGGATTCCTGCTCTCAACACATCACAAGATTCACGCAATGTCGCCGCGTACGGCTGCTCCACCAGGAATTGCATCATTACCGCGGGAACTGTTCTTGTCAATCTTGTCGTGCCTCGACGGGCGGACGCTGGCGTGGGTGTCAAGAACGTCATCGTTCTGGTACTCTATATCCAGGGATTCGTGTCTCTGGCGGCAATTGTGCATGCAAGGTGGCTGGTCGTTCGAGCCTGAAGCTGTCTGCCACCAGGCTGAAGTCCCAGGACGCGAACCACACACGCCTGACTAGTACAATCTTTACAAGCGCCGTACACGGTTGAGACAGCGGTGGAGGGAGGGACGAACCAGAGGCTTCCATCTCCCAAGCCACGATCACATGGATGAGGGACATAGTGAAGATGTGTACGCAATCCAGATGGTGGGGTGTATCTTGGTCAGTGGCAGCATGGACAAGACAGTCCGGATCTGGGATCTTCTGGCGCAGCGACTAGTTGCACCGCCTTTGCTGGGCCATAACGGCGGGGTGCTTAGTCTCCAATTTGACCCCAACCCAGGCCGGGACATTATCTTTTCCGGTGACACAAATGGTCAAATGATCTGCTGGAAGTTCTCGACACGTACAATGATTGGGCGACTGACTGATGCCCATGCCGATGCTGTGATAACCATGAAGATGGACGGCGACCGTCTCACCACCGGTTCCGCAGATGGAATGATTAAGCTGTGGCAACTGGGCCACGACCCCAGAGATGCTCTGCAACCAACACAGATCGAGCACAAACGATCGTTCATTGGGCACGCCGGAGGTATCAACGCTGTCGATATATCAGGCGATCTACTTGTGTCTGCATCGAGCGATCGGACAGTTAGAATCTGGAGTGTATCTACAGGTCAGTGCCTGCGGATCACTGTTGAGCCGCGTACGGTTGCATGTGTAAAGCTTTGCACAGACATGATCATCAGCGGTGGTGGCGATGGCACTTTACGACTCTACAATCGACATTTGCAGGGTGTGGAGAAACGTCTGCGCGGCCACCGTGCTATGGTGAGGGCACTGGAAGCCCATGCATATGAGGACCATACCGATGTCATAGTCTCCGGATCCTACGACGGATCAGTCATAGTTTGGACAAGAGAAGAGGCGGGCAAATGGCTTCTTCACCATTTGAATGCTTCCGCGTTTCCGGGGCGTGCCGCTCGAGGTGTGGCCCACACAGCGCGCACGGCCTCGACAGGAAACGTTGAGGCGATTCTGCGCTCTCGTCCGCGGTCGATAAGGACGAGCACGCGCTTGCGGTCCGAAGACAGTCTCCATGCAGATCAGCCGGCTATGGTGTTTCGAGTCGATATGAATGAACGATGGCTCGTGTGCGCCTGGGAAGGCTCAAGCAGTATCTGTGGATGGGACTATACAGACCGTGAGCAGATGATGGCAGCAGTGACGGAATGACGTCAGCTCGATAGCGCAGAGCCGTGTGGCCATGATTTCTGGTTGGGCAGGTTTGCGCTTGTGATCTTAGTGATATGAGACCGTGGATCGACCTTTCACATGGCTTGTCGTGTCTTGTCTCCCTGCGTGCTCAACTTCTTTACGAAATAGTCTGTCGTGCGGCGAGGCGTATACTTGGGCTTCCACCCCTCGATAAATCTTTGCCGTATCGATCCTGAAGTGGCGGCGGCTCCTGTGGTGATCGCTCATGTCTGATGTGCCTTAGCAAGTTTTGCAGGGCCTTGCCGCGCGGGCATTAGGACCGTGCAACTGAAAACAGGTGGAAGTTTTGCGAAGATAACGAACATTGCAGCATATCGCGAGGGACGCTTGGAGAGATGATGCACACAAAATTGAGCATACACTGGCAGACGTGTTAGGGCATGCCGGGACATGGAACAGTCCGAAGAACGTGAGCGTAGCGACTTTTGCTGAATGAGGCACCACTATTGTAGAGATTAGCATGTTCTGGCGACGCCATGTACCGCTGAAATCACAGACTACTATTTGTCCAAAGCGTCACAAGACTGAACTTTTGCACGAACTTCGAGACACAAGGAGACATGGCAGTACATGAAAAGCGATCGAGATCCGAGCTCTGCTCGACTGCTTAAAGATCGTCCAAATATTGGGATCATGCCTCGGCTGAGTCGGTGTTCCTGGCTCTTCCGAGAATGGTTCGCTACCGTTCATTGACAGTCGTAGCATCGCATCGGCCCCGTGTAAGCCATCAAATCCGTGGGGCTTTGGTACGAGAGCAGGAGTGGAACATATGAGCAACGGACGCCACAGGCCGTTCGTGCCGATGTGGCGCAGCAACTTCATCCTTATCAGTTCGCCTTCGTACGCACTACGCATGCTGGAGATACCCGGAAACCTGGTCAGCAACGCTGATCGCATAATAGACCTTCAACAACCATTGAGCAAGCTCTGACAACTCGGAATCGAGATTAGAGCACGTCTCGGGTCTCTCTCGCTGCAATATCTGTCCATGCCACGCTGGCCATCATTAATCAGCTCTCCAAGCCGAGTGGCAATCAAGTCAGGAGATCATGCGTCTGTACAGTCAGTGTAGCAGGTTTTCGATCAAGCTCTCCAAGCGTCATGCCTTGGAAAAGTGTCAAGATCTAAGAAAGGACCGACAATACTGACAGATCTTGACCGTCAAGAGATTTGCCAACACGCGAAGCTGTATTCACATGAGAAGCAAGAGGATCTTGCAGGTATGTCCCTCAGAATGTTTCAAACCACAATATTGATACTTGCGCAGATATTTTCGTTGTCGACCGTAGGTACGGCTGTAGCTGGTGTGCTTCAATGTGAGGTTTGCTATTAAGATGGTACCATTTCGAAAATTTTAGTAAGAGAAGTATCTGGCAGCGGACGATGGGTGAAAAGCGCGATCCAAGCGTAGGCAGGGCCGTTCACCAGACACTGTCCGGGCACTGACGGTACAGGTTCGAAAACGAGTATGTAATCGAGCCAGAAGCTGCTGGGCTGCGACTAGAGATTGAACCAGAGGGACAGGTGGGAACCTCTGTCGGACGAGCCCATCATCAAGCAAGCCGAAGCGTTTACTGCAACAACACTTTCGGCGAGCAGACTGGAAGACTTAGGACTCGGGTGCCTTCAACGCTTCAAAACGGAAAATGGTTTAGTGGACAACCTCTCGACCGGTGTTGACCGTTAAATTGCGTCTCTTGCAGTAGCCGCACCGCCATCTTCGCTAGGGCTGCAGCATTCATCAAACACCGGAATCTTGGTGTGCGAAAAGTCTAGTGACAATCTTGTTAGGTCGGATCCCTCTCCGCTACAACTATCCCCACCGATCCTTAAACCCAACAAGCGATCAAAACATTGCCACTCCATCGCCGACTGCTACCAGCACTTTCCCAGCGCAAGAAGAGCAAGATTTAGAGGATCTGTGGGAAGACACTTGAGAGTATGCCTTGCTTCTTGAGGCTGGCGATCGACCCTCTTACCCCTTCCATCTCCTTAAGGAGACATTCAACCATCCAAACAAATACTTGGCGGATTCCGCTTACGGCGATATCAATACATTTCAGGAATCGCATTGACTTTGCAAGCAAAAGTGGATACTGTTGTATGTGGGTCCGCTGTCTAGATGAAGCGCATTCTTGAGAGTTCAGCACATAATCAGAAGTCATAGTATCAGGAGCGAACGCACATTGATTGGCTCGACATATTCCCATGCGCCGTAGAAGGTCTTAGGGTCCCCTGGCTGTAAGGAGCATTAATAGACATTTTGCAATTATGTTGCCAGTATCGAGAGACGGCTGGAAAAACACGGATTCACTGGTACATTCCAGCTGGAATCTGATCTATCCCGACACGACCCCCTCACGACCTGGGTCCAAAGTTAAGGATGCTGCCGACGGGCGTCGTGCTGAGCAAACGGTACCATCAGCAATGAATGCTCTTGTGGGTGTTGGGAGCGAGCTCAATGAATTGTCCTCTCGTGAAGGATTATGGAAATGTCGCAGCACACGCAGGATCACTTTGGAAGGTACGTTGGACAAAGCGCAGGTGACGCACGCGACGCTCAAGCGATGCTGTAATGCTACCACAGACTTCTGCCAACAGGCCAGAGACTGTCGTAAGGCACACAAGAACTTGGAGTGCCAAAATAATTTCTTGCATTGGGTCCATGAGTAGGTCCCGACAATCGGGTACGAGTCTTAACACGACCGAAGCAATGGACGTGACTATGAAGAGATGTGGGGCCATCAATGGCTCCACAGTGTGCGATCCCCAGTAGGCCCAGGCACATTCTACGGCGTAGGAACAGAAGAAGCGGAAATGCTGTCACAAGGATGCTATAGATATGCGTGTGGGATCTAAATGACGGGAAACCGTATGTCAAGGCAACGAGGCAACGTCTGCGTCATACACGACCGCTGTTGCCATGATAGCGAGAGGGAGTCATAGAACTTGTGGTTCTCCGCTGCTTTGTGCACTACCACGGCGTCGTGGTGAAAGGATAGCTCAACGGGAAGCGCCAATGCATCTGGAAGAGTCCATGGAGATGAGGCCGGCGTTACGTTCCAGACTGGATGTGCAACTTGTTGGTCTGCCACCCCAATATGACCGCGCGCACTTCATAGGCAATGTGTTTTCAGTACGTCCGTGCAGATCGTGAAAGACAATAGTATGCGAGGCAAAGCCTGAACCGTTGTGCTTGAAGCGATATCCCGAACCAAACTGAGGCTCCATACGATAGCCTACGTGCGTCAAGAATGCTTGTCATTCCTTGAATTCCACGGCTCTGTTGGAGTGCCAGAGCTCATGCCAGAAATGTGAATCATCTGCCCTCGTAATATGGGGTACTGGGAGTTCCGATGCTGGATCAATCCGACTCTGCCCTTGTGTATGCGTGGTCGAGAAGGTACGCACGAGTGTTCTAGCTTCAGATCGTTTCAGCTGCGTTGCTGTGGTATTCGCCTCCTTGAGCGATGAGCTCGTGATCGCACTGACTGCTTCATAGTCCCGCACAGAAGGTACATGATCCTGGATGGTCCGTCTTAGGACTGGATGGTTATGACAGATGTTGTGTATCGCATCTCTCGGAAATCAGGTGGCTCCCGATATGTGTCTCGTCCGAGACATTTTATGGATTTATGTCTGAAAGCACCAACAGCCCTGCTTAGGGAAGAGATCAGTTGACATCCGGACAGTGCATCTAGAAGATGCCGTACCAAAGCTACCACTTCCGAAGTATGGCGCGGGACTGCTCTCATGCAAGTGACGAAAGTCGGCCAGAGAATGTGGTAAGTCATCCAAGCCCGCGACGAGAGCAATGGTTGAATGGCAGGCGAAACAGTTTCGTGATGTAAAGGTTGACATCTCGAAAATTTTCTCGTTCTCAACGAAGGCATTACAGTACCACAGAGCCACATGTATCAAGGTTCTTGGCGCCGCAGTATCACTGCTAGCTCGACCCTTAGTGATATAGGGGTTTCGACTTCGTGATCATCCACCTCTTTACCACAGTTCACGATTAGTAGACCGAGCTTGAACCGAGTGCGTGGGTCAAATATGACAATGCGTTGCTCCCCTCTATTCCTTGTGCCACATGTGTTCACCAGTTGCTGCAATGCCTGAGGTAAATTCGTATAGGATATGTAGGCTGTAAAGTCTTGACGCTTGTGATCCGCGTGCTTTGTCAAACTGTTGTATCGCGATCATACCTCTTATTAGCACCAGCACTTGCAATGAGCGCAGCGTCATTGAAAGCGCGATGCACACATTGGTTGGTCTTGGAGCGATCCACATCGTACGCCGCTTGTAACGTTGATCAAACGAAACAGTGCACCATATCTGACCCGCTGATGCAATCCTTTCCTTCATGTTACGCCACGGCACTCACGCCATGCTTCCCGTCGAACGCCACGCTTGAACTTCACACGGTCTATCATTGATCGCGTCTCACCGTATGCCTGACTTCTCACCCTTCTTCGTCACCTCGTCGATCTTCTTGATCAGGTCGTCGACTTTGTATGGTTTGCTTATCACCTGTCGCACGTTAGCACGACTGCCACCTTGTGTACTAGGATGTGCACTCACATCATCCATGCCAGAGTTTACCATTTCGCCCTGCTGTGCGGGCCTCACGTTCGCCGTAACACCTAAGATCGGTATCCTCTCTACCTCACCCTTCTCTGCCATCTCGCGGATCTCGCGAGTCGCGGCGTTGCCGTCGAGTATCGGCATTTCTTGGTCCATCAGTATGATGCCGAATGCACCCTTCTCTCCACTGAAGTGCTTGGATGTTTTGCGGACTGCCTCCACCGCCTCTCGGCCGTTGTTGGCAGTGGTCACCTCGAAACCCCTAGCTTGTAGCTTCCGATGTATGATCCGCTGATTGATAATGTTGTCTTCCACGAGTAGCACGTGAAGCTTCGCGGGTTTCTTGTCGTGATCGGCTCCCTTTGGTCGCCCTTGAGCATCGCTCTGCATTATGCCAGGACGTACCGGCGTCTCCGATACCTCGGTGTAGCCACGTGGCGCCGAGTCGTCACTCCGGCTTGGTTTAACCTCTGACGACGTCTCAGCATGCGTGTGAGCGTCTGCTTCCGACTCCTCCACCTGTTCAGCCACACGTTTTATTTGCGCGTACCGATCATCCTTTTGCGGACTTCGATCAGGCGGAGCTGCGATAGTATCCTTTACTGAAGGATTTTTGATGCTCTCAGGAACATCTTTTGAAGGAACAGCTTTGCCCGCAGGATACCCCTGGTCCTGTATGAGGCCTTCGAGTCTGTCATCGTCCATCGCGTGCTGCTCGGAGCGACCCTGGTAAGAACCGGGGTCATCGGCCCGCTTGGCTTTGAAAAAGAAGCCGAATGTGCTGCCCGCGCCTTCTTTCGAGCTGACCCCGATCTCGCCTCCGTGAAGATGACAAAGCTTTCGACTGATATTGAGGCCCAGCCCTGATCCACCATACGTGTCGCTGGTCTTCGGCGTCGCTTGGCGGAACCGCTCAAAAAGCCGCTCCTGCCCTTCTTTGCTGATGCCGATGCCCGTATCTTTGACCGCGACCATGATATACATTGTTGGGCCGTTACCCCACTCGCTGCCATTCGTGTTGTCCATCTTGTACGTCTCGTCTGAGCTTAAGAAGACTAGGTTTGGGGGATAGCTCGTGGGCCGCTCACAGCTTGCCCCTACCACGACCGTGATCTGCTTCTTGCCACTCCTTCTCGCGGTGAACTTGATCGCATTGGATATCAAATTGACAAGGACTTGCCCAACGCGGGCCATGTCGGCCATGACCCAGTCAATGCTGTATTCTGCGTACGATGTATCAATCTTGAATTCAAACTGTAGTCTTTGCTTCCGGAACTCCGGTTGGAACATTCTCAGCGCATTAGCCAGCGTCTCGCTTGGGTGGCATGCTCGCGGTGCCAGAGACAGCATAGAAGCGTCCAACTTAGAGTACGAAAGCACGTCATCGACGATGTTACGCTGATGCTGCAGGCACAAGTTGATGATATCTATAGCCTCCCGTATAGTAGGAATGTCGATGTGCTCTTTGTCACTGATGGCGGCGTCAATGTCGTCTGAGCAGTGCATGACGGCCGAAAGCGGGTTTCGAATTTCGTGAGAGATCATGTCGATGAAGCGTTCTTGCTGTCCGCGGCGTTCTTCGGCTTCTTGTGCAGCCCTGCGCTCGGATAACGCCGCCCTCTTCTCAGAGGTGATGTCGACTAGGCTGCAGATGAAGCCTCCGTATTCACGTAGGCTGACGTGTTGTAGGTTCTCCTCCCCAAGTGGCGTCAGCAGCAACAATCGCCAGGGGTAATCGTCGCCTAGCGAGCGAAATTCCGTCCGTAACTGCTTTCCTGAGTCGAACGCTTCCCGGTACTCCGCCATGACCCGCGAATAATCGTCTGGATGTATGCTTTGTGGCCACGACGTGAAAGACTGCTGATCACCTTTGTGGGTTGTAAGCGTATAAAAGTGCTGGTTAACAAAGACAGAGTGCGCCTATGCGTACCATTAGCATTCACTCCAACGTAAGCATGACTGTATAACGCACCTTGTGGTCCAAAATTGCAAGCCCAGAAGGGAGCATCTCCGCAAACCGATGAAAGAACGGATGCTCGTCTAGGGGTACACTGTCGATCTTATCGTGCTTCACGATATCGTCGGGTTTTGCCGTGCCCATATTTGGCGTATCCCTGTCCTTGATTTCCTCCTCGCCGTCAAAGTCGTGTTTGGGAAACATCTGTGCGAGCAAGCCTGCTGCTTCCACCTTGGGACCATCGTCGGCGAACAGGGGGCTAACAAGGACCGTGAATCGCTCGTCCTGGTCTTCTGAGTCGTTTCTAAGCAGATCGCGACTCGCAATCTTCTTCTGTTGGCCACCATGAAGAGCCGAAGACAGTGCACGGAAAGTATCTGCGCCAAGATTGCCGCGTTGGCGTTGCCCCTGCTCCGCCTTTCCGCCGGCCCCTATCCAGGCATCGTTGTGCAAGAGTATGAGTTCCTCGCCCCAAAAGATGCCCGCCGGATAGGCAAAGGATGACAAAGTACGAGCGTAGGACTGCAGTGCCTTTGACCAACCTTTCGGCTGGCCGAGGACACTGTCCCTCCACCCATCTCGACCGCCAGGTAACTGTTCGCTCAGACTGGTAGGGTCGTGGGCATGCTTCCGGTCCTGGTCCTGGTCATGGTCCTGATAGGGGCGTTGCCGCGGCGTTTCCATCACATCGCGCTTGCCCTTGAGTGATCCGGGAGGATGCTTCATCAGGACGTTGTCGCACGCCCGGGCGAAGGTGTATCCCCTATATGGCGCAAACTGCGTGCATCGCGGGTTCGTTCAGCGGGAAACGCCAACCAATTTACGGCTGACATCGATCTATGGTGCATCGTCCTCGCAAACCGCCCAGCATTCGTGATGACGTTGGATTTTGGGAGGCGGGTGTACCCGAGACTCCACACGCGCATTGAGGTCCGCTCGGATTCCGTCGGCGTCTTCACCTCCATGTCTCTTTCAACGGCATAGATTATTGCGCTGCTCCACTCCATTTCGACAGATTGCAAGTACTGACAGCGCCCACAGTCGACACAGCGGGTGAGCTTCGAGTACTTATATCAGCAGACATCGCACCGCTTCCTCGACCATGAACAGGGCTTTGTTTTTAAGCCAGAGCATCGGGAGAAGATGTTCAAGTGCTGAAGGAGTATGGGGACCAGAAGGGCAAAGGCGTTGCATACCTCGACACCAAGATACAGATTCAGTCCCCAGATTCCAAACAACCCTCTTGTTCGACGGCTTTGAGACGAAAGCGGAAGGTCGATCGAAGAAGGAGGCGCGTCAGGAAGCAGCGCAGATTGCATGCGTTCACTTGGGTATTCGCAGAATTGCGCCGTAGGTTATACAATCATCAAGGATGTCTCTTCGACAGTTTCCACTTCTTTTCCGTGGCGCATCTACGGGACAGATGCCTTGATCAGGCTGGTCATGCAGAATGATCTCTATCTATTGAGATATGCTCAATTCGACCGAAGGCTCGTGAACCGGGCGTCGGCGTTACTTATGCAGCATCGCTTCCAGCTCTGAAGTGCTTCCGTATGCACGTCTTCCTCTCGTCAGGGTTCCGTTCCCGAATCTACCCACCTCGAACAGTTCGCTGCCCCAGACTAGAAAGGCGATAGAGTTCTACGAAGACTTGATCCTGAGGAGCGTCTTGTCAGCTGGGCGTCGCCATTCACGACCTCGACTGAAGCCTGGGGAGCGTCTTTAGATGATCTTTCACAGCTCTGTGACACAGAGTCTGGCGGAAAGACTGTAGTGTCGGTCGCTGTGTCATCAAAACACCACAGTCAAGTCTTCTGGGTCTCTGCGAATAGCAAGGTCAAGAAAAGCTTGTTCATGGCTGGAACGACTTTTTAAAAGATCCGTCGCGCCTGTGGCGATTCGAGCCTCAGTACGGAGGAAAGAGAATCGCAGATGCTCGGTGTATCGATGGCAAGGTGTTGTCCCAAGATGCGGAATTACATAAGGCAATTACGGTTACGGATTGGAATGTTAAAGAGAGCTCACCTCTCAGGCGACGGTAAATGGTCCGCGATCATGCCTACATCGCCTCGCTGAGACGGTTTCCCAAGGTGACCAGGTATTGCAGTGTATACTGTCGCTGGTCGCAGTAGAGGACTACGTCGAGTTGTCCAGGAGACGTACAGTACCATGCTATGTTGGCGATGGATCCAAATTGCGATGTTATCGAAGGGATGGCGGGGGCGATGATGGTACTGTCAAGTGCTGCAAGGAGGATGCTAAGAACCAGGCCAAGCGTAATCACGACGAGTTTGAAGCCGGATGGATAAGTAGGCGGCGAGCTAGAGATTGGGTCTGAAGCTTCATTTTCTCTGTCTGGGGACATGTTTTCTAGCTCCATGGCTCCATCTGATGGTGTTTGTGGTGAAGACATGCTTGGGTAGCCTGTGCAATGCAGGATTTTCGAGAGAGAATGAACGAGATTTGGGCTTCGAGTTCGTAATATCACTTAAATCCCTCGCGTCGAATAGCTTTTCCGGCTGCATCGTTGAACAAACCAGCACGCTGCTGGAGCTGAGCAATATCTCCCGCTTCTGATATTCCCTCGACGTCGCTTGGCGCAGCGTTCTCTCAAAGCTGACTCATTGTCAGTGTCATGCGTGAGAGCGTGGGCGCGGGAGCGAATACACAGAACTAAAAGAAAACGGTAACCCAACAATAACACCTGACCCGTATCGCAGGGCCAAAGTCATATATGCCCTGCCTCGTGTATACAGCTCGGCTATGCGGTGTTGCGGAGATTATACGAGACTTATTAGTAGTATCGTAATATATCTGCAACCGTTAGTATTGCTAGTATTAGATACTAACGTCTCGTAAAGCACTACCGGCTTATTCTAGTCGTAGCGTTAGTTATTAAAGATCTAAGTAAGGAGGTCTTTCGTTAGAATAGAGACCGTCTCGCTAGAACCGAATTAAGTAAGTTTCCCTATCCTAGAGTACGGAATAGAGCGACCTTCCTTCCTAAATATACTTTACGTACTTTCTAGGCGGGTGCTATTAGTATCCGAACGAATAATATATATTTAAACCTAAGTAATTACGATATATACCTAGACCGCTTATACCTTCTAAGCTTCTAAGGTCCTATTACTAAGGTCGTCGGCTCGATATACTAGAGATAGAGCTATAGATACTATTAATAAGGCTAACTACAATTAGCCACTGTAAAAGTACCTCGAATCTAGACCTCGGGTATTTCTACCGATAGCTAGACCTTGGGGTATTTTTACCGCGGATAACTTTACGCTTTATAGTTTGACTGTAGTAGTATGTTCTACTGTCGAGAGATTCCGTTTTGCAGGGTTTTGAGCGGAATTAAGGACAATAGGATCGCACGAAATAATTCTGAGCTTTAGGCGTTTACGACTGAAATTGGGTTTTCCCTCGGCAAAACCCGGTAAGACAACAGTTTGTTAAGGCTAAGTTTACGCAAGACATTTGTCGGTTTACTCTCCACGCAACACTACTAGTTCCTAGCACCTGATCGCTCCGCCGTAACACAATAAGGATCGAAGGAAGAACTTTTGTTAACGTAAATCCTAGGGAAGTGGTGCACCCCGGGATGTGGTGCACTTATTACAGACGTCGCTGCATCCATTGCTAACTTCTTCTCGCCACAATAATGCAATCGGAGTACATGCTTCAATATGCTCTTCACATTGTCTTCAATTTCTAGGCTGATCGAGCGCTTCCGTGGTTGCCTACGACCCTTTTTGCACATAGCCTCCGCTTCGGCTTCCCTTGCGATCTCGAGCACTTCCTGAGTGCTGAATACCAATCGGCCTTTTAGCTTAACCCGCTTCCCATTTCTGTGATTCTTACGGATCTGTAGGAGTTCCCTGTGCTCTGCAAGCTTATTCCGAATTGTGACAAGCTCGCTTTGAGTCGTTTCAAGTGCTCGGGTCATGCGCTGTGCGTAACGCTTGGCTGGAGACGAAACGTCCTTAGCCCTCGTGATCTGAGCTTTGAAGAGCGCATTTGCTTGTCTTAATTCCGTACCGTCTGGTGGAGAGCTATGGAGAAGCGATGCGTCGAGGTTTGAGGGTCCGCCCGGTGTAGAAGGTGGTACAGGGTGTGAAGCCGGAGGCGTAACAAGCTTTTCAAGCACTGTAATCGGACTCAGCGGCTCCAGACCCGTTGCTCTCCAGCCGGAAGTGATATTCGGTGATGTGAGAGCCTTCTCACGTGCACGAATATACAATTCAGTCCATTCTACTCGCTGTATGCGACCGTTATCGAGTCTTGAGACTGCGTCGGTGTCCACGGCCAGCGCGCGCCACGGGCAGCGCGCGCTTTAGCGGTGCAAACACACTGACTTCGAGGGGTTGTAGCATGTGCGACGTATGAGGTGGAAGGATGAGCAAGTCAGTTGCATGCTCCATAAAATGTGATATCACATTCGCTGTGATATGACTCCCGTGGCCGTCCATGATAAGAAGGCAGTGGAGTGCTGGGTCAGCTGGCCGGGTCAAAGGCTCGAAAACGGTGGTCAGCCACTCGTACGCGTGGCTGTCGGACGTCCAGCCGCTGTTGCTTGTCGAGAACCGCCAATCCGGCGGGGTATGTGTCGGTATCCAGCCAGTGTTCGTATGTTTCGCCTTGAATATGATGAGAGGCGGGAGCGCTATGCCGCCGGCGCTGACATACTCGATCGCGGTTACCCACTCCTGCCGGCCTAGAATCACCTTCCAGCTTGAGTTCTCGCGAACATTTATCAATGCCCTTGATGATTGACTGTCTCCGACTGCAAATCCCGACTCGTCCATATTGTAGATGCGGTCGGGAGTGTATTGATGCTGGAGACGGAACTCCACTACTGCTTCAAACCATGTCTTCGCAGTCCCGACACTCATCGCCTTGTGCCTTGCGCCTTCTATTTTGCGAGCCCATATACCTTGTATCTGGGGATGGCGTGCACGAAAGCGGTCAAGCCAGCTCTTGCCGATGGATCGTGGGTAGGAAGGCGGTGTTCGTGAAAGCTGGAAGCGGTTGCGGCGGATTTCCTCAGCCATTTCTATGGCCAAGGACGGAGATGCAGGAAACCCGGTACTTGTGAGATGAGTAATTCATCTCACTAGTGTCCTCTCTTCGGCGTTCGAGAGAATCTGCATGTGTTCGTGGGCGTGCGGCCGTGGAACGCGTCCGGAAAGGCGGTTTCGGAGGCTCTGAACAGGAATGCTGTTTGCGGTTGCACACTTTCGCACTGAGGTGAACCTGCCTGTGTTGCTGTCAAGTATAGCTTTCTGTATCTCAGACTCCGAATACGCTTTCGAACCGCGTATTATCGCGTCCATTGCAGGTAAAAACACGGTGTTTGAAGAGGAAGTGCGGGATAAAGTGCACTACATCCCGGGGTGCACCACTTCCTCAGGATTTGCGTTGGTGATAGTAATTACTATTGGCTCAAAATAGCAGTTACTATAGTAATTTACATCCTTAGCTCAAGCAATAGATCTAGTGCACTAATACCAATCTCGAAGCTAGGCAACGTTAACGGCAAACCGAGTTACCCGAGGTAGAAATCAAACGGCCCAACCTACGTCGTAGCCCTCGGTCCCTGGAGTAACAACGGGCATTGTGAGGATCGCCCATTTCTAATAAGCCGTTGTCCTGGCACTGCAAAGCGACCGTTGTTGCGTTTCGATTCTACAATTATACGTGGATCGACTTACATCTAGCGTCATGACGACCCCGACACCCCGTCACCAAGAGACTGCCGTCACTGCCGCGAAAGCAGATGACTTTGCGTACGATTCGGATACTGGCCTGATCGAACGTCGTCGCGGATATCGGTCCTACACGGTCTTCGTTGTTCTCTTCACTTGTCTCGGATCAGCGTCATACGGATATGCTGGGTCCGTTATTTCAACTACTCTTGGACAACCGTCGTTCATCACATACATGGGACTCGGAACTAGGTCGAACGCGAACGCGTTGATAGCTGCATGATCTCGTTGTTCTATGTTGGAGGGATTGGGGGTGCATTCTGTCATGCATGGATCTCTAACGCATACGGCCGAAAAGTCTCCATTATCGTTGGGAACACCATCGTTCTAATAGGAGGGGCTCTCACGACCGGCGCTGTGAAACCCGCGATGTTCATCGCGTTTCGCTTTGTGACTGGATGGGGGTAAGTCTTGCCTTTGTTCACATACCAGGAAACGAAGACGAAAAAGGCTGATGGAATTCGCAGCGCATTCCAATCGCTCGCAAGTGTGCCGCTTTGGGTGGGCGAAATTGTTCCCCCAAGGAACCGTGGGAGGCTCGTTGACATTCACGCGGTCCTCTTGAAATTTGGCTACACCCTTGCTGGGTATGTTGGGGTTGGGTTCTATTCCTACTCCGGAAATGAGCATTGGAGGGCTGCACTGAGTTTTGTGATGCTATTCCCAGCGATCCTCCTTGCAGGAATCCACTGGATGCCCGAATCACCACGCTATCTCCTTTCGAAGGGCCGCGTCGAAGAGGCATGGGCGGTGGTCAAGCGACTTCGATCCGACCCTCAGGATTCCTCTGATGAGTACGCCGAGCGCGAATTTTACCAGATGCCGAAGCAAATTGAACTGGATGCTACTTTGAAAGCGAGCTATCTCGACACTTTCCGACGGCCATCCTACCGGAAGCCAGCGCTCATAACCATATACTTGTTTTTCTCGCTGGTAAGCTCAGGAGTGCTTGTAATCAACAGTCCGTATTCAGTTGGAGTCGTTACATGTGTCCTATTAACCAAACCTAGGTTATGGCGCTCTGCTGTACTCCGAGCTGCGTTACGACGCTACAGGGGTCTTGCTGCTCCCGGCAGGCTAGACACTTACTGGACTTGTCATAAACGCAGTGGCTATAATATTTGTGACAAGTTGCCCCGACCATATCTAACATCCCTGGGCTTTGTTCTTTGTACATTGACACTCATCGTCGATGTCGCGTTGCAGAAGAACTTCCTGTATACCAAATATCCGGGAGGACTAAGCGCCGCCGTCGCGATGCTCTTCTTGTTCTTTATCTTCAACTCCCTCACTCTTGATGGCACCTCGTACTTCTATATCGGCGAGTTGTGGCCATCACATTTGCGAGCGCAAGGCTTTACTTTGGCACTTGTCACCCTTTGTGTGATCAATCTCGCCTGGGTCGAGGCCGCCCCGTACGCATTCGCTGCTATCGGCTGGAAATACTACATTTCCTTCATCGTCCTCTCAGCTCTGGCTGCTGTGGTCTCATTCCTCACTTTTCCGGATACGCTACACAAACCTCTCGAGGAAATTGCACTGCTGTTCGGGGACAGCGACCAAGTAGTTGTGGATCAGAGACAGCTGGCTGGCGCTTATCTGTCGCGCGACATTTTGAATGCAGAGGACACTGAGATAGAGAAGATTTGAAAAGTTCCGCACGCTAACTCAACTTCCATAGCGGATTGTGGCTCAGAATTGAGTGGACTGTTGTATTTTTGTAGGCCAGAGTAGATTGGTAGTAAGTGATATCGCCTTTTAACTTCCTAATATTCATTAGTTGCTGTCTGGCATCAGACTCCTCGGAATGTGTGACAGATCAACACTCGAACCCTTAAGTTATCGAATCATGACGCCGAGCAGCTTTCGAGATAGATGACACGGTCGTAAGAAGGTGGAACGTAACGGTAATCTCAAAGGTCGAATACTTGCTATGTTCTAAGTTACTTAAAGGTACTTTTATTTCCGCTGCTTATATAAATGCTATCGATTTGAGCAGATTCGAATGGCGCAAGAAGGGGTCTGAACGCTAACGTTTTGCAGCTTTAGCATTCGATTTTGCGCGGATATCTGGTGCTAGACCAGAGATGGCTAGATCACAGGGCTAAATATAGGACAGCAATCACCGTTGCACCTAAGTCTGATTAGTTAGGTCTAGCAAGGCAGCATCCATGCCTTCCGAGGCTGTCCAACCCGATGGACAGGAATGACGGCGATGGCTGGGCACCCTTGATGTGTTGTGATTTTAAAATGAGGATGGCATGCCCCTACTTTCCTGTGTATAGCTGTGATAACCTGCATGGGCAATGGAGGCCAAGGAAAGCGACGTCGGATGCAACATGCAGGCACATGTCACGATGACCCAACCAGCCGTTGAGCAGAGCGCTGACCCTCCGCTGCAATGTAATGAGCAGCAATTAGCGGAGATTCGGGAAACGCTGCACGTCGCGTCACATCGGATAGCCCGTACTTTGATCTGAATTCTGGGACAGGAACGCGAGCACTGCAGAAAACGAGACGCTTCGGCGAGCGAATGATGCAGCTTTAGCAGAGAACAAGCTGCTTCGCCAAGCACAAGATGCGATCTCAAGAGAAACCAGTCGCTTCGCCAAGCGAGATGCGACCACAGCCGAGCTCAGGCAAGTCAGTAAAGCATACGCTCGTCTCCAACGCTCGGTAAGTGGGTTGCGGTATCCGAGCATAATCCCCTTGGCGCAGAGCTTCGAGTTGCTGGATGCTGATCGGCGTAGGTTAAGACCATGCGCAGCTCCAGAACTCTCTTCCGTCCAATTGATAAGGAAAGTCAACAGATGCAGCTCACAGTAGCTTTGGGAAGTTCGGTTTCGAAAAATCACGGCAGGTTGGAAGATGATCGAGCTTCGGATGATGAGGAGCTCGGTAAGGGAGGTTCCGAAACCCATGACTCCGCCACAGTGCCAGCGCGATTGCAACATCACAACAGTAGCGGTGACAAAGCAACGGTACGGAGTACCTTCATGATGACGTCTATGCGCCCCACTGGCATACTCCAAACGATTCCCAACGGAAGAAAGAAAGGCCATTCCTTCCAGTGTGTGACGCCGGTGATGGCGCACAGAAGGAAACCCAGATTATGAGATCAGAGAGGTCCAGCAGAGAAGGCTCGACCCGTGGTCTTCCCGTCGTTCTTAAATGGCAATGCTACAGTCCCAGTAGACGACGAAGGAAGCCTAGATCCCAATGCAGCAGTACCACCATTCTCCTTCTCGAGCGCTAGAGCGGTGTATGAAGGCACGTGACCATGCAATGCCTCTGATCCGGGAGTGCGGTAAAGCACCGAAGCTTCCTCGTTCAAGGTCGGATTCGTATAGACCAACGGTAAGTTGGCTGCCGTGTTCGTCTCCAACTTTGAAAACGCTGAAGGCCCAGGTGAGGCTTGCGAAGAACAACTAACATCGATGGGCGGTACAGGCGATTCTGGATATGGTGACGATGTATGACCGAGGAGATTGCTGCTGCTCTTTCGAACGGCGACGGATATGCTATAGGTTCCAACGTAGCCGACTGGGATGTGGATGGAACCACGACTTCTCCTGCAGAATGCGCGGCCCGGAATGGGCTCCAGGATGTCGCTATGGCCCTCCTACAAGACCAAGCCGATGTCAACGCCACCGATGAAAACGGTCGCACAGCGTTGCATGGGGCAGCAGGGCTAGGCCACGTTGCCGTTGTGCGGCTGCTGCTGGACAGTCATGCTGATGCCGGTGCAAAAGATGTCAACGGATGCACAGCTCGCGAATTTGCCACGAGAAGGCATCACTCAGACATTGAGTCCCTCCTGTGTGACCACCTCGAGTTAGAGGTCAAGGACAGTGAGCCCTTTTAGACTTAGGCATCGTGCTTAGCATTCGCCATACCCTCAGCGCTTCTCAATGACTGAATGCAATGGACTGGACAGTCTCGATCGTTGCAGGCAAACATTGTTCCAGTCGCACTATCTTATGACCACGTGCATCTGTTGACCTTTCCACATGTTGAAGCCATGGCCTATACCACGACGCCTTTCAGTTCGTCGACGACAAGGTCCGTAAAGGCTGTATGGAGTTCAACGCCGATGCTCGAGTTGTTCGTCTCGTCGCCATCCTCTTCGACACGCATTCCCAACTCACCATGAGCCACAATACATCGGGGAGTCGCCCTCCAATATCTGTCCCCGACGGTGTGGCGTAATACGCGGAGCGAGTTTGCATCTTCGAAGGGCGGGAATCGCCCTTCCTCCAGAAGCCAGCCACGAATTCGGGCATCTTGAGGGGACGGATCCGGCCATTCTTTCAAGGACATGAGCATATTCAGGGGCTGCCAGTAAGCGATTTCGAGGAGTAGAAGGCCTAGGCTGTAGATACCATACATCTTTCGTGAGCGGGAAGCTGTCGGAACATCTGTCTGTATGCTAGGCCAACGGAGATGTCCCAGCGAGGGTCGAGCCCACGAGAAGTCGTTTCGTCGCTTTCTGGTCGGGAGTACTCGAAACCTGACAGGAAAGGAGAATCAATGTCGAGGTCTCCAGTTTGGTATGTGAATAGGACATTTGCACTACACACCGCTTTGTGCAACCATCCCGCGGTGTGAAGACATAGCAGTGAAGAAGCCGGTACCGCGTCTCACCCAGCATGCTATGGAGCGTCCTAAGCGAGGTCCTTCCGTCCGAGCCGTCCGGCATCGCGAAGATCCAGCCAAAGCGGCCCTGTCCGGCGTGGTCGTCTGCATATCCGATACAGGTTGGCGCGAGAAATTGATGTGGTTTGGGGAGAGCAAGCATCTGCGCCAGCGTGGCGATCCGTATCGTCGTTTGCCGCACAGCGAAGGACCCATCGAGACTTGTGCTTGCCTGTCTCCACTCGATTTACACCTCTCTGTCTTTCCTCCGCTCGTAAGGACCCATCGAGGGCGCGGTGACGAAAGATTGGGGTTCGCGACCCTCGTGACGGCGCGGCTGAAACATTGTCGAAAACGGAGTCCGTCATAGCGCTGCACTGTGATCAAATCTTCCAAGAATCGATCGACGTCAAGATCAGCATCCCCCGTAGATTCCAACAAGGTAGATTCCGAGATGCACTGAATCTCCTTCAAGTGCAGGAGATCTTGCACGGTCTCGCTATTCTCCCTGCTGTAAGTTTTCCCAGCTGTGAGCTCAACCAGACCAGTGACTGCGTCTAACATGTCTCTAAGCTCTTTGACGCTGTTGCGTATAAACACCATTTCTCGAAAGGTCTTCGCGGTGATCTCATGGATCTGTCTGGCGCGATAGTCGCCCATCAGCTCGTTCATGCGCTCCGTCAAGCGGTGGAGGCCCTGCAGAAATTCTTCAAAAGCTGGTTTGTCCACCATGACCCATCGGACTCGAGCGGGATGTTTGATCGCGACTTTGGTATTTCCTGCGCCTCTCGATATCCATCAGACCACGCGGTCGACACGCTTCAAATACGAATGCTTTGCTCGGTTTGACTCATATTGTGCGGCTGAGCTCGAGACTTGCTGGCTGAAATCTATCCGTCCAGCTTGGTCTTCTGTGGACAGTAGTCGGTGAGCCTGTGATCGCAGTACCTCGCCCTCCCAGCGGCTGTTGATATCGTTGAACTGTTCGAGAAGCCAGCCAATATGCGCGATGATACTGGAGAGCTCAATCGCGTTGGTGCCAAGGCACGATGCAACATGCGCACTATCTGGAGAATCCACTAGGCCAACAGCGTCACCCCATGCGAGTAGACGATTGTACTCGATCATTAGCTGCAGACGACAACGTTCGGGCATATCGACCATAAACGAGACAAACCTGAATACTGGGTTTAGGTCAGCACGGTCGGACGTTACCTTGCTCTCTAAGGTAGGCTTACGCTTGACCGACCGATCAAAAACGTCAAAGGCGAGCGAGACCACGCCTACCGCAAGGCCGCTTGCACTTGCAGGGTCCATTTGGCATTTGGTTGAAGCTTGAAGAAGGATGGAGCGGACAGTGCGATTGATGAACAGCAACATCTGGGCGCTGCGATGAGACCCCGCGCTTATACGTGCAAGAAAGGGCGCGCCTGCGACTGACAACTCATCGTACAGCTTGTTACGCATGAAGACGCTGCTACCGAGCTTCCAGAGGCCCAACATGCGGAGATAGCAACACAGGGGCAAGTCGTCAAGCCTGCATCTTCAGCGATACGCTGTACCACTCGTATTGACCAATTCGCGGAGGGAACCAATCTAAGGAGCATCATGTGCTTGCAAGGTGTCCAGGACGTTGTGATGTACAGTAGCGTCCCATCTGCATGTCGTCCTGTCGCTACTCACGTACTGACGCCAGACTGCGGTCTGAAACCTAACACGCACGGTGGAAACGCTGGTGGCGTACCCCTCCCAGCTGCAAAAGCGTGGCCGAACCTTATTGGTGGTACATGGAGATTCGAATTGTGAAGCTCGCCTTTGAGACCACGGGGCAGGCTCACCGAAGCATTGACCAGAGTCTTCAGCATAGGAGGAGAAGGAGATGGTCACGATAGTAAGGCGACTTGCCGAGGTACTCGCGACTGTGACAATACAAGATGCGCGCGTGCAGGCGTTTTGCGCGGCTTGTCACCCCAATGAGATGAAACTGCATGACGCTAGAGAGGAATCAGCCTTGACTTGTTTGCCATATACGGAGTGACGCATCCTTTGCTTTACGTCCCTCGAAAACAAAGCACACATGATTGAAGAGTTGAAACGCGAATTTCAGCAAGAGAAGCAGCTGCGCGAGGAAGAGCAGCAGCTTTACAAATAACAGCGGCGGCGACGCGAGGAAGAGCAGTGGGGCATTTCAAGTTCCCTCTACGCGATGAGTCCGACGACGTCTTCCATACCAACGCTGAGATCATCTTGTGTAAGCTTGCACGTGACTTGGAGCACGCCTTCTATATGGCGGTCCACTATTTGCTCGGGTAGACGGACAGTGGAATAGTTCATCCAACATGCACGACATAGCAGTTTAGGCGCATGCCTCCCAGCACATTCAGGGAACGTCCTTGGATTGAAAGGTTAGGGACTAAAGGTATTCTCGGTCTTCCTTTCCGACAAGGGCAACTTCCCTAATAAATCTGCTCCTTCGGCTGTACTATACTCCGGACGGTGACATCTCTGTGGACAGACCGGAGCTCCACATTGATCCACGGGTATGCATTGACGTCAGCACCAGCAGCCAGCGAGATCCCCCCGTTCGACAATTTCTCCGCTACAAGAAAAAGGCTGAAATGAAGTTCTCTATACTGTAACCCGCCCCTTCCAACACGATGTCGTTGCCTAATCCCCTCCTCCTTCTTACCGGCCTTACCATTGGTGCAGCACTGATTCTGCCGCCCAGTTATGATATAGTTTGGAACACCCCAGCTCCGCCAGTCAATGGCTCGTCTAGCTCGATGCCGGTTGGTGGCGGCGACATTGGTCTGAATGTCTGGGTTGAGAATGACACTGTTCTGTTCTACGTTGGCAAGGACGGCTGCTTCGACGAGAACAACAGTCTGCTCAAATTAGGGAGAGTCCGCCTTACACTGGATCCAAATCCGTTCGCGCACAGCCAGGCATTCGAGCAGCGACTCGTCCTTGAGGACGGTTATGTGCAAATCTCGGCTGGCAATAGCTCAACGGTGAAGCTCTGGGTCGATGTCTTCAATCCGGTCGTCCATGTCGAGGTGTCGACGTCTGCACGTTCGCATTTGACAGCGTCCTTTGAGGACTGGAGGAATCAGGACCATGTAATGGCGTTGGCCGAGCAGGCGCAATCATCATGGAACGGCGTCCCGGATATGAATACCATCACATGGAAAGACAACGTCACATTCTGGCGTAACAACTCCGTCCTGTCTTCTCACCGCAACATCAACTCAAGAGTATTTGATGCGACGCTCGCGCAACAGCAGTTGAGTGATTACAAAGAAGAGCTCTACGACCCACTTGCGAACAATACTTTCGGCATGGTGATGTACGGCTCTGGACTTGCGCCTACCAACGTCACATCTGACCACTATGTGAACTCGTCGTACGAGTCCTGGAACCTTCAGAGTACACAAGCACGCACAACATTCAATCTGACGATCGTTGCGCACACAAACCAGACTTCTTCGTATTCCCAGTGGCAGGACGAACTTGTGGCAATTGATGCATCGGCATCAAATCAAGGGCAAGGCCCCACTGTTGACTGGTGGAACTCTTTCTGGAACAGAAGCTATATTTTTGTCAATCCTAATTCCAGCACTTCCGACCCGTCTTTTCAAGTCGGTCGAAATTATCAACTCTTCCGCTACATGCTTGGATGCAATGCCTTCTCAAAGTGGCCTTCGAAGTTTAACGGCGCACTCTTCACCTTCGATCCGGTCTATGTTAATCCAAATTATCCATTCACTCCAGATTTCCGACTTTGGGGCGGTGGCACATATACAGCCCAAAACCAGCGTCTTATGTACTGGCCCCTCTTAAAGTCCGGCGACTTGGACATGATGATTCCGCAATTCAACTTCTACGAGCGGATTGTCGGGACCAGCACTCTCAGAGGAAGAGTGTACCACAACATCAATCACTCTTGGCTGACGGAGCAGATCGATAATTCAGGCCTCCCACAGATATTCAACTTCAACCCTGACATCTATATCTATGGGACCAAGAGACCGCTGAGCTTCAATCCTGGATTGCAATTTGATGCGTGGATCATTTGGTTGTCAGACACTGCTGTATGTCTGCTTAGAGACTTTCCTCTCAGATTGTTGTGCTAATAGAATGCTGCAGCTCGAGTTCGCTATGATGATCTTGGATGCGGTTCAATTCTTCAGCTTCGACGCAACACCATACATGCCATTCATTGAAAATGAGATCATGTGGTTCGACGTTCTCTATACGCAAATGCAGCAGAGCCGTGACGTCTACGGTTTGACGGGAACAAGCGGCAATGAGACACTCGTCCTCTACCCGGCTACTGGGTGTGAGACTTATAAGGCGGCTTACAACCCAGCATCTACTGTGAGTGGGCTGCGTGCAATTGTGACCCGCATCTTGCAAGTCAATCCACAGTATGCGATCGGCAATACCAGCTACTATCAGGGACTGCTTCAACGCATCCCGTCCACTCCACTGCGGCAGCAGCAAGGCCATCAGTGCATCGCTCCAGCAGAGGCGTATGCACGCCTCCAAAATGTTGAGATACCACAGCTTTACCCTGTCTTCCCTTGGCATGAGTATGGCTTGGGTTTGCCAAACCTGAGCTACGCAATCAACACTTATCTCTACGATACCGAAACGCAAGCTTTCCACTCTTATGAAGGCTGGAAGCAGGACGCCATTTGGCTCGCGGACATGGGCCTTGCCGATATGGCCCAGAACGTAACGACTCTGAAATTACAAGACAGCAATACGAATCGCTTCCCGACGTTTTGGGGACCCGGGTTCGATTGGACGCCGCAGATGGACACCGGCGGTACAGGCATGATTGCGCTGCAAGACATGCTGATGCAGACGTACGGCAACGCAAGCCGCACCATACGGCTCTTGCCCGCTTGGCCAGGAAATTGGACGGCGGAATTCAAGTTGGTGGCACCGTTCAATACCACCGTGGAGGGCAGCGTGCGGGGCGGAAAGCTGGTATCGCTCAGTGTAGACCCGACTGAGCGCAGGGGAGACGTCATCATTTGATAGTACGTGTAGCGTGCTTCAATGATAATGCCCGAGTGGAGGGTTTCGGGATTACCCCGCCTTTTGCGACTACCCCTCGAACAGGCAAGTATGGCTATATGTCCACCCGTTACCAATATTCCGTTCCCAAGACCCGTCCCATCGTGTCCTCTCGGCATTCAAGATGACAAGACAAAGAGTTGGAAAAGCAGCTTGGTATGAACCAGAGCTCCCTATTCTGGGCTACGACGCTGAAAGGTCGAACGCAGCCAGACATGCCGTGCTAGACACTTCGATTGTGGGCACGTGTGCTCCTCGATTCCATCAAATGTGCTCACGCGAGAACAGGCGACAAGGCCCAACCAGTCTGCCGGCGCTGCAGCGACAGTGGTAGGAAATGTGTAAGACTTCCGCCTTCAGGCCGTATTATCCGTTTGAGGACTAATGCCAACTCCAAGGTCCCGGCTTTCAACGTCCGATTTCGACCGCGCAGCAATTTTTCCGTAGGTCGAGGTAAGTTCAGTGCTGGTCCCCAGCAGAAATGGGCCGAGACTCGGAAGACCTGTACGTGTTATTGACCTTGGTTGTGCATCCTGACTCTAATCTGTGGCAGTAACTTTCGTCGATGAAACGCAAAGTGTGGGCAATGAGCCTCTGCCAACTCCATCCTCCGCAACGTCTTCGGCGGATGCCGGTCTGGGAACAACAACATTGCCGGTGACAGATGATCATGGCGCCCAACTTGACCCGCATGCTGTCGAGACGATCCAGTTCATGCCTCACAAAAGCCCACTGCAACCTGTACTTCCAAATGACGTCGGTTCTCAAGACTACGACGACACCGCCGTCAGGATCCGTGACCTACCATGTCAATCTACTGTCAACGACACCTACCCAGTCTCTTTCCATGACCCGTTGTCGAGTCCCATAAGTCCATGTCGAGCCGGGTCACTCTATGTTGAACCCTATCACAAGAATCTCATTGGATACCGATTTAACGAACTTCTCCATTATTTCAAGGTGGCGGTTGGATCAGTTTGGGTAAGCTTTGCCACCTGCTGAGTTAGAACTGACAGTCTTTAACTGTTCACAGTTCGACGTAGCAGATCCGGAGTTCACAAGAGAGGCTCTGCGTCTCGCTCCGCTTTGCCCTTTGCTCCTCTACTCCATGCTAGCTACAGCGGCAATACACAAAAGTCGCTTCGCCGACGATCCCATTATTGCGAGAGATTGTGCTGCCGAAGCAGACCGCCATCACGGCCTATGCGTAAGTCTGCTACTACCAATGCTGCAAGATAGGGAATCGATCACCGACGGAGCCTTCCTTGCATGCTCAACAATCCTCCGCTTCTACGAAGAGATTAGCGGTGAGTCTTTGACCTTGGAGCCCACCAATTCTTGCCATGAGCTGACTTGCACCGTCTATTCAGCTCCAGTCCATGGAAGGGACGATGCACGCCACCTTCTAGGCGGCTACGCATCAGTTGAAGCGACGACAACCGAGTCACAGAGCTATACTGGACTGAGCGATGCAGCCTTCTGGGTACACCAGAGGCAAGACGTCTACAATGCACTGATCAATCAGAGGATCCCTAAAACAGACCTCTCCCAAGCACGCCTTGATCGCTCCATGACTCCTGCGGATGAATGCGTATGGGCAAAACGTGCAACTTGCCTGAACGCTGATGTTGTCGATTATTGCTTCGGCATCGATTCAGGATCCGTGCAGAAGTATCATGCCATTGTGGATAGGTTGGAAGATTGGCACCAGAACCTACCCGACACTTTTCGCCCAGTATACTATCGGGAGAGAGAATCCGACAGCGCACGCTTCTTTCCAGAGATTTGCCTGCTCCTGGATTGTTGTAGTCAGTCTGTCCGCTTTCCTTTGTAGAGCGACTCTGGTCTGACTCAGATGATTTGTAGCTTTTGGGCTGTCGTATTATTATTTTTGCATGCTCCTAATGGCCATCTATGATCCCACGACTCCAAAGATCGGTTTACGGTACATCGAAGGAAGGAAGACGACGAAGGTATGTAACTCATTGAAGACATGTCACAATTGACCTAAATTCTCCTGCAGAAGAAAGTATTGCAATACTTGCGAATCCTCTGCGGTCTTGCTATCTCGAACGCAGTTCCACCCGCAAGGGTCATGTCATGTCTGGCAGTATCACAATGTATGAGCTCCATCAACCCCACTTCTGGAATCACTGACGCAGACAGGTGGTGTCTGGGTGACGGACTCACTGGAGCAGAACGCTATGCTTGAAGTTTTGCGACTGGTGGATCGGCAAGATGCATGGCCGAGCTTCAACACTGAGCAAATTTTAAGAGAGCAGTGGGTTCAGGTAGCGCTAACAGGATGATTATCCAAGCACTAATTCCAGACATCTTCAAGTAGTTGCTTTGACTGTCGCAGTTGCTTGATCCACGCATTAACATGCTGCTGCCCTGCGGCCTTGGCTCTCATGACAGCCAAAGTGTCAACCACGTCCCTCGCCATGTCTGCAGATCCGCATATGTACATGCGGCATCCAGATCCCTCCTCGAAAAGCCTCATGATCTCTGCCGCGTTCTCCAACAGGCGGTCTTGGACATAGACTTTCCGCTTCCCGATCTCGCGACTATAAGCGGTCCAGATCTTGAGGAGGTCCTGGCCGATGATCCTTTGATGCTCCGACCACTCATCCTCGTACAGCAAATCGCTCGCCGGAGACCGAAATCCCATGAATAGGAAGGTACTACCGACCTCGTGGCCCATTGCCTTGCGGCGCGCGCGCTCTTGCACGAAAGCTCGGAATGGAGCAACTCCAGTCCCACTCCCGACCATGATGATGGGTGTCGAAGCCCTCACTGGCAACTTGAACGGACTCTGTCGGACAGCACCGAAGACCTTGTGATCTACTAGAAGAGCTCGGGGAGCACCTAGTGCGAAAGGACTGTGGTAGCGATCGGAGGGAACCGAGTTGCAAGACCGCTCTACAGCGTGCAGATAGGACGTAGCCAGCCCCCAACCGCCGACTGCAGCTATCGCACCGTCCTCGGAAGTAGGATTCGGCGGTTTGTCCACTACCACCGTAATCGAGACCCGTTGCGGCTGAACTACGGCTGAAGACGATATGGAATAATAACGGGGCTGCAACGGCTTCAACTTTTCGAGGAAAAACGAAAGCGGAACTCTCCAGACAAGAAGTCCGCCGACAGCTCGCATGAGGCTCGGCAAAGTGAGATGCGAGCCCACGACCTCTTTCTTGAAGGTTTGCGCGTTATCGCTCATCTGGAGCACCCGCGTCTTGCTCGCCTCTGAAGGAGCGAAACTGGCAAGCGCCAGGACCGCCTCGCGGCTCAGGAGACCGCAGATCTCAAGGTAGTGAGAGAACAACGCTTCGATGGTGGTCGGAGAGAAGGCGGACTCCCTCCCACCTTCAGGGGTATTGACGGATCCGATCGATATAATCGTTTCTCGCTTTTCCTGTAGGCCAAGAAGAGAGAGAAGCTGCTCTACCTCACGGACTGGGTTACTTGGCCAAACTGCTAAGTGATCTCCGGTCTTGTATTTGACAAGCCGATCCGCTCCCAGGTCCAACTCGACGTGGAGACATAGTCGCTCATCAGATTCCCATAATGGTCTCGCGTGGACTACGGGAAGGGCCCTCGGTATCTTGGGGTCTGCAATCTTGCTGGAAGCTGTGGCTTGATTGAGGAGAGCTTGATGTGGCTCTCCTCTAAACACACCATTCGGATCTGCTAGCAGGACCTCCTGGATATTGAAAGCTGGATTGTATATGCTGTCCTGCTCAACTAGACCAAGCTCTGCTTTCAGCAGGTCTTCGGTGGCTGTTCTCCAGGCCAAGAAATTGTCCTCGGTCTCGCCATTGGCGTCGTCGCCTCGACCAAACTCGCCGATACGCGTACCTCCGAGTCGCTCGAGGATATCATCTACTGTCTCCGCTACTCGATTGAACTGCCGGTATTTTGAGTTGCCCAAGCCAAACAGCATGTACCGCAAGTTTGAGAGTTGAGCTCCGCGCTTCGAGAATGCGTGAATGGCTCTCCAGAAGCCATCAGAATTGTCTGGAGGGTCGCCGTCTCCGTGAGTAGACAAGACGAAGCCACAAAGATGAGACGACTCCAGCTGAGTCAGGTTCGCATGGTCGTAGTCATTCAAGTCTGCTGCTAAACTCCTTAAGCCAAACCGTGCTTCCAGGCTCTCGGCGAGACGCCTAGCAAAGGCCTCGGCTCGGCCACTTTGGCTGCCCCAGAATATCACAGCGTCGACACCCTGCTTCAGCTGTAAGTGGCATTACTGGTTCGGTCACTAGCATGCCTGACATACCGTCTCCTTGAAAACGAGGGCGACGTTTCTCGCTTCGGCCTTTCTCTGCCTGAACGTCTGCTGGCTGTCCGACGACTGCGGTACTTGATACCAAAACTGCGAAGGTATGTCTTCTGTTCTTGATATGTAACCACCACAGGTGTACCATAGGAACGCAATCGCCGTCATGACGACGACTAGCACGTCGTCAACATCCAACCTCTCCCAAGACATACCGGTGTACTCTCGCATTATCCCTTGAGGCCTGGTTGCGCAACTTAGCTCCTACGAATCGAAGCCCAAGCTATTTGTCACATCCTTGATATTTAACGTGTTTGTTCCAATGATTTCGGCAATTCCGAGGCGATGTTCGCTTCGACAGAGGATGACAGCACCAAAACTGGCCAGAGTTGCCGTTTTCGAGACTCTAAAAACCTCTACCAATCACTGTGGGTCTACAATGTATGGCAAAGTTGCCAATTTGGGAATCAACCTTTGCACCACTACTCCCTCTCTGCTGATTGTGGTGGACTTCTGTCATATGCCTAGCCCTTGGATTGTGCTCCATCGATGCCGATTCTGACCGCTTCTCGGATTGCCGCAACGCAGGCTGTCTCTTATGCTGCGCTCTCGTTAAGCTGTCTCCCATCATTCACACATCCTCCTGCTCGACAAGTTATCATATCATTTCAACTCCCTCTGAAGTAAGATGATTGCCCTGAATGCAGTTTGCGGGATCGTAACGTTTGGCATACTTGTTCTTATCACCAGTCATGTTTTCGAGTATTTTCGCGATCGAAAAGCCCTTCGCCGCTTTCCGGGCATGACGCCATTGGCACCGTTCACCAACCTACCGTACATGTACCATGCATCGAGAGGTAGACGATACAAAGCGGTCCACGAAGCTCACCAGAAGTATGGCCCTATTGTTCGAGTCGGGCCAAACTCCGTATCGTTCAACGACGTGCAGGCCGTCAGAGACATATACGGTCACGGCTCAGCAGTCCGCAAGGACGAGTTTTACGACGTGTTGTCTGGAACCCATCGCCATCTGGCCGACGTAGCAGACCGAGACGATCATTCCCGCAAGCGGCGTGTGCTTGCTGGTGCCTATTCTCAAGCTGGCCTTGAACATTGGGAGCACATCGTTGCAGACAGGACCAGGGCCTTAGTCCAGCAATACGATCGGCTCTGCAACAGGCCCGTTTATCAATGCACGCCGCATAGAGATCCGCATCTGAACCTCGAGCACGTCAAAGGTTTCATCAATCACCGAGCCTGGATGGGCATATTCGCCGAGGATGCAATTAGCCAGATCGGGCTGAGCGCAGACTTGCACATGATCGAGGCTGGCAACGACATAGTAGAAGTCACAGCCCTGAACGGCAAAACATCGCGTTTCAGCTACCGCGAAGCATTGTGGTACTCCCACCGTATCCAATCCCCCATGGTTTGGTCACCGAAGTGGTTCAAGACACTCGCACAATGGACGTCGTGGCATCCCTGGTGGCGACACAACGACAACTACACCAACATGTGCGTCTATTTCGTCCAACAGAGGCTGAAGCGGTATGAAGCTGGTGAAAAGCTGGATGACTTCTACACATACCTCTTGGAAGACAAATACGGGAGCGCCAATTTCTACCCGATGGGTGAGCTGGTGGCAGAATGCAGCATTATGTGCAATGCCGGGTCGGACACCACTGGGACGGCTCTGACGAATGTGTTGTATTGGCTGATCAAGAACATGGAGACTCTGACGGCACTTCGCGGAGAGGTCGACTCTGTGCTTGAGCCTGGCGATAGCGTAGCTGCGTACGACCGCGTCAAGCACCTTCCATATCTGCGCGCGTGCCTGGACGAAAGCATGCGCCTGACGCCACCAAATACCATGAATGTGCCTCGACTGACGCCGGGGGAAGGGATCGAAATCATGGGGGAATGGATTCCCGGCCACACCACCGTTCACAGCCCGCCGTATGCCATGCATCGCAACGCTGTCATCTTCCCTGACCCTCTCGCCTATCGGCCTGAACGCTGGCTCGCTGACAATGCGAAGGACTTGCAGCCTCACTTCCTCACCTTCAGTGCCGGGGCGAGAAGCTGCATTGGGAGGAATATCACCTATCTCGAGCAGACGGTGGTGTGGGCCACGTTGGTCCATCGGTATGAGTTTGAGTTGCTCAGTGCCGGTTGGGAGCTCTCACAGAGGGAAGCGTTCACGTGTTCTCCAGGAGATATGCCGGTGAAGATCTGGAGAAGGGAGATACCTGTCGGCGGTGAATGAGTCGAGATAATGGACGTCCATTCCCTGAGATTGTTTCCCTTGCTAATTTTTCTAGCTGTCTGCGGGTTTATAGTTTGCGAGACCGCTCTACTGCTCGATCTCAGCCTGTTAGACAAATCCTCATTCTGTAGGTGTAAATGGGCAATCGCGTCACACAAAAGCTCATGGTCACTCTTACAGACGCGGCACGACATCCATGACGAACGCAATGGCACTGAAACGGCATCGATCGAATCACAGATCAGGGATGAACCTTATAATGAACGCAATAAAACTGACAAACGACTCATCCAAACACCCAGTCATTCCCTCAGGCTCAATTCTCAGTAACCGGTTCCCGAATGAATGTGTATGTCGGACACTTGAATCTCGTACGACATAGCACACTTCGTCTTTTCGATGATTAGGCCTACTGCAGTACCTCGTCCAGCTCCTCCAATGTCTTGTTCGCCGTCTATCGCATTTATTAGTAACAAATGCGGTTGCGACATCATGGGATTTGTGCTCACCTCAGGCACGAGGAAGTATGAAAACATCGCCGCAACAGCGCAGAAGGCGGCGAAGAAAATGAACGTTCCGTACTTGATGGACTCAATCATCGGCGGGACGATCACGCCCTAGAAGGTCTTGTCAGCCTCATCTTCCACGACCGACTGGGAAAGTCGAATGCAGTCGCTTAGGTCGAAGCTCACAATAATGAAATTAGCCAGCCAGCTGATAGCGACTGCAAGGCCCACGCCCTTGGCTCTGTGCACGTTCTGAAAGACCTCGGAAGGCAATGTCCAGATGAGTGGCCCATAAGAAAGACCGAAGACCACAACGTATACGTCTTGATGTCACACGTCAGTGAATGCAGTCCTGAAGACCTATTCTCCTTCATGAGGGACTCACAGACGAAAGCGACGCAAGCCCATCCCCCTGCTACATGCGCAGGCCAGTCGTGGCCGTATGCGCCGTATATACCCGCCATGGTCGCATGGGCGATCATCATCCCGACTGCACCCCAAATTGCCATCCTACGGCGGCCAATGTTATCCATGAAAATCATTGCAGGTGCGACGCCAACAAATTGCCCTATATTGATCATGCCCGACAGAATCAGACTCATGTGGTAGTCTTGACCAAGGCTGGTGAAGAGCGTCGGCGCATAGTACACGAACGCATTAATTCCGGAGAATTGCGTGAAGAAACAGATGCCACAGGCAACGACAGTCCTTTTCCAGGTGTCGCGCTTGAACAGGTCCAGCCATCTGAGAAGCTCCAGCTTCGTTCCCGATGGTCCCGGATGCTTCCGGCCAGCAAGGTCTTGCTGAAAGGCGATTTCTCCAATGATGGAGCGCCACTCGGCCTGCACCCGGTGATCTTCGGCTGGGAGACAACGCAGTTTGGACAGAGACCGAAGCGAGTCGTCATGCCGATCGGCCATAACAAGCCACCGTGGAGAATAAGGGAAGAAGTGGATGCAAACGCCAAGCAGCGTCGCCGGCAGCATTTGAAGACCAAACGGCACACGAAAAGCGGCATCGCCGGCCAAATCTTTAGTTCCGTAGGTCACCCAGTAGGATAAAATGGCGCCAACAACGATAAAAAGCTCTTCGAGCGTGAGCAACGAGCCACGCATCTCCGGAGGCGAGATCTCGGAGATATAAAGAGGTGCGCCCATGGCGAGCGTGCCCACCCCGATTCCACCGATCGCACGTCCGGCAATGAGCTAGATTTAAGGTCTTCTGTCAGCTTGCGTTGCACACTGGCCAATTGCTGCCGATAAACGCACCGTGCCGTAATTTGGCGCTGCAGTCTGGATGATCGCGCCGACGTCGAAGAATGCGACCGCAACGCTCAAAGCCCATTTGCGAGACAGTTTGTCGGCGACGTAAGGGAAGAAGAGACAGCCCACGAAACCCCCGAGGAGGAGCATGCCAGTCATGAAGCCAGTATTGAATCCATAGTGCGCCGCCGACGGGTCAACCTGAGGGTATTGAGCTCGGAACTGTGGCATGACCAGAATAAGACAGATGACTCCTTGGTCTGCGAAGTATGTAAGCAATGGGTCTCTCTGTACGGCTGCTTGCTAGATGCCTACCGTAACCGTACGAAAAGCCGCCCATGGAAGCCACAAGTGCCGCGCCGAATACATAACTATTCAGTAGGGGTCAGTCCAAAGTTCCTAGCAAGTCTCTCATATGCCCACGACTTACGGCGAAGAGAGAAATGCTCTGGCTCCAGAGTAGCCATAGTGGACCTCCTCGGCGGCGAGATCCGCAAAGTGAATTGCTTTGTCGTCAGAAGAATCCGAACGTCCGCTCTCGTTGTGATCGGCATCAGCGCTTTGCTTCTCGTCGAACGGGAGCTGATTTGGTCCTCAAAGACAGTGGAGGGGGGAGAGTGGGATATTCAATAGGTAGAGAGTGAGAGAGCCGTCCGACCGTTTGTTGCTAGAGCAGAAGTTGGACCATCGAATAGTCCTCTTTCTGAAGCAGTTCATGGGTGGCGTCCGAGCATTGCGTGGTATAAGTTGAAGATCCGCATGGTTGACGGGGAACTTCCCGGAGGTTAGAGTTAGTCCTTAGTTAGTGAAAGATCGGCAAGGATGAAGTCCAGGAAGGGCAACACTGGGTTCAGCCCCAGTCCGTACTCCACAACTCGGTATTCTGTAGCGACCCCCATCATCTCGGGGAAACCAAAAATGCAACTCAGCTTTGTACTTCAGAACGGCATTCTTTGCCCATTATACTCCTCTACTAATGCTACAAACCTAGAATACAGCGGATCGATAACCTTATTAACCTTCTCGATAGATATAGAATCGAACGATCTAATAGCTTCTTTCCGTATATCTTCGATAGTAACTCGAGGATGTTTTCGAAACTCCGTCTTCGAGATACCCGCGACAGTCTCTATCGCCGAAAGATCAGGCGAAGACGACGCGTTAAGATAGTACTTAAGAATAATATCTTTCTTATTCTTAAAAACGTCTTTAGCGCCGTGCGCGCCGTCTCTATCTTCTTCGAGAACAAAGTCTTCGCTTCGATCGAGAAGAGGTTTAATAAACTCTCGAAGAATCTCGATTATACTTCTCGCTAGACATCTTCCCGTTCTTTTTCGAAGGTACCGTATACTCGAACATCGGAGGCTTAAAAGTTATAGCCTATAAAGCCCGACTAGGGAAAACGATCTACTACATCTGTACAACGCCTAGCCAACGCGCGCTAAGGAGGTGCAATTCAGAGCCAACCTAGAAACACGTAAAAGTCAAGCAGTTCTCAATGCTACGGGCTCGGGACATGGAATAGTCCTGGAATATGATTCTCTAGACTCCAACGACGCACTTTAGAATTGTGCTGAGGTGTTCATTATTGAAGCTGCAGGAGTAAGAAGTGATGACGGATTCGTGTTGCGTTTCTCCACGTGCCGCGCTATCCTACGGACTAAGTTCCCATGACTGAAGCGTGAGTGATTCGCTCCACAAGCAAGACAGTCATGGCACATCCTGTCTGGCATGCTCGCTGGATGGAAGTCGATGTAGCCCGCGATCAGGCATCAACCAGCTCCCCGCGCGAATCTGACCTTTTACCGTACCTGTAACGAGGAAGATCTTCCCACGATAGAGAGGTCTTATCTTGTGACCGATAGGGCCATGGCTCTGTAGACACTGGTGCGTATGTGCCACCTTGTCCAGGGCTTCTGGTCGTGTGATACAACGCTTGTGGACAGTGCAACACCGGCCAACACACACGCCTCTGCTGCTCATGCTACCTCAGTAACGTGTGGCCTCGTTAGGTCGTGCACGACTGTGTGACTTGCGCAGCTTGCATTCACACACATCTGCGATAATTCTGACTAGGTGTTCGCTATCCATTGTGATGTGGGACCCATGTAGAACAACACTGTCTCTGGGGCTCAAATTCCGTCTGAGCTCAGCATATTGCCGTAGCACGCATTGCACATTGGTTCTGACGACTGTGCCTGCCAGAACGCTGCTAATTTTGATGTCTTGTCCTGCAAACATCTGCTGCACCGAAATGATACTGTTGATGCCATGCGGAACATTGGCAACTGATAGTATTTGGTCAGATCTTTCTGTACTTGTGCGCTGCTGCCAAACGCCCTCTGCACGAGTGTCATCTCTGAGGCTTTTTTGTGCGGCGTCATTTTTGTCGCTGATGGAGAGGTCTTAGGCTGGTGAAATGTGTCAATGAGGATAAGTAAGTTCTCAGATGCTAGAACGCAAGGACAGTATCATACCGTCAACGAAGACATTGCATCTTGCAGATACTGGTATGAAAGCGTTTTGTGTCCGCTCACTATCGGCTGCTTTACCCGTGACAAAGAAGATTCCGACGAGACGACCCAAATATCGCAAGTCGACCAAGTCATCACGCGCTCCCGACCCCCATCGACACGATTTCGCGGATCGGAGATGTGTTCATGCCATCGATCAGCTGCTTCGCGTTAATCTCTCCGTGCTCGTCGGGACCGGTGGAAAAAACAAGCTCTCGTATAGTATGTCCTTGACGACGGTACATAACTCTATACTTTTGGTCCACACAAATGTGTCAGGACGAGCGAACAATCTCCAGAAGCATAATAGCAAGCATAATTATGAGGCGGTGGTGTCGAAGCCCCACAATAAATTCAAACGTGCCCTCTTGCATCTCGACAGCACAAGACTGCGTTAATCCTACCTCCGAACATAGCGCATCTATATATTGCTCGGTTTCTATGCATTACATTGGGTCGGCCTCAGCCGCCTTCACCGTCGGCTTGACACCGGAGTCTTCGACGTTCGAGGTCACATTCCTAGACTTCCTTGCCTCTTTCTCGGCTTCCTTCACGGCTCTATCCATTCGTGCCTTTTGGAGATCTTCGTAACTCATCACTCTAGCCTTTCCGACGTTCTTTGAGTCCATGTCTCCGACCATGCTTAACAACGAGGCCGTGAAGGACAGCAGGAGGAGCGTTACGGACTACGAGCAGGAGCTTGTCTATAGGGACGAGAGGGGCATGATGGGGCTCACGCAGAATGCCGACGTCTTGTTGTTTGATGGAGGGAGTGCTAGTTAGTTGTGTAGCCGTTGGGGTCAGAAGGATAGCAACGAAGGTGCATTATAAGTGATTTCGCGGACGGAGGTTCGAGAGATGATTGACAAGAAGGAGAGGGTGTGGTTTCATAGGCAGGTTGCGGATGTATTCACCTTATGTGAATTAGCTCAGGTCGTGCGCTGATATCTCTACCCAGGTATGATCGTATCTTGAAGATGCCGACGTACAAGCACAAATGCCTCTTCGACCTTACCTCCAATACCCCCTTTCCGATCTGGCAGCGTCTTCATACTCTCGAATGGCAGTATCCTCGCTACCCTGCAGATAGTCGGCAGGCCCCCACGTGTCTCGCCAAACTACTCGATAGTACGGCTTCGATCCACGACGTCTGCTTTTTGTAATCCGGGCTATATCCCATGTCGGTCCGGATGGACGACTCACGACTTCAGGTCTTGAGCTATGCCTATGACGCGACAGCAAATTCGCGCTGCTGCTAGCCGGGCACGAGCTCGTTTTCGTGCGAAGTCCCTGGTAAGGCTTCCGCGGAGCTTCGCTTTCGCTTTCGCTGTCATCAGTTGGAGCGGTAACCAAGCATCTTGACTGGGAATGTGCGCTGGACGCCAAAGACTTCTGTAGACGCAAGGCCGTGTCACCGTCACTGCCGTCGGAACCGGCTGATGAGATCGAAGTCGCGTCGACAATCCATCAGAATGTCTACCGGGTTCAAGGAACGTCGGTGGACTCAGGCAGCTTATAAAGCGGGCAGAAGGCTGTTCGGTAAGTAGTTCGCGAGAAGACACTCCGCCGGTGGACGACATTGCAGGATTGTCATCCGTATCTTCGGTGCGAAACGGGACACCAGGTTCGGCGGATGTGGTTGTATCCCAGCAGAGCTTCTCCGCATGGCCCAGCAGCTTGGCGACGCTGCTCCGTGTAGGTGGGTGTTCGATCTGCAGCGGTGATGAACATGCTGCTACAACAGACTCCGCCAACGACACATGGCTATCGCTTAGTGATGCCGCAGTCGACGCCATACTGGCGGTCGAGAACGTGGCATCAGGGGTCTGCATGGCCTCCCTAACGGGGGAATTGCCTGCAGCCCTAGATAGGAGCTGGGACGGATGGAGCTCCTGGCTGTGTGACGGTGCGATTATCGAGGCTGTACGAGAACCGGTGTCCATGCCGGCGCCGGGATCTATTGTTCACTCGTCAGCGTGCTGAATAAGGGCGGGTAGGTTCGAATCTCACCGATGGACGTACGATCCGCTGGCGGCTGGTGGCAAGCGCTCGAGATGCTGAACACGGCTTCGCCCGGGTGACTTCTCGAGGCGGCGAAATGTTCGAACGACTTGCGGGCGGTCGACTGCGAAGGTGGGCCAGGATAGAAGACCATCCTATCTAGCGACACTGAAGAGGCCATTGCCCTAGTCGAGGGGTTCGAGCTATCCGTCTACAGACTGCTCTGGGAGGTGGGGCACTGTCGGGCACTGAAGAATCGTAGATAGAATGGGTCGGCGGACACAGTACGCTATATAGCCGCATCACAGTGAGCGCGGACTTGCCTGCCGGTTTCAGACTTTCCTTTCGAGGGAGAACCGAGTCGCAACATTCCCTAACGCGCTCATTGCCATATCCGGTCGCACCCACAGTCCGTTGAGGCGCTAGCAGCGTCGGTGCAAAGTCATGCGCATGCGTGCATGAGAGCCTAGCGTCCAGGCAGCACTCAAGAGCAGACGACTCGGGACACGAGACGTCGAGCTTGCCAGGATGATGCATAAATGAGATGGCGAAAGTGGCAAGTCTGTGCCCGGATTGGCGCTCGTTGGATAAGAGCGCGCCGCAGCGAGGCTGCAGATGGGACATTGGACCAGTGATGAACGCTGAGATCGACACCGCACACCCAGACGGCCAAGTTCCAGCGGCTCGAGCATTACTGTCTGGTCCAGATTGTGGACACAGCGAGCTGGCCTTGTAAAGGGAAGCGGCTTGACGCGATAGGTCAGCAACATACGGGTGTGGTCGCCAGGGGCCGTCGCCGTCACTGCCGTCGGAATTGGCCACTGGGATCGAGGTCGAGGGTGATAGTCCAACAGAATGTCTATGGGGTTCAACGCACGTCGGTGGGCTCGACCAGCTTGTAAAGCGTGCAGAAGGCTGTCCTGTCGATGATTCGCGAGCAGCCACTCCATTATCGGACGACGTCCCAGGATTGTCGTCCATATCGTCTACAGGGATCGATTCCGTGTCTTCGGTGCGAGACCGGGTACTGGGTCCGACGGATGTGGTGGTAACGCCGCAGGGCATTTCCGCGTGGCCCAGCAGCTCGGCGACGCTACTTTGTGGAGGAATGCACGCAATCTGCGGCGGTGGTAGACATGCTGCTATTACAGATTCCGCCAAGGGCACACGGCTATTACTCACTGATGCCGCGGCCGGCGCGAACCTGACCGTTGAGAACGTGGCATCAGGGGTCTGCACGGTCTCTCCAAGGGCGGAATTGCCTATAGCGCTAGATAGTAGCTGGGACGAACTGAACATCTGGTCGTGCGACGTTGCGATCATCGATGCTATACCAGCGCCGGGATCTATTGCTCACGTGTCAGCGTGCTGAGAGAAGGCAGGTAGGCTCGGTTCTAGTTGATAGACGTAGGGTCTGTTGACGGCTGGTTGCAAGGGCTCGATATGCTGAACGTGATTTCGCCAGGGCGGCTCCTCAAGGCGAGAATATGTTTGAACGTCTTGCGTGCGGTCGACTGCGAAGGTGGGCCGGGAGCGCAAGTCCCAGAGAATGGAGTTGTTCAATTCCCGCTCTAATACCATTCATGCAAGCAGTAACGTCAAGTGCTCGCGGGTCATCGTCGAATCTATATTGCAATATGATATCGTATCTCTGCAAAGCGATACCAGCAATCCGGTCCTGTTTCGATATGCATCCATGATATCGCACCAAACTTCTGTGCCCGTAAGGCTTGAGGATCTCCAACACTTGAGCTTCTTCGATAAGCATCCTTGGGAGCAGTTTAGTTTCCTCCAGATCGTCGAGGCAAAGGAGCTTGGGCCGTTTGATGTAGTATCGCTTCATATCATTATCGTCCGCAACAATTGTCAAGCCAGCTGTCATATCCGGATAGATGACTTCGTTGGATATCCGACGAAGGCTCTCTCTCAAGTCCTCCACTGTCAAGTCATACTTTCGAACTCCGGAGACCTGGCCGAACCAGGCGCTATTGTAGGTATCGACGAACGAGAACGTCGTGCGTAAAACAGATCCTGTCTCAATGTCTTCAACCTCGCAGAGATCTGTGAGATCTTGCTTCGACGCGATCAGTGGCCGGTCTGAAGGCGAATCTTGCAACATCTTAAGCTCAACGCATACGTTCAGGAGAAGCCAAAATGCGAGCGGAGTCTTAAAGCATCCCTTGTGTCAGTCAAGGCAGTGGTTTCGTGATCAATTGTTCCAATGACAACGCATGTAAGACGAAGATCAAGGATTTTGTTGCGTAAAGAGAGGTGCACTTGCGCTTTGCGAATGGTAGTTGCCTACTATTACGTCAAACGCACAGGGCAAGTTCTGCCAGCGCTAGCTTGACTACTAATGGCAAAACTTGCCCCGTACGTTTGATGCGATAGTAGGCATCTACCAGTAACAAAGCACACAAGGGGTCGCTCTGGTATCGGTCACTGTAGGATTATCTATATGGCGATCGCGTTGTAGATGCTAAAGGCAAAGATCTTCGGCATAATTATGTGCGCGAGTAAGTAATCCTAAAGGTCATTCGCTACACGCAGTGTATGCAAACGTCTTGGGTCTGGATCGATCAAGAGTGTATCTCGAAGGTCGACTATGGAGAGAGGAAGACTTGATGGATCTCGTTCACCGCAATAGTGCGTTACCTGTAGGCCTGCTAGCTGTGATTATGGGATCGCAAGCAGACATCTTGAACCTGCAGAATTTGCTGGAAGGAAGGTTCGTCAAGATGCGGAGCGAAGAGGACTTCCCGCAGCTGAAGCAGTCCTCAGATGCGCCCCTATGGCCAAATATTAATTTCACTGCTTCGGCACAATTCGTCAGATCGTTGGTGGAATAGGGTCTGGATCTTCCAAGAAGAATACGTATCGTCGACGTATATGCGACTTTTGATCTGCTGTGAGCCTGGCAAAGCAGCGACTGGTACCAAAGGACACCTCGATATACTACAGTGGAGGCTTCGACTGAACACGACATGATTTCGCCAAGCTTTGCTCGGTGCGAAAATCTGATCGACCGCAGTATTACTACACCATGGTCTCATATGTCGTCTTTTATGAGCTTAGGAATACCCACGCCTAGGCCGTTCGTGCTCCCCTTCGTCTATTACCAGTGCAGTGGCAAAAGCATCCAGAAAAGCGTCCATAGTACATTCAGTTGCAACCGTACCAGAGTACCGGTGCTCTTTGTTGGCTTCAGTAATCGTGAGAGGCCATTCAATTCGGCAGGGCGGTTGTGTTAAACACATTCTTCTCCAGGAGCCAGCACCAAGAGGTTGTCTTTGTACCTCGCAGTAATCGAACGGTATCGGTAGAATGGAGATGTTCGTCAATTGTAAAAATACCAACTTCTGCCCGCGTGTCTTGTTCTCTCTCACCGTGGCCAACGTGCAGTAGATCCGTTTGCGGTCGCCTCGCGGGAAATAGCTCAAAGCCATGCTCTTGTCGTCGAAGTACAGAGGTAGATAGGCGAGAACCTGCTCTTTCGTTATCATAGGATTGAGAGTGGTAGATTCCCCGGGTGAAGCAGTGGGCAGAGGAGTAAGAAACAGCCGGTGTTGAAGAGTCAATGATCCTGCAATGACTAAGCGGAACCGCCTGCAGATACGTTGAGCCAACAATACATCATTGCTAGGGAGCTCGAGGAGAATCATTTCCAGAATCTCTGAAGTGTTCGTAAGTCGAAGACCGGCGTTATATTGAGGATACGACGTTGCTTCCATCGCTGAAGGTCCTGCTGTAGCTAACTCCTCGAATCTTGCCGTAGATACTTTGTAAGGTCCGGTAGAACCACCCGCAATAGATTGCTTGACTATGTCGGTAAGGATAGCGTTTTGATGCCTTACAAGATCAACGAGTGTGTGCAAAGCGAGAGAGAGATCCTTGGACTGTCTCACAAGCTGAGCCTGATCTTCTTGCAATCTCTTGATTTCTTCACCGATATCACCAAGAGTGTTACATGTTTTCCTTTCATCTGTATCCAGAATATGCTTCTCCTCAGACATGCTTTCACAAGTAGCACTGTCCAGCACGTTGATATGTGTCAGTCGCGGGTCTCGGAGGTGAGGACTTCCTGTGTGGTGTACAATACACGACGAACGAGCTGATGTTGTGGACTTTACTGCAAGTACGACACAAAGCCGTTGCCTGATCTCAATTGCTGTGCTCTTGCGAAGCTCTCACATTGATTGGTCGTGCGCTTCACCGGTAAGTCTGCGGGCGGGGTACTACACAGAGGAACAGATGGTGATCACTCGAGATATCCTCTACGGATGAACTCAGGCCCAGTCCGTCCACTAGATTTCATTGTTCACTTTTTACATGTTTTTGGCTAAATGGTGCATCGTCGGATCGTTTATGTGCTTCGCCGGGGTCCGCGACAAGCTTTAATTGGCTCACCACACACAATGAGCTTTGGAGCAGATCCATCGTATTGTAATCGGTTCCATGCTAATATTGCAGCTGCAGAGTAGTGGTCTGTACATCAACTAGGATGCGAGAGCTTCCAGAGGACCTTGTCATTCGCGAAATCTATCTGGGGTGTTCTCGATACAAACCAAATGGATAGCTTTCCGAGGATAATCGATTATACACCAGATGGTGCTGGGGCCACCTGCATTCACAACTGCAAGAGCAAGGATGGCCAGCGTTGCGCAAACCGCGTGAATAAGAATGACAGAAAGGAGGCGGCTGAGCTCAAATTGAAATTCGACTCCCTTCATGTGGGTGATGTCGGGGCGCTGATGCGGGTCCTCTTCCAACATATCCCCGATAAGACTTTCGAGGGAAAGCTTAGGCTGAGAGAGAAGATCTGTCCGAGCCTCTCGAAAGAGATGCAGTGATAGGTTTTGAATAGGACGATGTGCATGAGCATAGTTGAATAGTCCTGACATGCATGATGCGGATACAGCCGACAGATTAGCTTTTGCCGCTAGTGCACGATGCGACGATTTCTTTGCGACTCCTCTCGCATGATAACGACAAAGTCCTCACGATACAATATATGTACACGATATTATGATGGCGGCAATGTGTGATAGTTAGTTTCATTCTGTCTACTACTTTTGATCTATCCACGCTGGTCACACGACCCGACGGCGCTTTTTCACTGATCATCACTCTGGCCACGAGATGATCATGACCAGGTCGAGCGCTCCTGCGCCTATCCGTATGGTTCTCGCAGTATCACTGACTGACTGACTTCCTCAGGCGCAATCGAGAGTGCTCCAGCGCCGTGATCGTCGGCCTTTACCGCCCAGTTGCGCAAGAAGAGATCCAGCGCAATGGCTCGGCCTGCATGGCACGCTCACATTCATGTGTCACGTTGTGGATGCGTGCGATGAGGCGTCGTAGCGCAATCACGGCGAGGAAGTGGTACTGGAAATGACTGCGCTCTTGGTTGGCCTGGGCGGAACCTCCTGCGACACTGCTGCCTTGGTGTTGCTCTTGTGCTTCGTGGAAGTATGGTAGGGGTATTTCGTCCTCCATGGTGTGTATGCCGGTTTGCGGGAAGTCGAGATCTAGGTGGTATAGATCTTCGCTGAGGACGCAAGTCCAATATGCACGTTTCACAAGGTCGCCTGTAGCAGATGACCAGTCGATTGGCTCGCAACGAATCAAGACTTGGCACGCCATCGAAGCGGCGACTGTGCAGCGCCAGAAGTCTAGATGCCGAGATGTCGCTTCGTAGTAGGTAGCTTGTAGTAAATTGAGTTGGACACTCTCCAAGGTGCATTGCGTCCAGATGAAGCCAAGTCTTCTTCTGGCTTCGTTGAATAGAGCGAGTCCCGGTGGGTGATCAACAGTGCCGCCGCGGAAGCCACTTGGTTGACCGTTGACGACGCTGATAGGTCTCTCGAACACGCCATCGACCGCCACCGCACCCAGCGCGAAGACTAGAAGAGCCAGAACGCTGCCGGAATCGCCGTCTCCGTAGCCGTCTCGCAAGAATCTCGCCACAGTGCCGTTCATGAATGCCTCTCGATTGAGTACTGGATATAGAACATTGAATGTGTTGAAGTAGGCGTCGGAAAGCTCTTGTATTTGCTGAACACCGAGAGTCGGAAAAACAACACTTGAAGCTCTGCCTTGCTCTGTATTTCCAATGGCCATCGTGAAGCACTGCAATCCAACGTCCGATGGTAGTGGATCAGGATGCTTGCTCATCTCTTGCTTGATGAACCATGGCGTTCCTTCTTGGAGGAGGTACTGCAAGTCAGATGCAGCCGAAAAGTGGGTTCTGCCCTGAGCAAATGAATGAGGTTCATGGGGGCACTGGGACCAGTAGTCGAGTGTTGTCACCTAGTCAAATGCTGTGCAATGACCCATCCCGGCTGTACGTGAAGCTTGTCACACTACTACTGCATGCTGTACGCATGTCAAGAAAGGTAATACGACATGTTGGAGGGAAAGTCCCTGCAGGAGCTCGAGTATATAGACGATGGTGTCTCCTGGTGATGACGCTGATGACATAGCCCAGGCAGCGACCGCAACGATCCCGCGACCGTGGTTGATTACAGCCGATACTATCTGCCTAGAAGTGCACAGATGGATCTGCCACATGGAGCTCCCACTCGCACGGACACAAGTGAGCCGGGCGTCTCGTTCGTCTCGGCCGAGAGAGACCAACTTACGATTGATAACATTCCCATAGAGCACACAGAGATCTTTTCCGAATGCTGCGGGAGAACTTGGAGACAACAGGCGGCAAGACGCTATCACGAGCCACCCGATGATCTCTTTGGTATCTTCCTCGCTTCTCTTCCCTCGGTTCTCACTCTCCTTCCTGCAATTCACTGTACCGCCGGCGTGGTCGACCTAGGAAATGCCGGAAATGCCAGAGTCCGACCACTCTAAACTCACGATTTTATCGTGTAAGCTCGCCTCCCTTCACCTGTGTCCATGCACGCACCGATATACGCTGCTTCTGATTCGCAATATCTAGCCATTGGGAGATCTTTGTCAGATACACCAGGCCATTCCATTTCAACCCAGCACGGGAACTGCTCCGTTCATTAGCAACGTACGTGCAAAATCAATCTTGAAGGCCTACAAATCGAACCTCAGGGTGCCTTGTCTTCGACTTGCATCTGACGTCTACCACGTCGACAAAGTCCCTGCAGGCGCAAGCGACGATGTATATCGACTCTCGGTAAGCACTCACCCTGCATTGCGATGTAGGTGGGGAAATGGAATGTCCTTTTGGCAGACCTCACTCCCGCAGCCCGCATCCTCTACTCTTCAGACTCCGTAATCGATATTCTCGGCTATACTCCAGATGAGGTTGTGAATAGGTCTTGCTGGGATTTTTTCCCAGCCGAACAGCTTCCGTACGCGCGGAAGTTTCACCAGAATAGAGTGTCAATGGACAAGGCAGCTGTACTCGCATATTGCACAGTCATGGACAAGCTCGGAGAGTGGGTAGGATGCGAATGTTGTTTCACGATTGTTTACGATGTCGTAGTTGTCTGTACGAGTATATACAAAAGAGGGAGGAGCACTCAGAGTGAGAACCAATTTGAACCCGGCAAGCGGTACACGCTGACAATGCGTCGAGGGCGAGCTATGGAAGCATCGATGGTACGACGCATGTTGTCTTCGTCGCAACGAGATCCGCGATATCACATGTTATCGCATCTCTCAACAAAGTTTGCGCAGCCGGCCGAATCCCAGCAGCATGAGCCACGTGCGGTGCTCCTGCTTAACAGGTTCACGCGGACATCGACTATTATGTATGCTACTGGCGGGCTTGAGGATGTGATTGGCATTCCAGCCGAGGCGATGCGCGGACGAAGTTTCTACTGTTGCATCGCGGAGAACTGCCTCTACGATGCGGTCACGTGTTTAGAGAACGCGAAGTACAACGACTCGATAGCCTACCTGCGATTCTGGTTTCGCGATCCACGTCCAAGCCATCCCCAATCTTCGACAGATCTTACCGACGACGGCGATGAGGAGACAACGACGGATATGAGCGAAGATCATAAAGAGGCCAGCGCGCAGAGTCGCGGCGGTGCGGAGCTGCATAGAGAGCAGTGGATAGGGTCGCACACGGCGCGGCCGAGCTCGAGCGACAGGATAGAAATGATTGCTATGGATGAAGAATCGAACCTCAAGTCGAGGACATCTCCCGGGGACAACACGCGTGAAGCAGATAAGTACGAGGCGAGGTTTGACCAATCGCGAGCAGCGGAATTGTCATCCTCTTCTTTAGCAGTATCGCCGGAGCGGGATCGTGCATCACCGCAAAGAGCACAGGCCGAGGCGGTCGAGCTTGAAGCAGTAATCTCATCTACTTCGGACGGTCTTGTGGTATGTTTACGGAGAGCACGACCATTGATCCCGCATCCGACGCATCGGACTTCGAATCCGGTCTACGAGAATGGCCTCTTCGCCGCACCATGGGCCGGAGAGGCGATACTGCCATTATTAGATTCGCGACCGTACGCCGGCTTCGGTTCCGGCTTCGCGCCGGCACTTGGTCACCGGCCGCACAACAAAATAGCACCTACGCATGCCAGTGGTCCAGATAGGACGGACCTTATGAACGCCATCAAAGACCAGGCAATCTTTGCCTGGGGACTCGTTGGCATGAATGAAAGTTTGGCGGAGTACAGCCAGGGCAAGCCTCTCGGGGAATCGTTACCGGGGTGTATGTAGGCGAGCGATCCGGGACAGTCGGGAATAAGTGATCGAAGTATTCATAGCTGGTCTTTCGGGTAAGATTTGTTCGAATCACGGCAATTGCTTAGTGTCAATCGTGCTCCGGACTCAATCAGAATTGCCTTTGCTCTTTCGATCCATCACGCTCTCGGGAGCTTGCGGGCCCGCAACGACCTCTCTATAACTTGGCTGGCCAACATTGTCCTTGATCATGGCCTTCGGAGTCCTGTGTTTTATGATGATTGAGAGGAGCGTCGAAGTCGAGCTGAGAGCAGAGACGGCGTCAGAGACCGGAGTAAAGGTCCAGAAGGATACGAGCCTCACGCAGATTTCGGACAGTCGATCAGTCGCCATCTTTGCCAAGCGCGGGTACATACCGACTTCCCGAATGGACGATGTTTTCCTCAGCTCGGACCTAGGAATCCCTGCGATTGTGGTACAGCATGCAACACCTTGCAGCTCTGATTCATTAAATTCAGGAAGATGATGATGGCTCACCCAACTATTCGTTGTATTGGACCATTTACAGTTCATCTGCGCGCCAAGCGGCTTCGCTGGTGTTTCAGACACTGCATGTCTCGACCATGATATCGAAATATTGGCACAAGTACTTCAGCGCATGGCGGCCACTTTCTCGTCGCCTTTACGATGGAGTCAACGACACTAAAGACATGCAAGGATTGGAGCGCAACTGGCATGAACGAGGCATTCGAAACTTGCCTCTCGCATAGAAGACGAAAAGAAGCGTCTAAGCCTCTTCGATTAGCTCGGTGGTAGTGCCCTGTTCAACAACCCTGCCTTTGTCCAAAACGACCACGCGATCGTAATTGGTAATTAGTTTGATGCCGTGGGCAATGGTCAGTACACTTACTTCCGCCGCCAGGCTCGATCGTAGCCTCAATTGCACTAATGCATCCGTGGCATGATCGACAGACGCCGTGGCTTCATCGAGTATAAGTAATCGGGACCGCTGGAGCAGCGCCCTCGGAATACATATCAGCTAACGCTGGCCCAAGGACAGGGTCCAAGCGAGATCGTCCAGACTACCTGATGGAAGACAACGGCAGAATTGTGTTTCGCGCCGCTCGCCCTGCCTTTGCCTTCTTTCCGGAGAGGCCTGCTTCTTTCTGATGTCAGTGTTGTTACCGTGCATCATCCTACCTGCCCAAGGAGGTATATCATGTGCCTCTCCATATCTCGATCTGGTCTTTCCATTCTCGTGAGCTGCTGCAAGCCCTCGCAACAACCTATCGCTGCATATTGGACGCAATGTTCTTCGATGGTCGAACGCCCGTCGTGACAGTTAGAGTTCTTGTGCTGCAGAATCGAGGCATGGGTATAGGAAAGTGTCCGCGTCCAACAGCACGCTCGTAGGGGGAAAACTGAAAGCTTAGACGGGAGCGGGATCTTTCCTCGTCCTTGCCAAGTCCGACCATTCGCCGCATCTTGAACAAGGGCCGTTGCTAACTACCCAAGTAAGAACAAGGTCGTTGTCGTATTGAACAACGACTGACATTTGATAAACTTTCGGAATGACGCAGTACCCCAGACGCAGTCTCGAACTCTCAGGCCGAGAAGCCCGTGGGGAGATGATGACAGTCAGACAGCACAAGCGTTGTGCCGCATGGCCAACCGTATTCTTTCCCATACAAGGTTGGGACGGCAAGCTTCAGTGGATACTGTGCAGGGAGTGTCATCAGGCACGCCATCAACCTCGCAGTGACATGCCTCGACCCACGTGATCTTCTCGCCCACTCCGGGGTATATTCTGCACTCCGCACAAACTCTATATTAACATTTTGAGCTGTCCGACTTGGCGCGTTTCCCTGTTACATATCGATTGAAAGGTAAGCAATTACAAATCACTTCCTCCTTCTCCATACCCATAAAGATTTCCCTATCTCGCTCATTGTGAATGGAGATGGACGTGTTCCCGCAAGTTGAACTTCAACATGTGAACGCTACGTAGCAGATCATGATAAACATAACCGAAATGGCCAGAACGTTGCGCCAGACCGCTCAAGGCGCCGCAGATCAAGCCCAGGAGGGCGCAGCCGACGGTAGCCAGAAGTGGGATGCCATGACTGAGGAGCAGAAGAAGCAAACGTTCGACAAGCCTCCTGCAGACCAGAAGAAGGGCAAGTCGTACTCTGAGTGGGGTTCTGAGGGTTACCACGACCAGTACGTGAACTGGACGCCATCGATCGAGGATATGTACTTGAAATCGTTTACGAAGGACAATAAGGCGAGCTATGCGATAAAGGGTAGGTGACTCACACCTTAATCTGTTGTTGAGTGCTGACTTGTCCCATAGACACTCTCGACAAGACCAAGATCATCCGCGTGGAGCAAGTCGACACTCTGCAAGGCGATGTGAACAACCTCGTCGGCAACCAGTTTGGCAAAAGCGGTATTCTGCAGCCCGGAGGCCACACGGTGTCGGAAGAGGGTATCAACCGCGCTGAGCGTGGTAGCAAGATAAGCTCAGCCGTCTACTGAGGTCACCGCTGTTACTGACAAGGTCGTTTACAGGACGAGTCCGGTGGCTACGGCATGGGTGCCACCTCCACTCTTACCGACCCAGCAACCGAATCAAGCTTACACTTTCGACCATGGAGCTCAAGACCATGAGACTATGGCCACGGAGACGACCAGTGACGAGTATCAGCGGCTGCTCACACAGGACTTTCAATCCCCGAACCCTCACATTCTGGCGCAGGCGCAACTACAACCCCAAGGCTACTATCAACAGACCATTACGTCGTTGCTGCTGTCGCAAAGTTTTGCATCGGAGCTGTTCCATGAACTGAATCAAGATCATATTCTGTCACCTCAGATGCAGATACAGTCGGTGCAAGTGTCTTCTTCGCTCTATTGGAGCGGCTGTAAGAGTCTAGGTATGCGCCGGTGCGAGCAGACGTTGCAACCGTCGCGCAGGCGGAGCCATCACGAGGACTTTGCGTACGACTATCGTCGTCCGCAAAAACTTCGGGCTGATGTTGGCAGTGCTGGTACTCCAATTTTTGCCGAGCTCACACCACTTTCTCACTATTTGCAAGTGCAACCTGGTGCTCTTTCCCATCAAGTACGATCTCAGTGTCCGCTTTCGCAGCATACGAAACCAGGACGGGTGTTTCACACCTTACCTTCACAATCACAGTATCACCACCATAGTTTGCCCTACATGCAGCGCGCCCGGAAAGCGCAGCGCACACGGTATGGCGAGGAGTCTTCGTCCGCCGAAGAGGATGGCCCTCCAAGTGTAGTCGTGCAGCCAGGCACGCCTGGTCCAACCGCCCCGCAGAAGGCCTCGAAGCTAAAGTTTACTCCCAAAGATGACGCGCTCCTCGTCGAGCTCAAAGAGATGACGCATCTCACGTGGAAACAAATCGCCGATTTCTTCCCGGGTCGCAGCTCTGGTACCCTACAAGTAAGATATTGTACCAAGCTCAAAGCCAAACCCAGTGTGTGGACCGATGAAATGGTCTATCAAGAACTTGCCGCCGCCGAGGAAGAGAGTACTGAGGGGGGTTGACGAATTCGACTGCGCTCCACGGAATAGTCTCAAGTAGAAACTTCGTCCGCGCATCGCCTTGACTGGAATGCCAATCACATCCTCAAGTCCGCTAGTTGCATACATGATAGTTGATGTCCGCGTAAACCTGTTGAGCAAGAGCACCGCACGCGGCTCATGCTGCTGGGACTGGGCCGGCTGCGCAAACTTTGCTGAGAGATGCGACATCATGTAATATCGTGGATCTCGTTGCGACGAAGACAACATGCGTCGTACCATCGATGCTTCCATAGCTCGCCCTCGGCGCATTGTCAGTGTGTACCGCTTGCCGGACTCATGTTGGTACTCACTCCGAGTGCTCCTTCCTCTTCTGTATATACTTATACTGACAACTACGACATCGTAGGCAATCGTGAAACAACATTCGTATCCCACCCACTACTCGAACTTGTCCATGACTTTGCAATATGCGAGTACAGCTGCCTTGTCCATTGACACTCTATTCTGGTGAAACTTCCGCGCGTACGGAAGCTGTTCGGCTGGGAAAAAATCCCAGCAAGACCTATTCACAACCTCATCTGGAGTATAGCCGAGAATATCGATTACGGAGTCTGAAGAGTAGAGGATGCGGGCTGCGGGGGTGAGGTCTGCCAAAAGGTCAGTCAGCACATACTTCTTACAAGTGTAAATGTGTCAATCGCACCATGAATCAATATGAAGGTGGTCTCCATTTAAGGCTTCCGTCAGTGGAGTGCGCGCAATGGTATGGGTAGAAAGCTGTTTGGCGCAGAGAAGGGTGTTTGCGACAGTAAACGTCGAAGCATATTCTACACAATCTGCCCTTGACGACGTCAGATTGCTGCAATTGAGCGTGCACGAAGCATCAGATATTAGGCCCTTCACACGAGTGCGGAATTCTCATGGAGTGAGAGCAATACGATGTCCATTCCAGGCTTGCCTTCTGGTAGACATCGCTGTGCGGCCTGAGGTATGACAAATGATGGGCGCGAAGTCTTCGTGACGAGCTTGCGGTGAACCTCTCTGTTCAGGATCGGCAGGCACCAGCTTCTTTTTTAGACAGCGTCTACGGAAACAATGACGTAAGGTCGTAAAATTGGCTTACGATCATGCCTGGAATACTCTTATCCCGGTCTTAATCCGAAAGCTTAGTTCGCGATATGGTTTAGTATATGGTCGTCCTAGAATCTCTCCCCTTCTTTAATTGGCCTGACCTCCACGCCATCGTCAGCCGCGGTCTGCACCTTACGGAGAAGAGTCCGCTACCGCGCGCTGGAAGTTCACGATGACACCTCTCAAAACTACTTTTCGCGCAATTCTCCCAGTGTGCTTCTGGTGTGGCTCTTGATTATTCTCCGACACCCAGTTCTTGCTGTACACTGTATCAGATCGATATCGACATATTCGATCACTGTGGTTTGAGTGAACCTTCATCATGGCGTAACCAGCGCGGGCAAATTCGTTGTCTTTGTCCAAGCCAAGACGTTCCAAAGAACCTACCTTTAGACTCACTCTGTAGCTATTGCACCTCCGTTACAACTTTGTTCCCGAACAGAGCGTCATGCCTGAACTCAAAGATTATTTCGTCACCATGTGATCACTGTAAGAAGTCCGTATTGATGGTACCCATCTAAACAATTAAGAGCGCTACAGTTTCCGATGTAACGACACGATCTTTTCTCATCATCGCGTTAGAAGTACAAGCATACAACACTCCCGACTGCGGATCTAGTTGAACAGACGGTCTCGTCATTATGGTTTTTGATGCTATAATACCAGAGTATGCGGTTTTCTGTATAGAGCGACGGATGGAGATACTCCTGGTACTGCTAGAGATTGTTCAGAAGCACAGCAGTGAGTCTTTGGAAGTATGTCGGCCACGCTCCTCTACATACAAAAACACGATGATATTTGATGTTGACAATCGATCCAAAGGCAATGCAGGAGAACCAGCGAACCTCAACCCAGAGTGGTGAGGCGATGCAGAGTAGGCTAATGTGCACGATTGCGGAAATCATGACCCATGAGCGTGTGGTCTACGCCGCGAATTGCCATCTTAACGCACAACGTGCCCGTTTGCCACAGCGGTGTCAGACCCCCGGCTTTAGGAACTTATCGCTGTTCGAAAAGTGCCTCTGTCTCCGCTATCAAAAAGATCGAAGGTTGGCGGAAGAGAGCAGCGAGTCAGTTGCGGGCAGTACTCGAACGAGACACTCTACATACGCTCGATAGCGGAATCGTCATGGACATGAAGACCTGTACAGACCTGTTATAGTAACAGCTTGAAGTGTGTCTTCAAGGGACGCGAACGCAGCTTCTCCAACAGATCGATGAATGGGCTAAAGACCCGAAGGGCAAGTGCATCTTCTGGTTGTGTGGAATGGCTGGCACTGGCAAGTCCACCATCTCCCGTACTTTGTCAGGCAACCACGATGAAGAGGGTCTTCTAGGTGCGAGCTTCTTCTTCAAGCGCGGTGAACGCGAGCGGAGCAACGCGAGCCTTTTCTTCTCGACTATCGTTAGACAGCTCGCAGACATGATACCTGGTCTCAAACCATCACTCGCCAAGGCCATTGACGCTGACTCCCAACTCTGCGAGAGGAACCTTCGGGAGCAATTCGAAAATTTGGTGTTTCAACCACTGCTTAGCGTTGTGCAAGGAAATCCACCAGGTCCGCGATTGCGGTTATGTTACATTGTTAGCTTTCGACGAATATGGCATTTCTCTGACAACAAACACTAGAGTCTTGGACATTAGCTCATACGCCACTTATTCAAAGGCCTCTACGCCACTACCTGCTTGTGCCTTGATCGGACTTCGCGACCAGTGGCTACACTATCAAGGACAAGACTTCCTTTGGTTACCATACGAGTATCGAGGCTCATGCTCGGCTCTGTCTGACGAAACACTTGTTATTGGTCAGAGGTCTGGGGCGATGTCTTTTTTCAGATTCAAGGTAAATTAGTACAGTAACAGTATAAGCAAATCCAGACATACACAGTTCTCAAAATTTGTAACAATGAGCATCTGGCAGTCGGGGCATTGCAATCGCCTGGACAGGTATCAGCCCTTACTGCGTGCATCTTCCTTGGTAGATGGTGGCTTTCCGAAAGGTCTGGCGGTAACAATATCCAGCATACGAATTTTGTGGGTTTTGGAACTCTATCCTATGCAAATACATGGTTGCGTCCTCGGAGATGCACCTATACACTAATTTCAGTAAGTGCAAATCATCATGCAACCATCATACCCCGCCAGATGCAACGAGGGATAAGACCTTCACTTTCTCTCAGTATTTGGACTAGTTAGCTGCCGTCGTTCGTGCATCTCATCCTGGCGCAAAGTGCAGTATGGCAAACCTTCGACAATCGGCGAACAAGTTGTGGAATGCAGGTCAGAGGTTGACTGTGGCCGGAACAGGATCGTCGATGCGCACTCAGACAACTACCTTGAGACGACAATCAAGACGCTCACTAGGGCTGGGGCTCGCCGTCTCCGGGGCAGCTGTCCTCTGGTGGTTCACCTCTCAGAGAACTGCCCTTGCAGAAGCTCCGCACCCTGACCATTCCAAACGCCATACCAGCCATTATGCCGCCGCTCACGCTCACGCTCACGCTCACGCTGACGGCTACGATAAGCGGCTCGTGCCCCATGCAGCTCCAGTGACACCCTCAAAGCCTGTCGCACACGGCAGCAAAGCTCACGTGGCGGACCTCTACGCGAAGCTCGAACACGCATCCTTGGACCTGGCAAAACTCCCGGTCGAAGAAGCCGTCCTTACTAGTGCGCCAAATGTACCCCCTTCGATCACCCGCGACTATCCCGTGGTCCTGAAAGTGGACTTGACAACGACCATCAAGAAAACACAGTTGATAGGAGCTTACAAGTACGAACAGTGGACGTTTAATGACCAGGTTCCTGGACCTTTCATTCGAGCGCGGGTGGGTGACGTTGTGGAGGTGACATTGACCAACAAGGACGAAAGTGGCATGCCGCATAACATCGACTGTCACGCATTTCTGGGACCTGGGGGCGGATCAGCAGTAACGACGACCGAGGAAAACCAGACCAAGACGGCAAGATTCAAACTGCTGTGCCCGAGGCTCTTTGTGTACCATTGTGCGGCGGCACCGGTGCCTGTCCATATCGCCAATGGGATGTTTGGACTGATGTATGTCCAGCCAGCTGAGGGCGATCTTCTACCTGTGGACAAGGAGTACTATGTCATGCAAAGTGAGTGGTATCACGAGCCTCCTGAGAAGGATGATGATGGTAGGAGGTCGTCAGAGGTGGAATTTTCGTATCCCAATGGTCTGCGCGAAGAGCCGAATGTCGTGGTTTTCAACGGCAGCGAGTCGGCCCTGACAAGAGAGAAACCTCTAAAAGCCAGCATGAACGACACGGTGCGCATCTTCTTCGGTAACGCCGGACCGAACTTGACGAGCGCGTTCCACGTTATCGGAAGCAACTTCAGGCGGGCATATCGTGACGGCGATGTCGTGAGCCCACCTGGACAATTTGTATCGACTTTGAGCGTTCCGCCGGGTGGAACGACTATCGTCGATATGCACATGCTCGTCCCCGGTACCATGACCTTGGTCGACCATGCAATTTTCCGGATCGATAAGGGCGGTGTTGGGTACCTGAATGTCTCGGGGAAGTCGAGGCTTGACGTTTACCAGAGCGTGCAACCTCCTGCGCCGTGTGTGGGATGCAAATTACATCCTTGACAATAATGCTACATTTAGCGACAACTTGGTCTCCTAGAACCGTGACTTGTGGTCGATGTAGTGCGATCCATTGAGTCCTCAGAGGTGACCCGAAAGAGCAGGGAAGATCCATCTGCAAAGCTCACCTTATGGAGCCGGGCAAGGAGTTCAATGTCCCATGAGCACCGGTTGATCCTCCATAAAAGATGGCCAAGCATGGTACGAGTATAGGCCAAATTTGGAACGAGAGGTGTTATGATGGCAGCTCCAGCGCCACATACACTCCTCTCTACTCTATGCAGCCTCAACATTGCCCAATACCACTGACCTGGACCTTACCTCCGCTTGTAACTTCTCCACCAACGTCTGCAGCGCTCCGAGCTGCGACATCAAATCTCGCATTTCCACGCTGCAGCTGCTATGCGTGTCGGTCCGCTCAACATGCCGATGCAACACTCGCTCTGATGCGCCGAAGAGATATAGTAGCGCCGGCGGTTCGACAAAAAGACACTCTTGGTATCACAGACGAATGCTCTGGGAGCTCTCCATCCAACGCTGCAACGACGTCCACCAGGCGGACCCCATTCAGACGGTTTATCCGAACCGTGACATGGCCGCCGTGCTGAGTACGGCGGCGGCGACGGTCATCAAAGGTGAGGTCGATGGCGGTAGCAGGGGGCTGGCAAAGCAGCTCGCACATTAAACGGCTGTCTCGACGGGCGAGCAACCATTGTACTCCGTGCCAGGATGTTTAGCCAGCTACCAGCGCCGGCCGAAGCAAGAAACCATTCACTCCAACGACGTCAGGGCGCTCCTGGACGAACATCCTTCCTGAGAGCGATGAGAATTCCGCTATAGCATACTAGAACTGAGGGCACGCCAAGCTCGTCTGAACTAACTCGTGTGCCGAGAAATCTGTATGTTCGAGCATAGCTGAGACGAGCTCGAGCCGCAATGGTAGGCAGCGTTTGGGTACCGCCGCAAGGCGAGCAGGTTCTGCTTTACTCTCTTACGTGTCAGCCAGTGTCCACTGGGCAGCTTAGCTCAGCCAGATAAAACCTTCATCATGCTGTTACGAATATCGTCCTCGTTTCCTAGGAACTCCGTCCTCACCACCACTTACCCTCTTGAGAGTTTGCATGTCGACGCGGGCAGATTGTTCAGTCAAAAGTGGCTAGAGACTCCGACGTTGTGCTTGAAGGAAAGAGGCTCGTTTCGAGCGCGGCAAACTCGAGTGCCCCCTTCATCGGCCCAATGCATTTGGGAGGCACCTTGTTGGACGGGAGATGCAGAGCCACACGTTGTGTATTGCATATCAGCTGCATGAACGATTGGTTCGATCTTAAGTATGTGTGCCGCGTCGTGTGGCTCCCAACATCCGAGACTCCGCCTCGCATCGCTCTGCCGCTCTGTCTAATATTCACCAATCACGATACGAGCCCCTCTTGGTTGTCACTCAGCATGAAACACGATGAAATGTGCCGGACGTCTCCAGGGCGCACCTTATAACCTTTGTCTTCCCGAGTCCCAGGGCCAACGCCATCCAACGTCGCTGTCAGCGGACGCTATCAAGCTGCATCAGCCAGCGCTATCGACTAGCACGAACGCCTGGTGATCGAGTCGTTTTGCCTAAATTCGTTCTACCTCCGTCAAAGAGCACAACTAGTACGATGCCGGAATCCGTATGCGACCCTCTCGGTTCCCTCGGCCTTCTATTGCTGGAGCTGCGCCAGCTGATCTATGCTGAGGTCGTAGAGTTCGAGCGCCACACTCTACAAGAGCTCGCAAGCGCTTGCACATCGAGCACTAGGCTGGCTTGCACTTCTAGCGTTCTTCGTCGACGGTGGCAAGATGTCGACAGAGACTGGCCCCATCTTCCATATAAAAATGACACCATCGATCAGACCGACAACGCAGCAATCTCCGTCGACATTGACGGGGTAGTTGCAAGCATTCGGCGCCATACGCAGGCAGGGGATCGCATACATCGTTATGATCAGGCTCAGAGTATGGGACTTCTATATCCGAAGTGGCGGAGAGAGTCTTCTCGGGTTCCGAGGGCAGCTTCACTTCGACCGAATGCTGTATACGCCTGTCCATAACAGCAGACGCGAGTTGTTACCTTCGTCGAAGTACAGTGGATCATGTTGACTTGTGCCTTGCGATGCTTTTCACGCACAACCCAGAAAAGGTATTGAAGCAGCGGCATGATGCTGCGGACCCTACCGATTTGGCCATTGCTTATGTTTTGGCAACGACTCCGTTTCGGTGGGCCATGGACGCGGGAACAGAAGACGACGACACAGTTCCGTACTGGTCGAGTTTGGCATCAGACTCATACGACCAGTACGCAGTTGCTGCCGGTGTCGCTCTGGCAATCTGGGCCGAACATAGATCGACATCAAGTATCGGGATCTAAAAGAAAGGAAAGCTCTGTTGAGGTAGTAGCGTTCAATGGACCAAGCACTCATCGCATCGAATTGATTTGATGTGGCCGTGCTTACTGTCTCTTAGCCCTCAAAACCCGTGAGTACACGTCGGCCTGCAAGGCTGCGCTTGCATTTCACGTTCCGAAGTCAATCCTAAGCAACCGTATGGCTGGACGGAAATCGCGCGCTATAGCGTATGAATCAGAGCAGATCCTCTCAAACGCGGGAGAAAAGACATTAGTCCGATGGACTACACGTCTTACACGTACTGGATTCCCTGCGTCGCCAGCGTTGGTTCTGCAAATGGCCGAGCAAATCCGACGCGGACGCGTGCAACTATCGAAGACTCCACCACCATCTCCTCGAACGCTTGGCGAGAAGTAGCTTGACCGCTTCAAGACTCGTCATTCTAAGATCGCAGGCATCTAGACTCGCTAGATAGAGAGCGCTCGCTTCACTGCGACGAGTTACGAGGGTGTGAAGAGGTGGTTTGACGCGGTGACGGAGCTTTTCCCGCAACACTAGTATCCTCTAGAGCGCGTATACAACATAAATGAGTCTGGCTTTGCAGGCGGAGCAAGTCAGTAGTCAAGAGCATTGGTCAATATACGCGAGGCATCTAGCTAGAAGGTTATTGCAGGCCGACAGGAGTGGATAACCGCAATCGAGTGTATAAGCGCTACCAGGGTTGCTGTGCCTTCCTTGATCATCTTCAAGGCCAAACACACCAAAACTGCGTGGGTGCCTGCACACACGCCTCCAGACTAGAGGTTCTCGACTAGCAATAGCGGCTGGACGTCCGGTAGCCACTGTTACGAGTGGCCAACCACTGTTTTTGAGCCTTTAACGCGGCCTGACCACCCTATAGAACGGCGACTACTAATCATGGACGGCCATAGCAGCCACATAACTGCGAGTGTAATCGCTTTCTGCATGGAGAATGTGATTGACTTGCTCATCCTGCCGCCTCGTTGTTCGCATATACTCCAGCCGCTTGATGTTGGCGTGTTTGCGCCGCTAAAGCGTGCGCTAGCTTCGGAGACCGAAACCGCTCTACGACTCGATTCTGGCCGCATATCGCGGAGCAATATTCTAAGCGCTGCTGGTCTGGTGCCGCTAAGCCCCGTAACGGTGCTTAATGAAAGCTCTCCCCCAGATGGCACCGAACTACGCGAGGCAAACTTAGCTCTGAATTCAGCGCTACACGGAACGGATAACTCGCTCTTTCGAATCGACGCATAACGAGCTTGTTACTTTGCGCAAGTAGGTAGAAGAACAGGAGAAGCTTCTTAATATGCGAACGAGTCACAAAAACGGCAAGCGAGTCGCATTAAAGGGAAGGTTCGTGTTTGGCACGGAAGAAGTGCTCGAGATAGCGAAGGCAGCTAAAGCGGAGTCATCTACTAAAAGCCCCGCGCGGACGGCCACGCAAGCGTCCAATCGAGGAACCACTCAAGAAAGATAGAAAAGAAGAGCCAAAGAATCTATCTAGCGACTCGGATTCTGACTGTATTGTTGCGGTGCGCGAACCTCGTGACCCAAACCCCACGGTTTGATCCAACCACATGCCAAGCACGGAGACCCTTAGGAACTTCAAAACATCGGGCGCGCGATCTTGGTCATCTTTCGCCATCAATATCTTAACAACAAGGTGAAGTCAGTCGCAAAAGTGCCATTTCCTTCATCTTGATGCGCTCTACAGACTGGCCGAGTATGGTGAAAATGTTCGATGGTTAAGGCAAAGGAATCGTTCAATGGAATCGTCGTCAAACCCATGGATTTTCCGCAAAACGCTAAGATAGCAACGGAACGACAACGGTTCCTTCGTGATATAATGTAAGGATACAATACAATGAAGTATATATCATAGTACCGGAAGACCGGCAGATGGGCCAAAGGAACGATGGAAGCCGGATATCAAGGTAGTGCGAGCGGTTGTGCAGTTTCCTAAGCAGACCGCCCGCCGATCAGGTCGCGAGCTTCCTGATGGGGCTACGCAAGGAACCCCAAGAGACTACTAAATGGTGACAGGCTGAGAACTGAGACAAGGCAGCGGAGAGTGAATGTCGTGATAACGATAGGACGGCTCTCAAGTCTCCATAGAAGATTTCGTAGCCTGAACAGATCAATCCATTCGCACAGGCTAGCCCTCCGTTCCCGCTCAAAACAGTTCCTTACAGGCCTTGGTCTCACTCCAGAAACGAACAAGCCGGTGGATACCAATTTGCGACCTACCATACCACCGGAAGCTTAGTGATACCGACATCCCTCGTCGGCTCAGTATATGCAACCTCAGAATGCGGAATCCCGAGCTTAAGATTTGGGAGTTTCTTGAACAAAGTCGCTGCAACGGACACGTTTAGCGCGCAGTCCATGTCTCGTCAGGAACAGAAGCAGACTGTACTCACAAAAGACGGTCTCAAGTTCGGCGCGTGCGAGCCATTCCGCAATGCAGCGGTGCTCACCCCAGCCGTATCCGAGTGCCTCTTCGGATCCTCGTTTCCGATGCAGGTCGAATTTGTCAGGATCGGGAAAGACTTCCTCGTCTCGGTTGCAGGCTTGATTGGAAGCGATGATTCCCTCGCCAGCTTTCATTACCTAGCGTAGGAGTGTCAAGTATTAGCAGGGAACCACAGATCCATGAATGATTAGGAAGGAGCGTGGTGTGGATATACGCGTACCTGGCCTCGTAGGGTGATATCCTCCTTTGCGACGCGACGGGTGGCAAGAGCTGAGGCCGTGTGGTAGCGACAGAGTTCTTCAACGAACGGCTTCGATAGAGATGGGTCGCGAATTAGGTCCTCTAGCTGGCTTGGATGCTCAAGCAGTGTAACGACACCCTACGCCTGGCATAAGCCCGTGCACAAACCATCAAAAAAACTTTTATGACAGCGATGCTTACCAAGGCAATCATGTTTACCATAGTAGCATTGCCGGCTACGAGCAAGAGGAAGGAGATCTGAACAGCATCAAGCCTGTCGATGTTGGTCGGTTTGAGCTGGCATCGTGAGCCGAGTGCGTGCTGTTAACTTCGTTTCAACATACCTGTTCAACGACGAGCTTACTGATCAGGTCATTTTCAGGTTTCTCGGTTCTTCTGTCCACAAGCTTTCCCAGATATTCCAGCAGATCACTGATCCGTCAGCCGGTATTCTTGCAAGAGGATGGCTCAACCATTACTTATTCGCATTGGCAGCAGCTGCGGCTGTCGAGCTTCCATTCGTTCGGACAGCGTTCATACTATTGAGGTATTCGACATCCTCAAAAGGCACTCCCAGAATGCTATAGATGCTCTACACAAGCAACTCATCAGAATGTGCTTCGATGAATCTCCTGAAGGCAGTAACATACCTCTGAGGGTACCGGCAGTGCAAACTTTTCGACGAGATCCACGGGCTCCTTACATCCGCCCTTAATCATTTCATCGAGGCAACGGTTAACAGTCGCCTGGATCTCGGGCCGCTTGCTCTCGATGTGCTCCTTGGCGAAGGCTTGAGCAACCATATTTCTGTCAGGGCGGCCCATCAGTTCGTTGTATGTATCTTGGCTTCTGAGGAATAGGATTATTACCTCTGCCGCATATGATCAGGAGGGTCCATGTCGACAAAGGTAGGTCTGTTCTTCGCTGCTGCCTTACCACCAGCACTCATCTCAGGGAAGCCCTCGCGTTGGCGTTGCTAGAAAGATCGTTATTACCCTTGGATTCACTCGGTGCCGTTATAGAAAGTGTATCAAGCCTTACCTTCGACAGTCGCGTATCGGTCAGTACACTGCAAACATCATTATGCTTTGTCACCAGCCATGGATGACTGCCATCCCAAAGCTCAACCCGAGAGACAGGGTTGGAGGCACGGAGTTTGGCAAGTTCGGCCGGCGGTTCAGCGCCTGCCGCGCGGGCGAATGGGAAAATTGGGCGGTCTACCATGAGCAGCGAGTCAGTGCAATATTCTCATCAGAGATAGTGGATCTGGCTTACGTGCTTCCGTAGACATCTTGCAGTTCGATACACGTCTGATAATAGAAGAGCGATTGTAAAACCTAAGACGAGTGCTCATTCTTTACTCGTGTCGTTTTGATAGGTGATCCGGCAGCCCAACAACCTTCAGAACGCGAGCAGTACGGGCATTCTAATAGAAATCCAGCCGCCCCCCACGGAGATATCGCAGTAGGTAATGTGGGGTAAGCGTGTCCGAGACGTCCGAAGCTCGCGGTGAGCGGAACGTACGGTCCACAGCTACGTAATTCGTGACGCCGAAAATACATCCTGATCGTACGATGGGATACTCAGCCGTTTCAGAACTACACTAAAATCATGATCCTGCTTGTGCACCCGGCAAGTGACACTCTGCGACCACATTAGCTGCCGTCCACCAAGCTTGCAAGTACCGTCGTCTGCCATGGCTTGTCAACCACCGAACCGTCAGCCCCCCGATATAGCGGCCCAGGGGGGAAAAGTGTGTCGTCATTCGGTCCTCAGCACACTACTGCTGATAACTCTGCAGTGTGTCAGCAGGAAAACTTGCCGGGGCACAACTCTCAAGGCCCGCGCCCCCGATCTTCTCTCTCTCGACACACATACAGCACAGCGGACCAAGGCGTGTTCGCGATGCGATACGACCTTTGGCTTCTGTCTCCATTCCTCTCAGACACGGTGGTGGCCGCGAGGTGAGGTCTAACTAGCGCGTTTGGCAGTCAGGACGTGGAGTCCACCTCCCCGTCTCGTGTGCGACCACCATCTCCCCGGCCAGCAACAATCCTCGTTTCTGTTTGCACAAGCCCGACCCGGTCTGCTGCGGGAGACGGCGTCCTCGCTGTGAGGGATGCCTGGGTTAGCACGCATACGCCTGCAGGATGTGTTCACTGCACGTCTCGTCAAATGTGGCCGAAGTCGCTTTACATTACCGTAACAATGTCGGTTGCCGCGAGCACACGAGTGATGTGCGCACAGCGTACAAACAATACAGTCAGTATGACGAGGTGCAAGCTACGGCATCAGAGAGAGTGGGGTGAGCACAACCAAGTGAACGGAGAGAGGCGAGCCGGCTGGCGATCTGGGTTTCCTTGTTCGTAGGAAGGTAGATCGACGGGCTAGCCTCAGGGCTAAAACGCAATGTGAACGTGGAGGAGGAGCAAAGCACTGGGGAACGTTGTGCTGCGTCTAGAGCTGCAAACCGCTACATGCACACTCGATGCTCAAGACAAAGCGTGGCACTGTCACGTGAAGTCTGTACTCCCCACACACCGATGATCACGCCCTTTTTGAAGGGTGACATGAAGCCTCGTGCATATTCCATAGGTTGGCCAGAAGGATCCAGATCGGCCATAACGATCTTGCATCGTGAAGGACGACGGCCTTCGACCCCGAGTGAGACTGCCATCTTGATCTAAAACTTCGTGCATCTGCGGCTATCACGTTTGTGGCAATTGGTAACGCGAGACCCAAGAACCGTTCATATAGACCTCCCACAGGTCCGGCATATACCACTCGAGATACCTACTTGATTTGTGGCGTCTGCTCCCTGGACTCTTGGCTCTGACTATGGTATTTTGAGAATACACCAGGTGCTACCTGGCTGTCTTTCCGACGATGCAGAACGACCACAGATACCAAGCAGCGAGGGAGCAATTTTGGGTACATCAGTGCGGTACGGAGACGCCGCGCCAGACACCAAGAGCAATTCCCCTCCCACAACCCAACGCCCTTCGAGCGTGAGCCAGCACGACTCTGGATACGCTAGCCATGGACGAGGGTCGCAATCGTCCACCGGCTCAGGTCTCTCAGGCCTAAGGAGCAAACCCGCCGAGTCATCCGGTACCGAGCCTGGACGGATGACCCGCCCAGTACGAACTCAGCACGCGCGGCAGCACATCGGGCCAACGTGGGATCACTTAGAGGGCGAGGTCTCCCCATCTTCAACTATCTCCCAGGATCACCCACGTCATGCACATACCCAGGCGTTCAATGGTCGTGTCCAGAGCCCAAGCGCGGTCTCACCAGTAGCCACGAGCCCTAGCGGATGGAGTCCTGCGTGTCGCGAAGCTTCGCATGATCCTCCACTCCGCGCACCGGTGGCAAGCTACGTCATGCCAGAGCCGACGTCTCAAGCCCCAATGACTGCTGCCTCGATGGATCCGGAGATGAGGGAGACTCCAAGCCATCAAAGCATTGGAAGAATCTGGCCCGACGAGAACCATGTAGTCAGATCGCCGGACCAACTCGTTCAGGCTGCAGCAGTGCTCGAGGATCAAGATGCATCACTTCGACAGCTTGAATCGATTTTGGATTGATGAGCGTCAATGCCACCAGAAGATTGCTACGGATTGTTTACGAAGGATGAGTGCACCGGGAGCATTGAAACAGGATATGTGCGATGTTAACGAACCGGAGATACAGCACGTCGATGTTAGCAAGACTCAAGTTGCGACCTCCGTCACTCCCGATATGGCGTACGCTTGTTGTTATTGGGTATGGCACCTAGTGCGGGGCGGGGAAAAATTACGAGCACGACACGAGCATTATGGGCACGTTTGCTTGCACCGACCGGACTTGCCCTACCACCAGATGGACAAGCAAGCAAATTGCCATTACTATACGACATTACCCTGGGGGACGATACAACGCTCGAGTCTACTTCCAGCGCTGCGAGTCGTGTAATTCCCTCAGCCGACCTGAGCTGGACGACTCGTATGCAGAAAGAGTTTCATATCGCCTAGCAAAGTGGTCTGGTGTCGCTGTAGAGGAGCCTTTCCACTCTGGCCGCAGCAGGGGACCACATCAATCTAGCCTCTGTGAAGGGTGTAGGCACGGTCGTTGTTGGCAGAGTCGTCTTTAACGTGGTCGTCTGTGTTTGTGCAATGCCTACAGCCACGGAACATGTGAAAGAGGTGGCCGGCTCATGTATGTTCACAACAGTAAATTGGCAAATTCTGTCCAGCTTGTGGACTTTCCGTAGACTTGGTGGAGCGTCGCTTGCACTTATTCAAAATGTTCAGCATCAGTGTCTCGGCACTCTTGCGCCATCTACCGTGGCTCGAGTTGCTCATATCATGCCGAGAGGACAGCTCAAAGGGCATACGGCAGTTAGATCCATCTCCAAAAGCTTCCTGCATTACCGAAGCCACCATTCACAGATAGCGCGCGCGTGAGCTCGTGTTCCGCAGTGCGTTCATTGTTTCAGAAAAGAGTGGTAGCGATGGATGCGAAGTGAAGTTGCCCCACCTCGATCACACCGTCAAAAAGCGACCATATTATGGTAGAATGTACAGATTGCCTTCATACATTATACTGAGGGTGTTGATGGTTGGTGGCGCTTTCAGACTCCCCAAGTGAGCGGCCGATCGTTGGTCACGGCATGTACCTCAAGCGTTATCGACGTATAGAATGCGGGGTCAGGTGCCATCTCATTGGCTTGTCGGTTGGATCACAACCTCTAACATCCCCCTCGGTGTGGCGAGCCATACCGCTAGTATTGACCTGGCGAACGCACCTTGATATACTTACAGTAAAATGATACTTATTATACTCCATCTCGTGCGGAGCGTTACACGAAATACTTAACGTGTCTAATAACTACGTTAGAAAGAGCACTAGAAGTATGCCGTTATTAAGAAGCTAGGCGATCGTTGTGCTAGGACCCTTTTCTCTACTCGCCTAAGTAGATAGTTTGTCCGTTAAATAGGTCGATATAGCTCGTATCGAGAAGAGAACGCTATTAGCATAAGAACAGTCTTCTACCGACTATCGATAGCTAATACTTATAGAATAAATCGGAATATTATAAGCTAAGGCTATATGCTTTACTATCTTTAATAATACTAAAACCTAGGAGGAGTAATACTAGCTCTAGTATGAGACTACAAATCTTATAGTTAGATTTACCGGAAATATTGTACTAAAGAGTAGGATATAGTAGCTTGTTTCCTATTAAAGTCGGGGTATTAGTATTTACTCCGTACTAAAGAGAAAGTTATATAGCTAGTAGAAGACGTTAATAGTAGGCTATATATAATAGTATATAGCCTATAGCGCTAGCAATATAGCTATTAGGATTGCTTATAATCCTAAATAGAAAAATAGTAATCTTCTTATAGCCCTCTAGATAAAGGAGAGCGGCTTTCTAGATATCTAAGCAATATAAGTATATTGCTCCGCTTTATATATAGTATAGTATAGTCCTACTATAAGGATTTAGGACTCTCTCTATATAGTATCGTCTCTATACTTATAATCTACGCTTAGCTACTTTAAGACTAGTAACTAGATCTATACTACTACTCGTACGGCTAAGCTATTACTAGTTGTTATACGGCTGTTCCGTATATATACGCTGCTCTCTCTATAGCTAGGGCTATAGAGAGAGAGCACCTATTATACGCCTACGGTATAAGAGGTTAGAGCTCGTTAGACGAGTAAGTTCTAAGCGATAGGTCGGGTAAGTAACTACTCTAAGGTTTAACCTTTTGGCGGGTTAGTAACTTAGGTTGAACACGAACTACCTATATAAGAAACGTCTATTATATATATATAGGAGATTCGTATATTAACTAAGTACTCGTCTGGCCGACCGGTATGTTGGTTAGTTGGTTAGTTACGTATCTAACCAAAGTCTAAGACCTTTAGTCGGTTACGTGTTCTCTAGGCGCGGCTTCCGCGCGCTCTTTCTTTAAGGCTAAAATAACTAGTCCTTGTTTCTCTATTCCTATATCCTATATTATATGTTCGTAACAGCTATTTAGGTATATAAAGAAGCGCTACTTAGAGCGCGCCGACAGTACTCTAATTAGCGTTCTTTAGTTATATTTAATACGCGTCCTCTACCTTTAGCTTAATAAGTACTTAAGGTAGTCGCCTTTCTTACGCTAGTAATACAATAAATATTCCTTTCTCGAATAGCTAGTTATAATGAGTGTTTACGAGTACGTTATAGGAACTATATATATATAGTCGCTAACCTAGAGCTACCGATTATAGAATATATAAGCTAATAGTTATACAATTATTATATATAGGGGCTAAGAGCCCTCTTTTAGAAAACACGCGTATACGCCTACGACTTTAATAAATAGCAGCGAACTTATCTCCTAGTTGTACTCCGTATAGCTAGCGTACCACTCTAGGCCATACTCTATCCCTTATACCCGCGGTTGGCTTATCTAGCAGTAATATAAAGAGACCGATTAGCGAAGACTTTGCCCCTTATAGTACAAAGATGCAACATTGCTCCGAAATTCGGCGATCTTACGGAAATGTCGTTTTCCCGGATATTCTTAGGAGATCTAGGGCAAGACATAGGGGGCGCAAACGAAAGATTATAAGCAGCGAGTCTCGTCTTGATTCTAAACTCCTGGATCGGTGCCCAAAGCATTCGGTCCGCTAAGACTTGGATTGGAGCTATCGAGCAGACCGAAAGATAAGAAGTTATTGTCGCTGATGGTGTTTGCCCAAGGTCTCGCATTCGTGGCGCGAGTGCCTCCGCAGCCGCCAACGTTTGCGTTTGCGATTCAGTTGTTGAATCCGAGTTGAGCTTGCAACAGAGACACCGCCGTCACTTTCACGCCTTCTGCTTCGCGGCTTTGTAGAGGTTCGTTGGTCATGTGCAGCTTTTCTAGGTGCCGCAAAAGCAAATGGGAGAATTGATCCCCAGGGTAATGCTTTCTGCGTGGTCTTAGCGCCCTTTTATTATTAGAAGAATGCAGCGATCGGGAGAGCTTAGGGCCTTTCCTCAGCAGGCAACATGTTACAGGTGGCGGAGATTGAACTTCGATCGCAGCGTCCAACGGCATGCATCCACCAATCTGACTCGAGATGATCATCGCGGCAGCTTGATCCGGGAGCGTGGCGCGATACGTACCGTCCAGAAATGGACCAGGATGGCCGCGTTGGGGCTGCATCTTTCCCTGTTGAGAGTGCCATGCTTCCTCTATCGTGATCCTTGTCTGCATTGTGTCAAGTTTCAACCCTTTCTAAACTTCGGCACCTCGCTAGGAGGTAGACCACCGCATTTGGGCTAGCCCCCATGTCTCAATTGAGCCGCTTCCGTTGGGAGTTTGCGAACAACTTTGAGTGAAATCCTCTTCACACGGTAGGAGGAGCAGCCTGATTGTCACGTCACAGCCCATCTGCCGGCGAAATTGTGATGTCTCGGTCCGTCAGCAAGCCGACGAATCGACGTTGATGGTAAGAATAGATCCGCTGCGTTGCGCAGACTTCCCTCTTTCCTAGTCACCACTCGTTGGCCTTGTACAGTCGTATCTTTGCAAACCTTTTCGACGGTCGTTTACTGCTATGTACATGTTTCTGGTTCGACGTTCCTTTGAAGCCTCTGCAGGCCTTTGGCCGTTCGTTGCTCGTTGACTTATTTGGTCGTTCGCTATGATACCCGTCAAGAACGCAGGCGCCGGGTTTGCGCTGCTCGCGACTTGCGTTCTACTGTCCGAAGCCTACAGATACGACCCGCGTTACGTGCAGCATAATCTCAACCAGAACAAGACTGCCGTCAACCCTCTCGATTATTCGGGAGAATGGACGGGGCACCAGTATACACCGTCCCCGGACAACTGGAGATTTCCGTTCTACACCATCTTCCTCGACAGATTTGTGAATGGCGACCCTACCAATGATAACATCAACCACACTGCCTTCGAACATGACCACAACTCTAATCAAATGCGCCACGGCGGTGACCTACAAGGTCTCGTCGACACCCTCGACTACATCCACGGAATGGGGGTTAGGGTACGTATTAGCCGAAGTCTTTCACTCATATTCAACTAACAACACTTACAGGGCCTATACATCGCCGGCTCACCTTTTATCAACCAGCCTTGGGGCTACGATCAGTACTCTCCTCTCGACCTGTCGATTCTTGAGCCACATTTTGGCACGCTCGACGTCTGGCGGTCCGCGATCGACGAGATTCACACTCGCAACATGTATGTGATACTGGACAGCACATTCGCTACAATGGGCGACCTGATCGGCTTTGAAGGCTACCTGAACTCGAGCTCGCCGTTTACCCTGAAAGAGCATCAAGTGCAATGGAAGACTGATCGGCACTACTGGGACTTCGAGTTTGGCAACTCCTACAACAAGACCTGTGACTATCCGCCCTTCTGGAGCGATAATGGTTTCCCTGTCGATAAACCAGTGACGGACCAGATGGTCGGCTGCTACGACTCTGAGTTCGACCAATACGGAGACACCGAGGCATTTGGTGTCTTCCCTGACTGGCGACGTGAGCTGTCTAAATTCGGTTCGGCGCAAGACCGGTTGCGAGAATGGCATCCTCCCGTCCGGGTTAAGCTCGAGAATTTCTATTGTCTGCTCATCTCGCAGCTGGATGTCGATGGCTTCCGTTACGACAAGGCAACTCAGAGCACTGTTGACGCCATGGGCTTCATGAACGATGTCATGAGAACATGCGCTAAAAGATACGGCAAGGAGAATTTCTTCTTGCCCGGTGAAATCACTGGTGGCAACGATTTCGGCGCCATCTTCCTTGGAAGAGGGCGGCAACCTGATCAACGGCCTGACAATGTCACTCAAGCCGTCAACTTGACTAGCTCGGATAATGAATACTTCCTCCGAGAACGAAAGTATGGTGCGCTTGACAGTGCTGCATTCCATTACACTGTCTATCGAGCATTGACTCGCTTTCTGGGTATGGACGGCAACCTCCAGGCAGCTTTCGATGCGCCAAACAATTGGGTTGAGCAGTGGAACACTTATTTGCTCACCAACGACTTCCTCAATACCAACACCGGTGCCTTCGATCCGCGACACATGTACGGCGTTACAAATCAGGATGTTTTTAGGTGGCCTGCGATCACTCACGGCGTCGAGCGTCAGCTCCTCGGCCATTTCATTACCAGCCTGCTCTTGCCCGGGATTCCACTACTGCTATGGGGTGAAGAGCAAGCCTTCTATGTCCTCGACAATACAGCCAGCAACTATATCTACGGTCGCCAGGCGATGTCTTCTGCTACCGCCTGGCAGACTCACGGATGCTACCACCTGACCTCGACCAATTATTACAAGATGCCTCTGGAATCGGCGAAATATGGGTGCTCGGACAACACTGTCAGCTATGACCACCGGGATCCTTCGGCGCCGGTGCGCAACATCATTCGCCACATGATGGAACTCCGCGAGGCATTTCCCGTTCTGACGGATGGATTCTTTCTGCAACAGCTCTCAAACCTGACTGATGATGTCTACTACCCTGGCTCCAGCGACGTTCCAACTGAGACTGGTATGTGGTCAATTTTGCGATCTGGACTCCCTAATCAGCAGGATCTCACCGGCCATGGTGCGGGTGATGGCACTGCAGACGGCGGCGCCATGATTTGGCTCGTCTACTCCAACTTGAACAGAACCCGGACTTGGCAGTTCGACTGCATGAACAACGATACGCAATTCCAAACCACCGCCCTGATTTCGCCATATGCGTCCGGGATTACTGTCAGAAATCTGTTCTACCCTTTCGACGAACACACTCTGGAAGACAGTACCCGGAGTCTTGGTCTCGACGGCTCGACTGAGCCAAATGGATGCCTGAGCTCCCTTGAGATGGCTGCGTACGATTTCAGGGCGTACGTGCCAATCAACGATTGGGTTGCGCCTACGCCTATGATCACAAAGTTCTCACCTGGTCACGATGCCAGGATGTTGTCGAAAGTGGATCCAAGTGGCACAGAAGGCGTGGATGTTGAGCTTCAATTTTCCGTTGCAATGGATTGCGACAGCGTCACCAACAGCCTCTCATTCAACTCTACGACAGACAGTGGCAGCCACCCAAGCGTCGATCAGAATAGCATTAAATGCGGGACCCTGGGAACAGTCGCAAATTCGACTTTGGTTGGCACAATTCCGTCGAAATGGTCGTGGCAGGCCAGACTGACCGATGTTGCCAATGGCATCCACAGCCTGACATTCCGCAATGCCAGTGCTGCCAACGGCGCAGGCTCCACTAACACAATAGATCGCTTCCTATTCAGGGTCGGCCAGTCGGACAACCCGATGGTCTTTCCTCGAACCGCGAACTACTCTACGACTCTGCTGAGCAAGAGCGAAAGCGGCAGCCTCCAGCTGCACCAATCTGCTGCTGGTGCAGACCTCTTCAGGTATTCGACCAACTTCGGATCTTCTTACTCTGACTGGATGCCCTACCAAGGAGGAGTGCGCGAGATCGAAAAACAACCCTGGTCGGGCACAAGCTTACAGGCTTGGTCTGGCGAGCATGTTCGAGTCCAGTATTTCAGTCGCCTCGGTGGCACGAGTGACCATGTCCAGGAAGCGGATATGGACAGCAAGAAGCGGCGCTTCCCTCACATGTTCTTGAACGGTCCGTACAACCAGTACGGGTACGACGCCGGTCTGAACAACAAGATTACATTGACCGACGACTATACGTGGACGCATCACTGGATGTTGGAGTGGAGCAAGAATGGCTCTGGCTCAGTTGCTCAGATCAACGTCTGGGGTATAGACCCAGACGGCCAACGTACGTATTGCTCCATTCTCATTCCTTGCCTTAAGATGCCCTATCAAGAGACTTGCTAACTTTCCTTTTTAGCCGACCTCAGCCTTGTCATGGGAGATGCCGACGGGGACTCTATTCTCGATCGGCTCCCGCCATCTTCGCTCGCAGCTGTCGTCCTGAACGTCACGAGCGCTCCTCCGAAACCCTACCTTTCATGGAAATTCGTGATCAACGACGGCGATTTGCGCTTCAAGCTCGTGCCCGCAGGCTCGATGTGGACACAGCTCATTCTGTACATCCTCCTCTGGTTCCTCCCCTTGATCACCGCATCATTTTCTTGTTGGGCCTTCATGCGAAGCTTCTACAAAGTCAAATTCAACCAGGTCGGCATCGCTCCCAAAGTCGGATTGATCCCGACTTCAATCAAGAGGCACTTTCAACGAACCTCAGCCGAAGATGGCTCCGACGAGAAAGCGGGATTCCTTTCTCTCCTGAAGCACAAATCAGGCAATTTTCTGCAAAAGAGCGATGTCCTGAACACTCCACGGCGTCGGCAGACGGTCCTCATTGCCACCATGGAGTACGACATTGAAGACTGGGCCATCAGGATCAAGATTGGTGGTTTGGGCGTCATGGCACAGCTGATGGGCAAGAACCTGGGCCACCAGGACCTTATTTGGGTAGTGCCCTGCGTCGATGGCGTCGAATACCCGGAGGATGAGAAGGCAGACCCAATGGCTGCGACCATCCTGGGGGTGACGTACGAAGTCAACGTTCAGTACCATAAACTGCGCAACATCACCTACATCCTCCTCGACGCCCCTATCTTCAGGCAGCAAACCAAATCAGAACCGTATCCGGCACGGATGGACGACTTGACGAGTGCCATCTACTACTCGGCTTGGAATCAGTGCATCGCCCAAGCCATCAAGCGCTTTCCCATCGACTTGTACCACATCAACGACTATCACGGCACGGTAGCACCGCTTTATCTGCTTCCAAGCTCGATTCCCATTTGCTTGTCTCTCCATAATGCCGAGTTTCAGGGCTTGTGGCCGATGCGAAACAAGAAAGAACGAGAAGAAGTCTCTTCGGTCTTCAACCTACCCCCAGACGTGGTAGAAGAGTATGTGCAGTTCGGGGAGATCTTCAACCTGCTTCATGCCGGTGCTTCATATCTGAGAATCCACCAACAAGGGTTCGGTGCTGTCGGCGTCTCGAAGAAATATGGCAAGCGATCATACGCCAGGTATCCAATCTTCTGGGGCCTCAAAAAGATACAAGCATTGCCAAATCCTGATCCGTCGGACACAGGCGAGTGGGATAAGCAGCTACCACGAGAAGAAGACATCTACGTCGACGACGCTTTCGAGGTAGAGCGTCTGGAGCTCCGAACTCAAGCTCAAGAATGGGCTGGTCTTGAAAAGAATGCCAAGGCTGAGCTCTTCGTCTTCGTTGGGCGTTGGTCCATGCAGAAAGGTATCGATCTGATCGCTGACACATTCCCAGCGATTCTGGAATCAAACCCCAACGTCCAACTCATCACTGTCGGACCTGTCATCGATCTATACGGGAAGTTCGCTGCTCTGAAATTGGACCGGTTGATGAAGATGTACCCGACCCGAGTATGCTCAAAGCCCGTCTTTACTGCGCTACCGCCTTACATCTTCTCAGGCGCCGAATTTGCCCTTATTCCATCACGGGATGAGCCCTTCGGACTGGTGGCAGTAGAATTTGGAAGAAAGGGTGCTCTCGGTGTCGGCGCGCGAGTCGGTGGTCTTGGTCAGATGCCAGGCTGGTGGTACACCGTTGAGAGCACGACCACTGCTCATCTGCTGAAGCAGTTCAAAAAAGCGATCCGTGATGCAATGAGCTGTCCGACGGAGACCAAGGCGATGATGCGAGCCCGATCTGCCAAGCAGCGATTTCCAGTTGCACAGTGGGTGGAGGACCTTACAATTCTGCAGTCGACATCCAGGCGCATCCATGACAAGGTGTACTCCGAAAAAAGCCACTCTGCATCAGGCAGCGTCTCCATTTCTGCCCCGATTGTCAATTCTCCACCGGGCAACCGTACGGAACCGTCGAATGGTCTGGAGATCGTGATGCCTCAAATGTCTCATATGCCTGTGAGTATACCTACTGAACTTAATCCTCCAAACGTCGGATCAGGCGTTTCGGGACTGCATTCACGGGACCGCAGTCAATATCCCTCACACCGACAGCAGCCTGGCCTGACGAGGAAGGCGTCTCTTGGTTCTCGGCGCGGCCCTGGTCATGTCCGTACCGAAGATCTTAACGATGGCGGCGCAGAGCAGGGCCTGCGTGGAGGCCAAAATCTCCTGCCACCAATCGCTGACGGCGAGCTGCTCGGTGTCGGAACAGCCATATTTATGTTTTCCAGCCATGATGACAACGACGAAGACGACGGCGATGACGACAGCTCCGTATGCTCACAGGGGGACGTGGAGCACCACGTGACTAAGCCTTCAAAGCCTCGGCCGCGACTGAACAGGGGTCCGTCAACTTTTGGTGATGGTGACCTGCCATGGCCTCTGCAATCACCACAGCACGACACCCCTTCACTATCCTCCACGCCCTCGCAGCCCGGCACACCAGATGTATTAACTGGTTTATTCCCTCCGCCACGCATCTTTTCAGACGGGGTTCTGTCTCCCAACCGCTCCATGCTCTCTGTCAACTCGGTTGTCGGCGAAAGCACAGAATTCAATTTGCAGAAAGTTGATCCTTTCTTCACGGACAGCAACGGCGCTTTTTACCACGCGTTCGAGAAGAAGCTTCAGACACTTGACGGTAAGAACTCGGAGACCATCAACTGTATCGAGGAATACCTGGTCAAATCCGAGAAGGCGTGGTTCAATGCCTTCCGCAACGCTAAACTCGGCCGCCTCAGAACACAGCCGAATTCCGCTCGTTCTTCGTTCGCAGCCTACCCCGACTCCGCTCGACCAGGCACTGCCGACCACGCACCCAGGTTCCCCAATCCATTCGAGATGAACTCGTACAGGGATGACGACGCAAAGCCCCTCGCCGACGAGTTCCTCCTGGGGACGGATTACAAGCCTCCCACCGGCATCCGAAAATGGATGCAGATCCGCGTCGGAGACTGGCCTCTCTACGCCTTCTTCATCGCCTTGGGGCAGATAATGGCCGCGAACAGCTACCAGATCACACTGCTGACGGGCGTGGTGGGTGAGACAGCAAGCAGGCTCTACGTCGTCGCGTCCATCTACCTCATCACATCCATGTGCTGGTGGTACCTTTTCCGCCGATTCGCCTCTGTCGTTTCGCTCTCCCTCCCATTCTTTTTCTATGGCCTGGCCTTCCTCTTGATCGGCCTCGCCCACTACGGCTCCCCATCTGGTCGAGGATGGATCCAAAATGTTGCGACAGGCTTCTACGCCCTCGCTTCGTCCTCTGGCGCTCTGTTCTTCTCGCTCAACTTTGGCGACGAAGGTGGCGCCATGGTGAAAGCCTGGACATTCAGAGCCTGTGTAATACAAGGAACGCAACAAATCTACGTCGTGGCACTGTGGTCTTGGGGAAGCGTTCTTGGGAAGAAGACTTCGCGCGGCATCGTCACCGCCAACGACTCCGTGGCAGGGACATGGAAGATCACCGCGATCACGTTCCCCATTGCCATCGCTTTATGGGCTGTGGGAATAACGATGTGGCTTGGCCTGCCGACCTATTACCGGCAAGCCCCTGGAACGATGCCGACTTTCTACACCTCCGTTGTGCGAAGAAAAGTCGTTCTCTGGTTCTTCGTAACCGCGATCGTACAGAACTTCTTCCTAAGTGCGCCTTACGGGAGGAACTGGCTGTTCTTATTCAGCAGTGAAGCTGCGAAGCCGTGGCAGGTCCTCCTACTGGTCGTGCTCTTCTTCATCGGCGTATGGGCTGGCTTACTCGGAATATTTGCGCACCTCTCAAAGTCTCATTCCTGGATCCTGCCGCTCTTCGCAATAGGATTACTCGCGCCCAGATGGGCTCAGATCTGGTGGGGCACCAGCAATGTTGGCCTTTGGTTGCCTTGGGCCGGCGGTCCTGTGGTAGGTGCTCTCGCGTCGAGGGCGTTATGGTTGTGGCTCGGTGTGCTCGATGCAATCCAAGGTGTCGGACTGGGCATGATCATGTTGGGAACGCTGACTCGAATCCACGTGGCGTTCACAATTACTGCGGCTCAGGTCCTTGGCTCTATTGCTACAATGGTGGCGAGGGCGGCAGCTCCAAACAAACTCGGCCCAGGCCCTATCTCTCCCGATATCACTGGAGGAGTCGGCACCATCTGGCAGGCGTGGTTTTGGGTAGCATTGACAGCGAATCTGCTGCTCTGCGTTGGCTTTTACAAGTTCTATCGAAAGGAGCAGTTACAGAAGCCGTAGGGATTTAAGATGTTTTGAATAGTGTACATAGCGAATTGACTTCTCCCATCGCTTGTCTTCAGTTTTTGTTTCCTCTCCTGAACGCAAGGAACTGCTCGCTTATTCGGTAATATACTGGCCCAGTCACAACTGGATTTGAACTCCCAGTTGAGAAGTTTCCAGGCGGGCGATGATTCAAGTCTCAAGGTCTCTGCTGCCAGTACTTGGTGATAATTGCGTTGGTCGGCCCAGGTCACTCTGAATCCGGTGGCTCCTGACTGAAGTCTTGGATCTCTTCATGTTGAGGAGGCTCTGTGACGGGAATTGTAACTTTTGAGAGCACTTTCCTTGTGACGGCTGGCTGGACTGGCTGTGTGACAGCTGGTTTGGTTGGCTCCTGCACGGGTCTTCCAACTGGCCTCCTACTGGTGCAGCATTTGATATTACGTGGATGGGAATTCCAATGTCCATATCCCCTCCTTTCTTATGCTCGGTATGCACGGCCGGTGATTGGGGGAGCAAAGGAATGAAGTCGGAGAGCAGGAAGCTGAAGGCCACGGTGACTTACTCTATCTCCCACTGGCTCCCGAGCCCCGCCATACGAGCTCAGCTCACCTTCAGTGCCCTCTGAAACCTCGTAGTCTTCAACGCACGGGAGTTATCGGCGAACCGATTCTTTACCACCACGACGCCGGTTTGACCACCGTAGACTAATCTCACGTTCTCGCTGCTATAGACGACAGATGAGCGGATACTGTTCCCGAGTAGGGCGTAGCGCTCCTGGCGCGCGTTCGAGACAGACGCGCACCATGTGTGCGTTACCTAGACATTGCCTCTGCGCACTTTAGCACTGATCGGTGCGCTCCGCATTCAAACGGTGTGTACGCCGGGAGCTCTTTCGGGGATATAGCCCCTGAACATCGTGAAACATGCTGGTGGCTGGATGAAGAACTGGTCATGGTGCGTCTTGATGTAGTAGTGGCGTACATGGCGATGAATTGAGGCTTTAGAGCTTCTGGATACAGCGGCGCAAGGTCGACGCCTGTTGCCCGTGTTGAGGTAACGTTATGTAAGAATTTCCAGTGCCATGCGCTGGAATATACTTACGAGCCGCTATGATCAAGGATTTCTCGCTTGCTGCTGGACGAAAAGTGGGTACTGACAGGCTTCAACCCTGGCTGACAGGATGTGCAACCCATGTGAAGGAATTAAATCACTTTCCAGGCTAGCAAACCGTACGGATCCATCACCTTCCATATTCATATTGTCTAACTTTCTAGCCATTTGATTGACTTTTGAGGAGGTTGAGAACGAACTCAGCTATCCAGCATCCTGCAGGCGATGCTCTTTTTGCGCTCTTGCACGTGACCTCCTTCCACACAGCAGACGGTCAGTCAAACAGTGGCATCATTCTGAAGAGCTATCAGTAAGTCAAACAACAGCTGCTACACCAATCTTTTGGTCTGTTTGACTGTTGAGACGATGTTACGTCGTCGATGGGAAGGTCCTAGGATAGGCCGCCAGGATCGTCGAGATTACCAGATTCCGTGGAACGAGGAGGGTCAATCCGCTCGTCGCCTACCTTCTCCTGCACCACCCAAACTCGGCTGCAATCAGATCTCGACTGAACGAGTATGACCGCTTGTTTATGTCTCTCTTAGGACTCCACCATTAAACAATGTAGAGGTCTTGCATACAGACGGGATGAAAAGTTCGGCATCATCAAGGAGTCTGTGAAGGGTAGGATCATGATTGATCCCAAAGTCTTGCGGTGTACGACCTCCAATTACCGCAAGCCGTAGACCCATGATACTTTTCTTTGGTGAACGATCCGCACTGACCGAGGAAAAAGGAGCGATCAAATGAGCGGATCGGAATTCGACGAGCTCATACCCGGGGTCGTTCGTTCCCAGCCTGTCGTCCGTCGGCATGGTGTGCTAAGGAAGTCTGGATAGTTACAGAAGCTTGCCACCTACTGAGCGTGTGCGATGCGTAGGACTCGTACTCGGGATAGGCCACGCCAGCTCTGCAACTTCATCTAGTGTACACGCATCACCAACGGGCCCCTACCATATAAAAGACACCCAGTGCATGTTAGTGAACTTGCTGCTGCAGCGGAGTTGGCACCCGTCTCGACTTGCTGTATACGAGTGGGATGAGGTACACTACCTGCCCGATACTCGATTTTCTCGGCCACCGGCAGCAGGGTAGTGTCAGAAGTTCATCGGTTTGCTGTCAGTCATCCATGCTCCATGCTCCACCGGCGAATCGAGGTCAGTTCGTGTGTTTCTTGTCAATAGTTCGTTGTGGCATTAATAGGAGACATGCTATCGCCAGAAGAAGTGGCCATCATCAACGCTGTAATTGCCTATTCTCCAATCAAGCAGAGTGAAGGTCATTGGTAAGGTTGTTTCCTCTTGTCGTCGCGACGGGTTCGGCACTCCGATGTCCCCGAGCTCCCCCCGTCATCACTCTACAGCACTATTCGGTCAAAATCTTACGCTTTCAGCGACTCCTCGAGCGCGGAAATATCTACAGCTCGGCACCTACCTTCGACGACGTAGTAGCCTACTGCGTCCAGAAGTGCGGAACCGTCAAGCATGGTATTGTGATCGTTGTCAAGCATAAGTAAGAGCTCGAACGTTTCTCCTTCGCTTCATCTGGCAGCTGTCCAACCTTCTCCACTTGCTTGACATTGATACCAACGACAACATGCAATTCCACCTTAACGGTTTTAAGAGCTCCGGCGATCCTTTACAGGCTCTTTACGAAAGCGACCAAGAACCAGACTTTCAATCATTACTTCCGGAGCAAGTCGACGTCCTCATCGTCGGTGCTGGCCCAGCAGGGCAACTGCTTGGTACCCAGCTATCACGCTTTCCTAATATCACGACCCGCATCATCGAGACGAAACCTGGTCGCCTTGTACAGGGACAGGCAGACGGTCTACAGTGCCGTACGATCGAGATCTTCGAAGCATTCGGATTCAGCGAAAGGGTGTAATGGATGCGCTGGTTGTGACGGACTTCCCCGACGTTAGGCTGAAGACTGCCATATACTCGGCAGACGAAGGCAGCATTCTAATCATTCCACGCGAAGGCGGTTATCTAGCACGATTTTACATCGAATTGGATAAGCTGAAGCAGGACGAGCGGATAGCAAGTAAGAACGTCACAGCAGAGGTGCTGATCGATCGAGCACAGCGTGTTTTCAAGCCATTCAAATTTGAGGTACGGCATATTGCATACTGGTCTGTCTATGAGGTCGGCCAGCGCCTCACAGATCATTTCGACGACGTGCCCGAAGCAGAACGAGAACAGCGAAATGCTCGCGTCTTCATTGCTGGAGACGCTTGCCATACTCATTCTGCAAAAGCAGGCCAAGGCATGAATGTTTCAATGAACGATGCATACAACCTAGGCTGGAAGCTCGCAGCAGTCCTACATGGCTTGGCAGATCCCAAGCTACTCTTCACCTACACAGACGAGCGACAAGGCATCGCCAAGCTCCTCATCGAGTTCGATGGCAAGATTAGCAAACTATTTGCTGCTAAACCGAAGAATAAGGCTGGGAAAGACGACAAAGATGCCGTTGATCCGGCTGTGTTCCAGGAATATTTCCAGCGACAAGGACGCTTCATGGCCGGAGTCGAGACGAGGTACTCACCTGGTCTTTTGACCTCAGGCGACACGGGTCAACAAGACCTGGCCACTGGCTTTGAGATCGGCACCCGCTTCCACTCATGTCAAGTTCTTCGACTAGCGGATGCAAAGCCAATCCAGCTTGGTCATGTAATGGATGCCGATGGTCGATGGCGAATCGTGCTTTTCGGGGACAAGTCTGAGCCTAATTCTTCAGCATCGGCACTTGCCAAGACGTGTGACTTCTTGTACAAGAAGCTCTTGCCCAGATACACACCAGCAGAAGCAGATATTGACAGTGTCATCGACATAGGAGGAATTTTGCAGCAGAGTCGAACATCGATCTCGATCTCGGACCTGCCGCAGATTTTGCTGCCGCATAAGGGTGTTCTCGGTATCCAAGATTACGAGAAAGTGTTTACTGATGAAGAGAGTTATAGCTTTGGATTTAGCAAGATCTACGAGAGTAGGGGTGTCAGCAAGGAGAAGGGCTGTCTGTTGGTCGTAAGGCCAGACCAGTATATCTCAGCGGTGCTGCCACTTGGTGAGGAAGCGCATGCGCCGCTGGAGAACTTCTTCGGTGGCTCTATGAAAGATCAACGAAGCAGCAACGGAACCAATGGTCATACATGAGGGTGATACGTGATGTGTTTCGTGGATGATTCTTCTGGTGTATTACTGTTAGTTCAGCATTAATCTCGTCTCGTTCGAAGTAGTCCCGAGCATCTGTCCTTCCATAGCACCGCATACATATGCAGGTCCTCTTATACTGTACGCTCCGCTACCGTGTCTCCTGATCACTAAAGGAGCATTGACACCACGGCATATGAGGACCTCGTCTTCAAGCTGTGTCGCCTTTGGTGCACTGCATACGATGCCTCCAGCTAGCACGAGCAGTCTTGCGCACCAAGCAGAGCGGAACATTAAATCTGCCAGCTCGATGCCTACCAGGGTGAGTCGATCCTCTGGTTGTCCCAGACCCGGAGGCAAAATTCTCGGCAGCCAGACGTCTTGACTTATAAGCCTGGCCACTATGGTAGTGGCAAGGTCTGTAAAGACTTGAGTGTTACGCAGTCTCTGGGACACCTCACGTAGCAGCATCCCAGCTACGTCCAAACGACAGAGATTGGAGCAGTCATCTGGGCCAGACTTGCCAAGCAAGTGAGTCAGAGATTGCGTCCACTCCAGCCACCAGCACCAGAAGTTTGCTAGTGGCACCTTAGACTCTTCTACTAGTGTCTGCGTTCTGGCATCGTCAATGTGTGCTTGTGAATTGCGGTGAAGCTGTACGAGTCTGGCGCTGAGTACGCGCCTGTCGTCGGCAGATAGCGCAATTTTGCCGCTACTGCGTAGTTGTCCGCTACCAACTATTCTCGGGCTCAACCCAGCAGAAGTCGCTAAAGTGGAGAATTGGTTGCCGAGAGACGTGACCCGCCCTATAGCGTCACCTTTGATCATTAAGCCTAAGCCAAATACTAAGCCTTGCGCTACCACGAACGATAGCTGTTGTAGCGTATCCTTAGCGGCTCGGAATCTGGTGAACAAGGGACAGATTCCCGGTAGACCAATCGTGAGCCCAAGATGGCAACTTGTCCGATACAAGTCCCTTAGAAGTGCTGTACGACTTGAATTTGACAAGAAGGTCAGTGAAACCTTGCTCGAGGAGGAAGCGAGCCGTCCAGACATAGACTTGCTCGATGCTCGCGCTGTACTCAACCATGATACCTTGCTGACTGTTGGTCAGACCCAGTGGCGCGTACACCAGGTCTGGAGGATCTGTAGCATTATGCGTGAAGGAGCGCTCAAGGTGTAAAAACTTGAGCACGTCCACAAGTGGCAAGCCGTTGATGCATTTCGTCCGAGCAGTCATGCACTTCATGAGCCTTTCGTCGAAGGTATCGGTACGTAGGAGTTGCTGTCCCTTGTTCAAAGCCCACACGGCTCGTGCAAGACTTAGGTTAAGCAGCACCTGTCTATGTAGGGCCTGTAGGGAACCATAATGGAAAGTCAGAGAGCAAGCTCTCCCTGTTTCTTGGAGAATCCAGATTCGTTGGAAGTACTCGAGCTACGAGAGCGCATATAGAGAGTCTAAGGCAGGGTGTAGCAGACCATTGTTCCTCACAGCGGTATGCAGTTCGGATTTCCTGCTGGTCAGAGCTTTCGGAACGAGTCTGGGCAAGCACGAAACAAGTCTGTAATAAATCGTTCTCCACCGCAAGTCTCTTGCAATCCTGCGTCTCCTGTGCCTGGCGCCAGATCTGGTCTGTGTATAAAGCATTGGAGATATTATTGACGCTATCACGTCCGTGCGTTGGACGCGGCCCAAGCCATGCATGGACAGATGTTGCAAGCGGATATATCCCAGTCAAGAGGAGAACTTGCCAAGACCTCTCTGTTCTATCATCTTGTATGATGCAGAGAGCATCAGCCCATATCGTGACAATTTCGTGTGTGTTCCTTATGTCTCAGAGCCGCTGCCAGACTGTTACCTATGTCTTTGCATGTTGGAGATGGCTTCCGGTCACGCGAAAAGATGCCGCGCATGTCCTTCATATAAGGGGTCTTCAGATCAGATCTTTGAAGCGTTTGGTCCCCCCAGACATATGACAAGGCGCGAAATCTCGCACCATAAAGCGGAGCATGTATGATTTTGCAGCTCAGAGCAGCGTGATGGCTGGTGGCAGGTTGTAACTCGAGAAGTCTGATCTCTGGCACCTCCCGCCGTAGTGGTCGGTAGACGAAGCCAAGAACGGTTTGCTGCCATGGGTGGACCCGGGGATGACATTGACATTGCCAGCCTAGAATACCCACGAAAGAGTGATCTGTGTGTACACATCAGGGTTTAATAATCAACGCACAATGGCCCTGCCATTTCCTCGATATCCACACTTGGGAGCGGGAGCAGTCTCGGATGCCTTTGACACGCCCATGACAAGTCTCTGTTGCCATAGTGACGCATCATGCTACCTCGACGGATTGATGCAGCATTTCGCAAGGTGCTTGACTAGCTCATCTGCACTATGCTTCTCACTTCTTTAATTAAGACTGTCCCAGATCGACCTTGCTGGCTCTCCATCCAGCAATGGAATCCACAGAAATGACTTCAATATGTCTTGCACCTCTGTCCATGATCTCCGTTGGCTGCGGGCGTGGTAACGCAGCGTAGCACCCAACCATTCTTCTTTCTGCACATCAAAGATCGAGACGGCTCCTACCATCAGCATCCACAGCATGAAACGAGCAGATGCAACACCATCCTCCTGCAACGCCAAGGTGCTTTCTCTCAAGGCGTTCTGCAAATGGCGACACGGCAACTTGATGTCGCGCCACTGAAGAAAGCCATGGTAACAATAAGCCAACAGAATAAGCCGCACACCCTCATTGAACGAGCCCGGAGAATAGCGCATGCAGAGCAGGCGATACATTACCGAAGTCATCGTCTCGTTGATTACCTTTGCTGAAACGAGCCGTTCGGTTTGTGAACCCAGATTGACTAGCAAGCCGAATCTCCTCATGATTGACCAAGCTCCAACTAGGCCTGCGTCTATCACTTCGGTTACCTCCAGAGTGTCTCTAGTTTGCGCTGTGCCATTAAACTCCGGCAAAAGACAGACCGGGTAGGCGGGTATTGGTTCAAGAGGTTGGCGGAAGAAGACAGGTTTCGAGGTACCGAACACCGCAAGACCAAGGTCGCACCTGTTAAAGGTCAGTCATTGCGACTACTATGTGGATACATCTAGCATGTACCTTAGCATTTCAAACAAGAGAGGATTATTTCTGAATGCATCTAGTCCGCCTCTGAGATCCACCATCTTCCGGACTCCAATCATGTGCTGCCTCTCTGCTTGACGATCACCAGCAAAGTGTGCAGAGGCTGCTAGCTTTAGGACCACGCCAATACTTGCATCGGTGGTCTTCAGCTCCTCGTCGCCGCCCGCGAGTCTCTCATTAAGCAGGCTGAGACCTTTTTGGAAGTGGACCATGGCCGCGGGGTTAGCCTGCTCTCGTTGGTGAAGACACACGTCGATGAAGCATTCAATGGAAAATGCAGTAATATGAAGGGCAGCAGCGTCTGTCATACATAGATGAAGCCATCCATGATTGTCCACTTGGTTACCTGCCGCCGTCATGAGCGGATACACAATCTTCTGCGCTATAGGTGAAACTGCACACGGTGTGACCATTAGCTGCTGCCAACACGAGGTAGCTCTGCTCCGCACCTTTGATAATATCTGACAGGATGGATAGGTCTAGGTCTCCTGGAGACGCCAAGAACGAGAGGTCCGCGCCAATACGCCTCATCGGCGGCACGTATACGCGCATGACGTCCTCAAAGCTGACCGACGTCTTCTGCATGCTACCAGCAGCCATATCGTAGCCGTGTCCTAGAATGTTTCTTCTAGGCCGAACCCGGCTTTGCTTTCGTCCTCGCATAGCATAGCTGCGAATGAACTTCCTCGTGGCTGCATCGACCCTGGCGTTATTGGACAACACAATAAAAGGTGTGAAAGCTGGCTCCAAAGGAATTACGGCGGCATGTTCTGGCGCTGCCATCCTGTAAGAGCCCATCCTATATCTTCGCCTTGCTTTCGGCGATATGATGTCCATGTAAGGAGAGCAGTTGAACGCTCGGCGAGAGCTAATGCATGTCTTGGCGCTAAGCCCGAAACAGGTTACAAAAATAGCCTTGGCAACGATCACAGAGAACTTGGGGTCAACTGTCTCAAGAGATACATCCTGTTTTAGATTGATCTGGCATACTTCTCGCCAATTCACGCTTGGAATCCATGGTGATGATACAGCAATGGGGCTCTGAGTGGAGCATAGAACGGTCGAGTCCTCTGACTTCGTACTTGAAATTTGTGTATCGCGGAGGAGAGATGGATGAACTCTGTCCGATGTCCATGTCAATATATGATCTCTGTCACGACTTGTGATGTTGCTTTCTAGCTCTATCACAAATTACGAACACGTTAAAGAGGCACGCAGGACCAAGAGATCGAGTCATAATGTCGGGGGAGTCGAGCAGCCGTAACGAACAGGAGATGCAGGACGAACAAGAGGCAAGCGTCGTCAACTCACTGTCCAAAGCGCCGCGCAATGAAGGTAGCGAAGACAAGAATGCTGTGAGCAGTAATGTACCGCAAACAGCTCAGTCGAAGCTTTCGCGCACTGCATGCGTCTTGGTTTTGGCGCCAGTCATACTCACATACTTTCTCTGGTTTCTCGACCTGGCTGTACTTTCGACGGCAACTCCAGCCATCACGTCAGAGTTCAATTCACTTGTCGATGTTGTCTGGTACGTCTGGCAATTTCCACCCGCCATCTATCTTTGCTTGCTAACAACAGTCAACCTTCAGGTATGGCGGGGTGTATCAGCTCGGCAGTTCTACAGTCACGCCGCTGACAGGCAAACTCTTCCGTTCGTTTTCCATCAAGGCAAGCTTACCCAAGTCATTCGTGCCTCATGAAGCGGTAAGCACACTCTAATATCGCGATGCAGTGGACCTTCCTCATATTCTTATTTATCTTCGAAGTGGGCTCGGCTATATGCGGTGCAGCTCAATCGTCAACAATGTTTATTGTGGGGAGAACTATCGCTGGCATTGGCTGTTCTGGTATCTCGACGGGGGTCCTAACTATCATAGCCGCTATCCTGCCTGGTAAAGCCCAAGCGCAAGTACTTGGTGTTGCTCAGGGTCTCGGTCAGATCGGGCTTGCAACTGGTCCTCTTCTTGGAGGGGCGTTTACCGAATATGCATCTTGGCGTTGGTGTATGCTACCTTCAATGCCGAAGGCAGACAAACATAGGCTAATGCTTTACAGGCTTCTACATCAACCTTCCAGCCGGAGCCGTTGTCGGCGTCCTCCTCGTTATGTTGCGCATCCCGGAGCCAGAATTGAAGAAACCGGCACGAGAGGTGCTAGGGACGGCCATCAAGTCCCTAGATCTTCCAGGATTCGCCCTAATAAGCCCAGCGGTCATAATGCTCTTGTTGGGCTTGCAATTTGGCGGCAACGAATACCATTGGAATAGCTCCGTCGTCATTGGGCTCATAACCGGTGCAGCCGCAATGTTCGTCTGCTTCCTCTTCTGGGAGCGATGCCAGGGCGACGAGGCTATGATACCGTTCGCTCTGCTCACCAACAAGGTCATCTGGTCGGCCGCAGACAATATGGCGTTTGTGCTGGCTAGCATTCTTGTCGCGGACTTTTACCTCGCAATCTACTTTCAGGCGGTCAAAAACGACTCGCCTCTGATGAGCGGCGTACATCTACTGCCAACGTGTGTCGCTATCGTCCTTTTCACAATCATCTCAGGCGTAATGAGTAAGTAGCTCGATCTTGTTGCCTGAAGTTCATGTTAATAGATAGGCTGATAACTCTTTCTTCACATAGTTGGTAAGCTTGGCTACTACCTACCGTGGACAGTGTCGGGAAGCGCGATCTCAGCTATCGGGTACGGACTCTTGTCGCTTCTAAGCTCAACGACACCAGCTGCCAAGTGGATTGGCTATCAAGTGTTCTACGGAGTTGGTAGTGGCTGCACGACCGTAGCAGTGAGTTCAACTCGAGGCACATTTCAACGCGACACCCTGGATGCTGATTATTTCAATCGTGTTAGGGTTATATCGCCGTTCAAAATCTCGTTCCCGCAGCGCAAATACCAACTGCCATGGCGATTGTCATCTTCTGCCAAGGCATTGGCGGTGCCGCGTTCCTCATTGTCGCAAATACCGTATTCAGTAACAGCTTACGGCGCCTGCTCAGGCTACAGATTTCAAAGATTGGAATTGCTCCAGACGCCGTGGTCAATGCTGGAGCTAGAGGCCTCCGTCAGCTGACAACAGCGCGGAAAAGCAGCGCCTTGCACTTGTGCACCCCGGCAGGGTTGCTGTGCAAGGGGACGGCTATTACGTGACAGCCACATTCCGTTTCCGGCGAATTGCGATATTGTGTTGTCTGCAATGTTTTGATTAAAGACACACTCGCATATGAAACTCTGCCAAGGTGCAGATGTCCTTCAGTCTCAAGAAGACTCGATCAAATGAGCGAGTCCAAGCCATTCGTGATTTGGGCTCGTACCTTCGTAAGTTCACAACGGCATGATGGTGGCAAATCATTAGCGTTTGCCGCATGTAGGAACCCGGAGAGCCTGTACGCCACGCTGCGATCGACTCCTCGCAAACTCCGCAACCACGTCGAGGAGAAGTGGCGCCGACAATGTTGATATCTACCAGGTGAGGTCTCAAGAAGCGCTCCACGTTATAGAGATCCATAACATGGGGACGCTGTGGGGATACTTTCTTGATGCTTTTTACGAATTCAACCACTTCCTTTCGTCTGGTACTTTTCGCGCATCAGGGAGGAAGATTAATGTCCTGCTCATTTCTGCCGCCTCGCTTGGGGTCGATCACAGTGTATGGATCCCGTTTGGGCAACACCAGCAGGGTTTAGCCGCGGATCGGCAATTTGCAAGGGGTGGTTTTGATCGAGGCTCAAAAAAAGATTCAATGCGTGAACTGTAAGCGTAAGGTTATGTCTGGCCAGGGTCCCGGCTGACGTCCATGCTTGTGCTGCGTGCATGCTTACCCGTGGCACGCCCCTCACCCGCGTGGCACCCCGTGGAATGATTTGGCTAAGCTTTGGGCCCAGCGACACCGGGCACGGGATCTCTAGCTCTCGGGAAGCATGCCATCGAGACCTACTGTATCTCACTGGCTGCTGCACGGGCTGATCGACTTCGACTTCATCTCCGAGCGCCTGTTTCTCCGCCAGACTAGGGAATCCGATATTGGTCGACAGCTTCCCGTGGGCGCTTGTCGTTATGATGCCATCATTCTACTAAACGCTCAAACGATTCGTTCATCAACACTCAGCTGCATTAATAAGTGTGCCGAACGTGGTGGGCTTGTCATAGTAGCAGGTAGTTCTCCGACCTTGGTAGATGCCTCGTTAAGAGAACGGCCAACCCTGTTATGCGCCGTGACTGTGCCTTGGACATAGTATGATCTCTTGGCGAGTCTTGAACTTGTCAGAGACTTCCCAGCACTCGATAAGAATAGCGGGTAGACTGGAAACTCAGGACATTGCGACTTCCCGCGATTGAAAGAGGGCAGAACACACTCGATGTGTCACTCGATTTCGGAGTCTTGACGAACTTGGAGCGCATATTCCTCCTGGGAGACTTTGGAGTCGATGTGCGGGGACGAGTGGCGAGAAATCCACCTCAACCTGCAGCTTGGCCAGACCAATCGATAAGTCAAGGTAGTTCTGCTAGTGGCTGCTCTGCAGAGGATAAATATCAAGCCCGAACCTTTACACGATCCGATACATTAGTTCTTACAACGGTGACCCCAGGTCGTCAAAGGCATATATCCATGGGAGATGTTCGAGACTTCTACGAGCTTCTCGCTCTTCTCAAGATTCTCGGCCCGTGTATTGGACCCCGCACACATGGCACCTTGCGCACATCCACTTTCGACGAACTCTTGTACACTCCTCTTCGACGTTTTTTGGACCGACTGTCTTGGATGTGCGACAACGAGCCCGGTGGCGATACCGTCAGCTCCATAGCGGTCGAAGAGACGGCAGATGGTTGTGTATTCTGGCTGGCAACAACATATAGACGCGTACCGGCAATATACACCCATCTGACAGGAATCATTGAGCTCTTGAGAAGCGCTCATTGTCTTTCCGCAAAAGATTCGTATGACCTCGAACGTAAAATATGTAACAAGTGCATCTCTTTTGCTTTCAGGAGGGTCAAGCACTACTCGAGACTCCTTGTCCGTCTCTTCGAGCAATGTCAAAAGGTTTTCAACAGTTCCGACGAACAACTCGCTCGAGATCTTTCACATTTGGTAAGGCTTGAGAGTTCGCCCCTCGAACTCTGCACCAAAGCCGACCAGTTTCGCGACAGCGAGTCACTAAGAATTCTGTCACGACGCGTTGCATCGACAGCGTCTCCGTCGATTTGGTCGATGCTCCGCCATTATATTGGTCGTCTCGGGTCGTGGCATCACGGCTCTCGCACTCTTATTTCGTATGCGGGCAAGAGACCACAGCTTTTTGCGGAGTTTCAAGTCACTCCGCTAGCGACGCCAAAACCGATCGTTGTCCCACTAGCAGACGAATCTACCAATTTGAATAGCGTGCTCTCAAGGATGTTTACAGAAACTGAGCAGCTCGAGCTCGAGCGAGGCATAGAGACCCTACAGCGACTACAGAAGTTTGATCTTGACTCAGCATTCCGGAAGGTGTACGCCGACAAGAACTTCAAACCGCGAGTTCACGCAGAAGTATGGCTTCTCGAGTATTTTAATGAGAACAATCTACATTTCTTGGATGACGATCGTTACGTTGGCTGCAGCAAGCCTCCTTGCTACTGCTGCACGATCTACTTTTCAGAGCGCGAAGAGAGATCGATGCAGCGCCCCAGCCATGGTAATGTCTGGACAAATTGCCAGTCACCTCTGCATCAAGATGGCAGCAAACATGCTGTCGATGCTGATATCCGGTCAGCAATGATCTCGAAATTCAAGGAAAATCTAAAGAGTCAGATAGTCAAGCCAACCACGAATCATGGCCAAATCGCGGATACCACAACTGGATTGACTCTTTCGGACGTGCAGGATATTACCTGATGCCGCCGAATCTTGTGACGTACTTTTCATTTGCCAAGACCTGATGTCTGATGGTGTCTGGCAATGCCTGCATTGAATGAAGGGAAGGAGCCAGACTGCAATGGTGTATAGTAGCACTCGTTCATCGTAGGATGGAATTAAGCAACGGTGTCCATCCAACTCGATCACATGCCTGTTGTTGGGCCGATACTGCGCCTAAGCTTGGAGGGGAATTCGTTATAGTACGTTGTCAGGTGTGTCAGGTGGTGGTGATGTGTCTACACGATGACTGGAAGCTTGCCGTGTCTCTTGATTGGAGAATATTTCCACCTGTCTGGAGAATTCCACAGCGTGAGAACATGTACTATCCGTTCTTGATCTGTGAAGTCAAAGGTAGTGACAAACCTGTGCACGCTGCAGAACGGCAGGCTATGCACAGTGCTAGTATTGCCGTGCGTGCTCTGATCCAGCTGTACAGGAAAGTTTCTGCTGCAGAAGAACTAAATTGCAAAGTCCTCGTTTTTTCCAACGCACACGACGCTTCCATGATCAAAATCTATGGTCACTTTGCGAAAATTGAAGGTGAAAAGCTCACCTTCTTCCGACATCAGTTGTATCTCAGTGATATCGCCACCGACCTGCGATCAGAGGCATCATCACGCGCATACAAGATCAACCGTGCCATCTATGATGTCCTCTTTCCTCAACACCTGGCTCGGGTCAGAAGCGCTTTGTCGAAGCTCAGAGGGCCGATGCACTCGGAAGACTGGCGTGTATGGCATTTCAATGCACCGCTTGTACGGAAACTTTTCGATGGGCGGACGTCGTGCGGCTGCATTGTGAGCACGAATACTACGTCCCTTGCTTGCGAGCTTTTATCCTGCAACCTGTGAACGAGCACGATCTTGCGCTAATTCCTCCTCGATGCTGTGGAGACCCCGTTGCGCGTCCCACCCAAGCATCTGCTCCCGCGATAACCGACTACGCGCCAACCCTCTCATTTCCACGGCGCTGCGTGGCTTCAGGGAGCTCAGGATCGACCAAGATGACTGGGAAGATCAAGACACCCAAGAGCTATGCCGATTATGGCTTTTTGCAATTGAGCATGATCCTACAGGAGCACCTCAACGGAGAAACTCTGCTGCGGTCGCGCGGTCATGGCGAGGTTTTCCTTTGACCCAGCCCGCGTGCAAGAGGGTTGTCATCGCCTGCTTAGAACGCGATGGTGATAGGAACGTCACCAATATTCAAATCTGCAACGAAACGCATGAGAAAATAGACATTAAGCAGCGGCGCAAGGGCGGAAGAGGCAACACGGCTGCTTACAACAGGTGTGGAAAGGGCGCTGCTTGACCATGGCCGATGCGGCCGACCTGGTCGCGTCTCGCGCCGGCAGGCCAATGAAGCGTGAGCTGGGTTTCTTGGCGAAGTCTCGGCACTGGCGGGAGATTACACTTACGCCGCAAAAGAACTTGCTAATCAGGTATACAAGTCAATCGGCATACTTGCGCGTCAGATGAAACTCGACGTATGACGGAAGTCGGAAGCAGTGGCATTCGAGATACCGTAGATGCAACAATTGTGCTTGCCACCCCTCTTGATGCTCCCGCGGAAACAAAAATAATGGCTTTCGTGAACCATATGCTGCGGAATTTCGCCATCCTTCGCGCATGTGCTACATGTCGACGCGAACGGAGATTTACAGCCTCCTTCGCCTTCGCCTCCAGCGGAAGTATCTCTTTCGCTCTGCGCACGACGGCGCGTGGGTCGGCGAGGGCGGCGCTCGTGGAACTAGTCATATCGGCTCTCGTTGTCCACTGCCCCATCGCGCCGGCGTGACGGGAGGTGGTTGTAGTAGTATTAGTCGCGGCGATTGTACCGGGCATAGCTATCTTTGGAAACCACGACCAACCGCTGCTCAGTGCTCGGGAACCGGCGGGGCTCCCTACTAGCGCCAGCTCTCGGCCCCGTACACCGTGGACCTGGGACGTCTTGCGCCTTCCGTTCCCGCACCCTGTCGCCGGTTCGAGGGTGTCGTACGTCCCGCCCACCACAGTGCAATTGGAAGTCATGCAATTTGGTGCCGAAACAAATTTTCGAAAGCACTTTAAAGGCCAAGCACTTTAAAGGCCATGGCGTCCTGGCGCTTCAGGCCCCAGATAGCCTAAGGCGGCCTGATACCTTCCCAATCGGGTTAGATCTGCGATCTATTATCATCAACGGTAATCTATGTAACAGTGTAACGTCACCGGTAATTTATTATCAGTCACTGTGACAATACATCCCTAGGCATGGCAGGTAGTTAGGCTGATTGATTATTGAGATTGCGGGATGTGGTCCAGATACGCGGCTAAAACGTGCCTTGCTAGCCGAACCTTTCTTCCTAAAGCAACCATTGCGGGATCGCGTGGGGATACCTTGCTGAATGAGGCCATAGATCAGCGAACAGCCTCCAAAATGTCAGGCACAGCCATCATCAGGTGCTGGTGGAGCCGGTTGCCCGCCCTCAGAGACGACAACACCTGCCCGAGTGCCGGATATTTAGCTCTGCAGATGAACATAAGGGTAGCGTTGCGCCATTCGATATAATTAGGTTGTTGGAATTGCTGTTGGGGCCATACATCTCTTTGCAACCATGATGTCTCAAGTCGCTGCTTTCATATTCTTGGTTCTTCCAGCAGTGCTCGCGCTTGAGCGTCCAGGTGGCGTTGGAAGATTGCCGGCTTTGGGCTGGAACTCATGGGTAAGGCTCTCATAGCGTTGCTTACAAGTTGGATCCGCGGGCTTACTGTCGAATCAGAATATTTATGGATGTAACATTGACGAGGCCAAAGTACTGGAGGCTGCCAATGGTATCATAGACTTGGGTTTCAAGGACGCCGGCTACGAGTACATCATCCCCGATGATTGCTGGTCGGATCTGGATGGGAGAGATCCAGTCACTTTCCAGCTTCGACCAAACGCGACCAAGTTCCCTGATGGCATCAAGGGCACTGCAGACCAGGTTCACGCTTTGGGCTTGAAGTATGGAATCTACAGTAGCGCCGGTGAGAAGACCTGCGGTGGCTATCCAGCCTCTCTGGGCTACGAGGAGATCGATGCCGCGACTTTCGCTTCCTGGGGTGTGGATTACCTCAAGGTAGGCGGCATGTGACCGGAACATCTCATCGTTTCGGGCATCGACCGCTAACGCTGCGAAATAGTACGACAACTGCTACGTGCCCGAGTACTGGCAGGACGACTGTCTGGCATGCAACGCAGATCCGACTTACACGCCCGATGGCGTCGTGAACGGCAGCTGCACGTCTGCGACACCCGAAGTAAAGCTCTATCCGTTCTCTCAACCATCCGATACGCTGTTCCCGCTGTGCGCGCTTGGTTGGCCTACAGACGGCGTCAATTATACGGCAAAGTACACTGCTCTTCGTTTTCGAATCATGCAAAATGCTCTCGAATCGCAGAACAGGACGATACTTTATAGCTTGTGCGAGTGGGGTGCGTAATTTCGGTATGACAGCATGACAGGTAAAGCTAACGCTGACATAATGCAGGTACGGATCATCCGTGGGAATGGGCCAATGCGACAGGTAATTCGTGGCGGACAACCAACGACATCAACCGTAAGTCTCTCGCAAAGTCACAATTACGTGATCACTGAGACGGTCCACTGACCTTGTGTAGCGGCATGGGAACGCATCCTGCAAATCCTCAATCTGAACTCCTTCATCACGGAATACGGCGACTTCACTGGCCACAACGACGCAGACATGCTCGAGGTTGGTAACGGAGATCTCACCGTCGAGGAAGAGCGTACACACTTCGCTCTTTGGGCTATGATGAAATCACCCCTCATCATCGGCACCAACGTCACCAATTTGACTTCGGATGGAATCGAGATCCTTCAGAACAAGGGATTGCTTGCATTCAACCAGGATTCGGTCTATGGCAGGCCGGCTGGGCCGTACAAGTGGGGTGTCAATGAGGACTGGTCGTTTAACAGCACCTTCCCGGCGCAGTATTGGTCCGGTGCCTCGTCGAACGGGACGATGGTGGCGATGTTCAACCCGTTCGATTACTCCATGTCGATGACGGCATCATACGCTGAGATCCCACAGCTGGATGCTGGAGCATGCTATAGCGTGACTGATGTCTGGACCGGGAAGGACATGGGTTGCTTGGACAGCAACGTGACGATGACAGTCGAGGCGCATGATACAGCAGTGTTGTTGGTGGGGCCGGAGTGCTCGTAGATAGTGGCTGTAACTACGATATTGAAAGTATCCATACGCTGGCCAGCAAAACCAAAAGCGCAAATGTCCGGGTTGCGAATAGCTCATTTGCTAGACCATTGCTATTGTTCGAGAACGCAGTGCAAGCCGGCTGTCCACTAGTCGCACCTGGAGCTTCTGTCTCGGTCGCCGCCGCGATTATGCTGTAAACCGGTCTCAATCCAGGTCACGACAGACATTTGCGGGGCGAGGCGAAAGCTCCACCACCTTCTATATCCTTCCGATTCCTACCCGCTCTTTCTAAGCGCGATCCTGCAGAGATTAGTAAGACATTCACGTCACGTGCAGCCATGATCGGCATCCCTCTTCGCTCATGAAGAGAGGTAAGCAGTTGTACCATAATTACTCGCCATGCAGCATATGAGGTATGTTCTTGAGTCAGCCCGACGAGTGGAGGAAAAATAAGCGCAGGCATATTGAGGATCGTCCTTGGTCCGGCCATGGAGGTCCCGAAACCTGCCGCAGTCGGAACAATATGGAAGAGCATGTCGAATTGACGCACAGCGATGCAAGTGCTTCAACGAGATGCAGATGGCGGATAATAACTCGCCCACTTTGACCTACAGCCACACGAGCGAGGTCACAACAGTTTCGAGGACCGAAGGCAGCCTTGCAGTTTATGCGGGACGCGAGTCGCGAACGCGAGCTCACACCGGCGTCAACATTGCTGAAAGTAGGGTCCCAGAGTGCCTTGCCGTATCTGTGGGAGTCTGTGGCTATAGTCAACAAGACTAAGCACGAACGTAGACATAAGGAGAAAGAGAAAGTGCCTTGCGACCTCTGTGGAAAGAAGATGAGTAAGCATTATATAGAGAGCCATCACGCAAGCGATTGGTGGGCGTTAGACAGAAATTTTGGTACTACATCCAGTTCGTGATGCGACTTTGCTGTGCTGCTTCCAAATGAACTGTGCCCTCGCGGTGTAGTCCTTCCATCTGTAGCTCGTTACGGACGTGTGCCTGCCACTGATCCAGGATATCGTCGCCTCGCAGAAGCTTCAGACATCACTGATGATAAGATCGAAAGTTATTCCTATCCCTAAGCTGGGCATACAAGGGTGCGCCCCGAGACTTATTGTCGAAGAACTCCACGATTGGCGGATGTTGGCCTGGCAGTGCATCAAAAGGAAGTGGTATGTTGGAAGAATAGCACGGTGGACAGCCGTGGCTCAAAAGGACGGCACGTGCATTCATCTCGTGATGATGATTGTCCTCGACGACGGCGATGTCGATTGACGGCGTCAATGGACGCGTCCGCGGCTCGCGATTGCGCTTTGGCACAACTGCCAACTGGCTGCTGGTAGCGTTACTCACGCCGTAGGGTGGTCCCTCTTTTGCACCAACACCAAGCTGCCTTGATCATAATGATTGCAAAGCTCAGGAGAGCATAAGTCATAAGTACTTGGGCTACTAGACGGTGCAGCGTTGGTCTACGTCCAGCGATGTCAGTTCTAAAGCAGAAGTCTAGGCGCTCGAATGTGTGCGCTGCGTGGAATGGGTTTCAGGGACCATACTTCCTATTCTACTGGGATGAGACAACGCTTCATGTGTGGTCGGTGCACATCGGCCTTCTTTGTGCTCTTTCTGGCGGCACGTGACGTAGTACGCTCGCTCCCGCTCACCAGACCAATCCTCTTCCCAATTTTTGCTGGAGCTCCTTTCACTATCTTCTTGAGCATGCTCCGGGGTAAGAGCGCTCGCTGATCCGCTATCCTCGCGCTTCGGCGTAATGGTCTGTGAAGCTGCGAACACAAGCTCCGGGAGGCTGTAGTATTCTCCAGCTCTTGTCCGCCACTGCCAGACTCTGTGACACTCTCGGGAGTAGTCAGCGCAACGGGGACTGCATCAGAAGCTACAGTGGCTAATGTCGTGCTGAGATGACGCTGATCAGTGAGCTTTAATCGTTTGGACTTTCGCTGCACACTAATGACTTCACAATCACTATGCTTGCGCTTTCCGCACGCAAATGCCGATGGCCTTGCCAGTGGCTCCTCCAAGGGTAGTGCAGAGCCACCGCAAACGGCTGGGCATGGCGTGTCAAAACACTGTGGTTCTTCAACATTTTCAGCAATGGTGACTTCAAGAACATGGCTGGTGGGTTCACATCCTGCGCTGGCTTTGTCGCTTCCCACGAAACTTGACTGGCGCTCAAGGGAGAGAACTTGCTGCAGTATCCATCGGAGTAGATGACCATGGTGTTCTGCATCGTCGTACGCCTTGCGATATCTTTTTGTCTGCTGACAGAAGTCGGTAATCGCGTCGCGTCGCCGCATCAGCAATTGGTAGTCCTCCTCTGCTGTGTCACGTGCAGCTTGGGTGGCTAAAAGTCGCCTTGCGTTAGCTTGTCGCAAGCTATGAGACGCGGAGAACTTGTCGAGTGCTGCTTCAGCAGCAGAAAGCGCGGCGGTCGTGTACTTCCTTGCTTCCTTGGCCCTCTCGTTTTCGGCAGCGCGGTCAAACACAGAGTCAATGTTACAAACGACTTCGATTGTCTCCCCTGGTCTCAAAGCATCCGAGTCGACAAGCTTTTTCCATGCCTTGTCATGCACTCGCTGGAAACGTTTCACGTAGCTTGCATGCTGATCGTAGAACCAATATTCGTAGCCGAGGTATTCGATCCAGGTCGTCAGTGTGTCTTGTTGTAATAGATCGCTGTTGAGCTGAAATGGCTGCGTAAATCCATATTTGACTAAGCGCTTATTCATCCTTTTGGCGTACTCCGGGAAACCCCACTCGCCCTCCTTCGGACCGAAGTGTTCAACAAACGTCTCCCATGTATCCCAATCCGCCGCGTGGATCAAGGTCCACTCGCTCTTAACATCGCATTCTCTGATGATCCGCTGAACCCTACGAAATGCGCCCCATCTTGAAAGCAGGCCAGAACACAACAACGTCCGCTCCTCCTCACAAATGACGTGGCTTCGCCAGAACGTCATGATGTCGCGATAGTGAGGATCTGCAAGGTACCGTTGTGGATGGTCGAATATGTCTTTGAGGAGATGGATAGGATAAGGAGGTCGACCACCAGCCTTGATCAGCGCAGGGTAAGCATCGATCTCTTCTTGCAAGTCCTCAAGATCTTGCTCTTCCTGCGCCGGCAGTGGGGGTGTCGGTGAGGGCGAAGTTCTTCGAACAGATCGTTTGGGGTTATTGGAGACAGTGTTTAGTCGCGCAGCAACTTGATCCAAGTCGACAGCGCGTGACTGAATTGCATGAGTGGAGCACTGGACTTTGGCCCTATTCGAGCCGTCAGCAATGAAAGGAGTGGGAGATCGCGATCAATCCGCAACCTCAATCGCCGAATGAACCCAAGAGACACGTTTTGAGGATCCTGCACGCGCACGAGACTTGGATGAACGTCAGTAAGATAATGGGCCTTGCAAATTCTTGCTATCAGAAACCCACCGCCCATTCTCTTCTAGATATCTATCAAGTTGTTTATCGTCATATGCGGCAATGTCGCTAGCGGATGGCTTTGACGTTGTCGCGTTAGCCATCTGAGCCATTACGTGAAACATTAGACCACGAAGGAAGCTGGAACGGAGGACACAAAAAGAAAGACCCTGCCGCGCGATGAGTCATCCCCCGCGCCTCGGCTTATCACGTATGTTATATAGCCAATCGCAAGCATGTAACGCCGTGCTTGAAATGTTTCAATAAAAGAGTGCTGCAGGTGACGGCGCTTAAGTAAAACAGATAAGCTCATGTGTCGAACCTCCGATTCTCTTCGCACTATTTCGCTTCGACTTCGACCTCTAATCTGAATATCGACCTATGAACCACGTAGAGTGACGTTGCCCGAGGTAATAATGGAGGACTTGATTGCAAGCCTGTATCCCTTTCCGCACGGCAGGAAGAGCTACGCTCATCAAGCGATCGAGTTCCTTGAGAACAGCTCGCGGCTGATAGACTTCGAGGCTTGGGATTTACCTGAAATGCGAGGACGGCAAAGCCGTGAAACGACAGCCCCACTGAGCGACGTTGAGGATGACGATGCGAAGGAAATCGTGCGCGAGAAAGGGTTTCAACTAACTTTCACCCACGGTCCCAAGACCGGTCGTGGATACATGCTCGGGACTGACGCAAACAGCTGCGACATCATCTTGCCGCAAAGCAAAGGTGTTAGCCGTTGCCACTGTTATCTGACCTTCGATCACGAGCGACGCTTGATACTGCGAGACTGTTCGTCTAATGGGACGGTCGTCACATTTGACGGCAAAGGAGGAGAGAAGCGCCGACACTTTACGTGGATACTGGGCGGTCATGAGGTTCCAAACGACACAAAGACCATCGTCATTCAGCTACACGCAATGCTTAAGTTTCAGATCGTCGTAACGAAGCCAACGTTTCCAGGCATCTATTTCGAAAATGTGGACGAATTTCTTGGAGAAAATGCAGTACCAACCCAGCTACCTCTCGGCGCACTCGGAATACGGAGTATCGCTTCAACCGCAGCTCCCAGCGGAGCACGTACGCCAGAACAAGCTCCGGTTTTACTGGAGCAAGAGACGCTAGGCCGAGGCGCCTATGGAGTGGTACATCGGGTCTGGGATGTTAGCACGGGCCGTGAATATGCGTCGAAGAGTTTTACGAACCTGGATAGATCGGATTGGAAGAACGAGGCGCATATGATGCGGCAAGGCCCGCATGTACGTTAAAATAAAGACATGGAAGAAGACATAAGCTAATGTTGCATCAGGAGCACATTGTCCGCTTGTGTTTCACTGTGGAACGACCAGTCCCGCAGCTGGTGATGGAATATGTTCCGCTCGGCAATCTAGAAGATCAACATCGTCGACGAAAGATCTCGGAGGATGAAGCCATCACTATTCTGCAGCAAGGTCTCTCCGCGCTAGCCTTCCTACACGAACAAAGTCCACCCATCGTCCATCGAGACATCAAACCCGAGAATCTCTTACTGCGATCTCGGGACCCAGTTCACATCAAGCTCGGTGATTTTGGCTTATCCAAGGCGAACGAAGACCTCAAAACGCTTTGTGGTACACTCACGTACCTGGCCCCAGAGATTGCCCGGTCTCATGGCTCAACGTCAAGAACTCGATACACGCAGGCCGTCGACATCTGGTCTTTCGGTACGGTCATTTACCAATACGTATATGAACTTCCACAACAAACCTCAGGCTCGGCGCTGTCTTGGTGTGAGAGAATCGTGGAGCACCTGAATGATTGGGAATCTGATGAGCTGATCGACCTATTATCGGAAATGATTGTCATGGATCCCCGTCGGCGGCTTGCGGCAAGATCTTGTTGGCAAAGGGCATTGCTGTTGAGCCATGCATCAACGCCGACAGATTCTTCGATTTTGTACGAAAGCTGCTGTCCCTCAGTTGTCAGTGAGCCTCATGGTGATTTGGAACACCAGGCCTCAGTTCGAAAATTTCTGAATACTTCAGGAAACGAGTCTCGAGCCAATCCTGCGGCTCCCGCGGAGAGAGGGACGCTGTTGAGCACGCTCATCCACCATCCGAAGGAAGGAAGCAAAAGGCCTAGGTCTCGTGATCCGGATGCATGTGCAGGCTTAAGGAAGCGAGCGACTGCAATTTGGCAAAGCCCGAGCCAGCGAGACAGTAAGGCCCGGCGACAGCAGTGTTCCCAGCTCGAGTCACCATCGTGTGTTTCCATCCAACGAAATACAATATACGAGTGTGTTGTTGAATTGCTCAGGGACATACGAACGGGAACCGAGAGAAGCGAAGATCTGGACTCACCTACGATTCGTCTTGTACGTGACCTATGCCAACGCCTCGACGAGCTGAACATAGGACAGCTTCACACCTTGGTCAGTGAGAATGCGGAGCGTACAACCGTCATTGCAGTGTCAAAGGCTCGAGAGTTTACTCTTGCCAGTCTCACCTCCTCCGACGTTGGTAATTCTGTGGCAGATCTAACCGGCCATCTCATTCATATGACGGATCTGCTGGGCTTTAATCTTGAGAAGTCGGGAATGGGTAGTCTAGACCAAGATTGCGTCCAGCTTTCCGGAAACGCAGCTGAAAGCTCAAGTTTTGATCGCCGCACGTTGCAACTGCGTCGCACGCAGTGTGAGCCAACAGCGGTTTGTCAGCTTTCGCTCCCTGCTGTCGACTTGGGTTCAAGCCATTCAAATGGGGATACAGAAAGCTGCTTGAGCAGTCTGGCACCACTTTCTCGGGGATTGACGTATCCGTCCGGCTTGCTGGACCCGCTGAATACCTCGGGCTGCAGTCGACCATGGTAGATCCGCTGAGATCTCTGTATGTTCATACTATCTACTAGGAAATCTGTTCATCAGTAGCATGGGTAGCAAGGGTTCTCAGGTGCGGCAGGACTGGTCGTTGTTGAAGCACGGAATCTTGCACGCTTCAAGCGTTGCGAGTGTAGTTGATGCGCCTGTAGCGCCGTGTTTTTAGGTAAGTCACGTCCTTGAGGACGATGTCTCGTAACCGTGTGATCCAATACAGGAACTTCCAATGATCTCTTCGAGTGATGCGGGCTCCATCAATTCTGCGACGATCAAATTGACTCGCTTTACGTCTAATATACGTCGTTACAAACCCCCATTCGCACCCTGCTGACCTTACGTTTAACATAGGCCGACCGGGAGGGGCCAGTTTTCGACTACACCTGTTATTTATATGTTATTTCTGTTTACATTTATGATTTAGCGTATCTTTCTTAACCACCCGCCGAAATGTTTCGGCCTTGCCTTAGGATTAGCGGTGTGTCTGACACTAGTCTTACAAGAGTACGCCGGCTGCCCATCACACCCTGCTCGACCGAACTCCGGCGCATAGGTGTCTATAACATGGCTTTGATTAGCTCCAAGTCGTGTGAGTCATCGCGCCCCCTGGACCAACATCTAGAGATCTGAGTAGAGTGATATTGGCGAACTGCGGAACAAGACATCAAGATTGGTCGCTTTCTGGGGAGGACAAACGAGTGAATGATGTGTAAGGGCTCTAATGGCATGATCTTGAGCTTGAAAAGAGCCTGAGTATACAGATGTTCGCGAGCCCCTTACAAAGTATACACCACGACCTATGATATGATAAGGCAAGGGCGGGCAATCAGCCGTTGATATCATGCTTTCTTTTGGTGCTTAAGCGCCAGCATATGAGTATTGCACGTCACGAGAAGCGGCAGACCGTGACCGAGAAGAGTGGTTCAATGTGGCGCAGTACAAGACAGACCAGTTGAATCATCGAGAGGTACTTCCCATTAGATTTTAGTGCAGTTGAAAACGACTGAAAGCTTCATTGACTAGTCTCGATGAGATTATATGTAGCCTTTCCAGAAAGAAGCTCTAGCCAGAAAGGGCTTGGTGGTAGGAGACTGGCTGATGTTCGAGGCATCAAGCCGCTTCAGGCTAGGGTCTAATCACATACCCTCAAAGCTCAGCTTTTGTGCACTGCTTTGACTAGTGCTTCTTCTGGTGGCAAAAGTGGGATTATTGGAGAGCTGAAACTTATGAGTGCAAGTATAAGTTCCATTAGCAGCCCAGTATTAGAAGGTCTTTGTGACGCAGCGGCGCTGCTTGCGGATTTTGAAGACGACAGAGTAGATTTGTTATCACTGATGGATGAATCCATCCTTGTTAAGTGCCTTGTAGACCTAGGGCTGGTATTCATGTACTACGCTGGAAGCTATGTATTCCGAGAAGAGCTGTTATTTCGTTGATCTGAGTCTGAAGGTGGGAAAGGCTGTAGGCATGTCGGCTAATCGATTCCTCGTCATCATGAGAGGCACAGTACCCTTTTTACTAAAGAGCCTCTGTGGCAAACAGGGGCCGCAATATGATGTAAAGAGTATCTAGCTTCCACCCGCAATGAAGTGGAGTTTAATGAGCTTAGTATCAGCTCAGATGGGGTCGTAGACACCGCGATCGAATACATAATCCGGCCTGTCCTTTTGACTACTAACAGTTCTATGTGGCCGCGATGACTTGTAATATGTATTTCATCACCGTACTAGCCTCCTTGTACCTTGATATCTGCACTCCTCTGCAAGTAGCATAGCCACCAATGCATCATATCCTGTTTATGACCTCGCTCGCTATTCGCCGTGGTCTAGCACTTCACAGCTGTCAATATCTGCGCCCGTGAAGCCTCAATGCTTACCATATATGGACTACCTCCTACATCGACCAGAGTGTTTATATTCTTGTCGCTATGAACAGCTGTAGCGGTGATTTGGAAGAGCAAAGCAGCCACGAACGTTCCTCACCAGATGAGCTCCCTCTTCTCTCCACCATCACACGACTTCTCCTTAGCCCAGTCATAGATACCACCGCGCTCCAGGAAGGAAGCCGTGTCCCACTTGACCTGGTTCATGGCAGCCTTCACACCCACTTCGAGAATGGAGTCGCTTGTAGTGATCATGCCCGCGCCCTTGTCCATGAAACGCATATACTCGTCCAGCAATAGATAGCTGCTGGCCATCGACTGGTTGTCCTCCGGCACGAAACACTTGAGATGCTTATGCCGCTCGTGAAAGATCTGCCACTGCTCATCATTCACCAGAAAGTCAGTCGCATCGCGCTTCCGTTTGGCGTTGTCGTTTTCGCCTGCCACGATTAAGCACTGGAAGGCCTTCCAGCGGAAGGGCGCGAGTCGTTCGATCTGGGCAGTCATGTCTTCGTTCCAATTGTGGGTGTTGACGACTGTATTGAGCTTGAACTTCACGCCGTACTTACGGCACCATTCGGCGACCTGGAAGAGCCGGTCGACGTTCTTGCCATCTTCCCCTCGCCCGATCTTAATGTTAGTGTCAGGATTGAAGGAGTCGCAGCTTATGGCCAGGATATCCAGCCACTGGCTATTGTCTCGCATCCACGTTTCGCGTATCTTGCTGCCGTTACTGACGATGCTGATACTTTCCAAGCGGAGCTCTTCCTTGCAGTACTGGAGGAGTTGGGTAAGTAGCTTTGGGTAGAGGAATGGTTCACCACCAGCGATGTTGAGTTTCTGCATGCCGGCTTCTCGTAGCAGTCTCAGGCCTTCCATGGCTTTCTCGATGGGTAGGACGTAAGACGTGGTCTCGGTGTGGAAACAAAAGCCGCAGGTGTAGTTGCACTTCCGGGAGGGAAAGTAATTGACGGAGATTGGCTTGTCCGTGGGATCAGCCGGTTGTGTATCAGTCGACCGAGCTGAGCGAACTGTGGCTGGGACAAGATTTTCGTAAGTCCATTGCACCAACGAGGAAATATCCATGTTGGAGGAGGGTTGATGAGCTTCGCAAATTGACTTGTGCTGTAGTGTCACAGCTTCAGCGATGTAGCTGCGAAAGAGGTGTGTGTCGAGGACTATTGTTCTGCTCTTGCATGTAGAAATTGCGTCAGCTTGCAGTATAGCGTAAATTTGCCTTTCGATATCACAATAGTCACATGATGACTCACGTACGCAGCACCTACATGCACTTCCACTTGACCACGTGTTTTAGCTACGCCTCCAGGGCGGCGGTTCACGATTGCAGAAATGATTGACGATGTCGATCCAGATGCAAAGCACGATCTGTTTGTCGTCTGTGTGCTAGGTCAGACTGTGCCTGGCTTTCGCCAGAAAAGACTGCTAATTCGACTCGCAGGTCCACCAGGAGCCGGGAAAGGCACAATATGCGCCCATCTAGCTGCAACGTATCCACTTCTACATTACTCAATCGGTGACAATCTACGTGCCTGGTTACGAGATGACAGTCGGGACGAAGCTCTTGCAGCAGCCATTCAGGATAAGCTCAATAATCAAGGCTTTCTTACGGCAAAAGATCTCGACCCGTTCATTGCACAAGCAATCATGCAGGCGAGCCAGCAGAATTTCAGAGGTATCTTGGTCGATGGCTTTCCGCGCTGCTTAGAGCAGTTGAATGCTGGTCACAGCAGAGCGACAAATCCAGACCTGGTCCTTGTCGTCAACGTCAGCCACACCAATGCACGATCGAGATATGTGGCTCGAATGCGTGATTCACGAGACAGTATAGGGAATTTCGAGAAGCGCTTTGCGGAGTATGAGCGGGAGACGCTGCCAGTCTTGCGTGTGTATCAACACAGAGTCCATATGCATGAGGTGAATGCAAATGGAACCGAAGAGCAGAATGTGGAGGAGGTAGAGCGACAGCTTGGCACAGCTGCCCCTTGGACGAAGGTTGGCTTGATCGCAAGTGCCAAGAAAGAAGAGCAGAGTCAAGCTTGATGAAAAAGCAGTGACCTCTGGCCGGGCATCTGTTATGTGAGCAGGTGTGGAATTATGATGCTGGCAGTCCGACGCGAGGACCATTGAGCCGCAGCCCATTCATTGTGCTTTCAAGGTGCTTGCGCATGCAGGCTCAGCGTTAGAAAATAGTAATATACGTCGACTCAATGTCTCCCAACTTCCCAAACTCCCCTGCTCCATCTCTATTCGCTGATCTATCTCCAGCGCATTTGCACCTCTCATGACCTGCTTCGGCAACGTGCTCATGTTCGTCCATTGAACTTGATATCTCGCGATCGAATACAGATCGGCGTCACAACGCTAAGTAATATGGCGCGCATCTAGCTCGGGACTTTGACTCTGGGCTTCGACTTCTGTTGCAAGTGAATTATATTCCAATCACAGTCACACGCGAGGGCTGCTAGCATTTCTAATGCCCCAAGTACAAGAGGAGTGTAGACACGTGTCAGTCTATGGCATCGAGTTTCAGCGCATCAAACAGAGAGTACTTGCATCGTGAGAGCCATAGGCGCTGCACTCAACTCGCAACGGAGTCAAATACCTTGCGCACCCCGAGTGTGAAGATCGTACCTTCTCGATAATATCATACTAGATACAAATGAATATGATGGCAGTCGTGAAGAGCATACCGACGCTATTTAAACCAGCGAAGATAGGAACAGGTAAGCAATTCAGCCGTGGGCATCTTTCCAACAATCCTCACGTTATCCTGCATTATCAAATAATCCATTGTCGAGTCTGTAGCTTCACTATTGCGCCTGAGTCTTTGAGTAGGACATATCGACAATGTACATTGTAGCAGGCACGGACGCATAAGTGCATATGTGAAAAGCCTTGACAAGGTCGCAAAAATACAGACTGACATGATCTACCAGTATCTCACCACCTCTCTCGTACGTGGATTTTGGTGTTACTCGACCTGCTTCAGGGTTTGGTTTATGGGGCAAATGGACAATTGTGCGTATAGCCTTGTCGGAGGTGACAAGGTATATAAGACCATCGTACAGCCCAGCATGGATGGGCTAACCTCACAATAGCGGAGTCAAATGTTGTCCTCCAACTGCAGGAAACGACTTACAACATTATCTACCAGATCTTTAAGCAGCCTGACTGACTAAGGTATCTCCAGGCCACCGATTTCAAGACTGAGCCTACTCAAGGCCAGAACAGATTTGAGGCGGAGGACTTCTTCGCTGGCCAGCACCATGACGTCCTTCAGACCTAGGTAGAGGCTCTGAAAGCAGCCAATATAGCAGAGGTACCTGACCAACGTCTTTGGATTATCGTACCATGGTTACGCGCAGCACGTCCGAGGGCTGGTTATAGATTGGATGCGTTCAGCAAGTTCTCCTCCACACAACAGCAACGACCTAGTCCTCCACGTCATCGTCAAAAGCATACAATACATATTGAATATTGCCAATAGCTGATGCTTCAATGCGCCGGATCGTATGTTTAGCCGACCCAACCGTTATGCTCCTACTCGCCACCAATGTACGGCAAGCAGTAGGAACAGCAGAGTGATATACAAGACAGCGTCAGCCGATCGAAACACTTTCTCTGGACTACCTCGTCTGCGTCCTGCCGCCTCGTGAGCGCTTCTTTCGGGAAGCATCGCCGCGCGCGCTCTTGTCGCCCCTTTTTGGGAAGAAGAAGGGTGTGGCCGAAGACAAGGCTTGGTGTCAATTTCGAGGTGGCCTACGTTCGAGCCCAACTACTCCACGTGTTGAATAGGCGGCACATCACCCTTGCCATTGTCAAGAGAAAATTTGTTGGGGACACTTACTGCTTGAAATCCAACTGGGCGTGATCGGACGAGAGAGAAACTGCGGACATTCGGACGATGATAGATGAGCGCAATCATCCAACGAGGATGGTGAAGCGCGCATATGCCAACAGGATAACTTCGGGCACAATCCATGAGAACCTAGGGTTGGGACTGGTTCATTAGGAACTGCAGCGTTGGAGCTCCGGCGTGTCTTTTGGAGATTGATCGTTATCTTTGCCGAGCACAAGCGGAAGGTTGAGCCAGGAGTTGGACCACTATGAAGAAGCGAACAGCGAAAGGTCTTCGAGGCTCTCCAATCCTGGTCCGAGGGGCGGTCGTTTCACGAGCTCTGGTGGCTGCAACAGGCCTCGAATATGCAGTGGGAGATCGCCTTCCTCTCAATGGCGGCGGCAAAAGCATTCCTGTTCATGTTGCGCGTATCCGATCTACAAAGCCAGTAGTATGCAGAAACGGCAGTATAGCAGTTGATCGTTCAGCTGAAATGACGACCAAAGA